TTCCCGCACTTACTACAAAGTTGCTAAGCTTGTTCCACTCGTCCACCACCCTATTTGTGAACCAGTTCCTTCTTATCTCCGTTGGAAATGAGTCATTTTGGACTTACTTGACCCCTCATACAACTTGACCTAACCAACCGAAGAAACCTACCTACCCTAACCTAACTTCCTAGCCGTCCCCACTATATTAAACAGAAAGTACTTATTTTGATATCTAGTACCATTAAGAAAATAAGGAGTCTGCAATAGGTCGGTTGGCCTATGCATGGCAGCTCCATGAATCTATCGAGCCTCCTTTTAAAACTTTCCAGCGTTCCAGCACTTACTACAGAGTTGCTAAGCTTGTTCCACTCGTCCACCACCCTATTTGTGAACCAGTTCCTTCCTATCTCCCTCCTAAACCTAAACTTATCTAACTTAAATCCGTTGCTCCGAGTCCTATCCTGCTCGGATATTATAGAACTTTATCTTTATCCCCTTTATTGATTCCTTTCACCCACTTGAATACTTCTATCATATCTCCCCGCACTCTTCGTCTTTCTAGGGAATGCAAGTTTAGTTTTTTTAACCTATCTTGATATGGAAGGTTTCTAAGTCCCGGAATCATTTTCGTCATTCTTCGCTGCACCGACTCCAGTGAATTGATATCCATTCTATAATAAGGGCACCAGAACTGAACCGCATAATCGAGGTGCAGCCTAACTAGTGCAAGATTTAGTTGCAATAAGACCTTTTCACTCTTATTACTTACACTTCCAGATATAAAACCTAATACATTACTGTACAGTACTCTGTCTGCCTTATTTCGAACATTAACGCACTGTTTTCTAGGCTGTAGGACCGGGTTTACAATTACCCCTAAGTCTCTTTCACAAGTCTACTTCTTGAGGTTGATGTTGTTAAGGCTGTATACATTGACATTATTTGTTCTTCCAATATTAAGTACGCTGCACTTGCTGGTGTTGAATTTCATTTGCCAATTTTCTGACCACTCCTGCAGTTTATTTAAATCCTCCTGTTGTGCATTTGCATCCTGCCCTGAATTAATCTGCCGCCCTATTTTGGTGTCATCCGCAAACGTGCTTATGTCACTGCTGATCCCAGTATCTAGATCGTTAATGTAGATTATGAACAAGAGTGGGCCCAGTACTGACCCCTGGGGAACCCCACTAGTTACACAGCCCCACTGAGATTTAACACCATCTACGCTGACCCTCTGTGTTCTATCGGCGAGCCATGATTTTATCCAATTTAAAACTTTCCCCTCGATACCATGAGCCTTAACTTTTCTCAGAAGCCTCTGATGCGGTACTCTGTCAAACTCTTTGCTAAAGTCTAAGTAAATAACATTGTAATTTTCGTCATTATCTACTACCTCCAAGACTTTCCTAAAAACGTCAGCAGATTTGTTAGACAAGAATTTTCCTTTGTAAACCCATGTTGAGAGTCGTAGATTGATTTGTTTTTCTCTAAATGCGATCGGATGTTATTTGCTATTATTGATTCAAGAAATTTCTCCACTATTGAAGTCAAACTAATCGACCGGTAATTTGACGCAGAGGCTCTGTCACCATTTTTTAATAAGGGTACTACATTTGCCTGTTTCCACAAGTCTGGCACAACTCCCGTGTCTAATGATTTTGTAAATAAATTTACGAGGGGTCTGCTAATCTGTTCGTTACACTCTTTCAAAACTTAGGGAAATTTCATCCGGCCCTGGGGTTTTGTCTTTTTTTATTTTATTTATTGTTTAATTTCTCTTCTTCATTTCCCCTAAATATCAGTTCCACCTCTGGAATTTCCTCGTGAATTTCTTCTGTGAAAACTGATAAGTAGTAGCTGTTTAATGCTTTGCTTATTTTCTCAGTATCATCGATCACTTCTCCTCTCTCTGACTTTAAAGGTCCCACTTTGTCCTATATACCTGAAAAATCCCTTGGGAATCGCCTTGGATTCTCTTGCCATCCTGATTTCGTAGTCCCTCTTTGCCTTCCTTACATTTTTCTTAACATTCCTAGATGGTTCATTATACCTATTTCTGAGGTGCTCCTTCCCTCCCTTTAATTTCTTACAAATTCCTTTCTCTATTCCTTTGTCGTGTTTAATTTTTTTGGTCATCCACCTTGGCTCATTCTTATTTGACCTAATTTTTCTGTATGGTATATTTTGTTCTTGTGTTTTACTTACTATACGAGTGAATATATTACAGTCATGATCAATTGTTGTGTCGCCAGTGACCTCACCCGTTCCTACCGGGGACTGACCTGACTGTTCCCAGGCGACCTCACCTAGGTACCTTCTTAACCCCCCATAATCTGCCAATCGAAAGTTTGGGACTCTGACCATACTGCCATTGTTTTTTGTTTCCCAATTTAGGGTGAACCTGATTTCTCTGTGATCACTGTTCCCTAGTTCTTCTTCTATTTTGATATCTCTGATAATATTTTCTTTATTTGTTAATACAAGGTCTAATATATTGTCACCTCTAGTAGGTTCTGTAATTAGCTGTTTTAAAAAAAAAATTCCTGTACTGCGTCTAGGAAGTCTTCAAATTCATAGTCACCTACAATGTTGTTCCAGTCAATATTTCTGAAGTTGAAATCCCCCATAAAGCACAGGTTGTTGTATTTTGCTGCCCTACTCATTTCATGTCCTGTGGGCTGAGCTGCTTCTTTCCCAAGACTTGGGGGCCTGTAAATCACTCCCATAATTAGTTTTTCTCTTCCTTCTGCAATTTCTACCCATACAGACTCAGTTCCTGTTTCACCCTTTATTGAATTATTAATACAACATTTTAATGCATACTTGACAAAGAGTACGACCCCTCCCCCCTTCCCTGTCCTTGTGAAAAAGCTTGTACATACCCTTCTATGTGGTACTCTGATAAAAAGTTCTTGCTCGCCAGATTCATCCAAGTTTCGGTGATTGCTATGACGTCTACATTCTCGGTACATACAACCGCTCTCAGCAAGTCTATTTTCTTTCTAATGCTCCTACTGTTTGTATAGTACACATTTAAACCTACCCTTCCCTGGTCCTGTTTTACCCCTTTGTCCTGAGTAACCAATTTTACTCCTCAGCACCTGCTTGTTTTTTTTACTCCCACTTACCCCGACCTCTCTCTACTAGTGAACCCCCCCCCCCCTTTGGAGTGACAATTTCACGCTTCAGGGACGCAGACAACGTCTTTACCCCCACGCGAGACAAGTGTACTCCATCACGACTGTACAAGTAGTCGTTGTCATAGAATGGTTGCCAGTTATCAATGAACGCCCAACCATTGCTTGCACAATGTTTTTCCGGTCGGCAATTTATAGCAATTGCCCTGGACAGCCATTCACCACCAACTCCTCTTCTAGGCAAGACACCACATACTATCGGGATCCCTCCCCTATCTCTAACCTTCCCTAGCGCCTCCCTATATCTCTTGAAAAGTTCCTCACTCCTAACCTTTCCTATGTTGTTACCTCCTACACTAAGACACACTACTGGCTTGGTACCCTCCCCTGACAAAACCCTATCTATCCTCTCAGCTACATGCCCAATCCCAGCCCCAGGAAAACACACAGGTGCATAAATGGTAGTCAGGGCTAAAAAAGATGACATTACAAAGGTACTCAAACTATCCAACCAGGCATGAAGTAGGTAAACATTGGTTTGGAAATAGAGTAGTGGACTAGTGGAACAAGTTTCCAAACATCATCATTAACTCGAATACGCTGGATAGCTTCAAACATAGGTTGGATGGATATTTGAGCGATAGGGGTTTGGTGTAAATGTGACTATCCAGTATGGGCCAATAGGCCTGCTGCAGTTTCCTCCATTCTTATGTTCTTATGACACAAACCTGCATTGGGCTGTATCTCTTCAGTGGTTCATTCATGCTATGTCAAACGTAGATCAGTGATTTTAAGTAAATTCCCCGAAGGCTTATAGGCCTCTGCTAAGATCCATCATTGTATAGTACAGTTAAATACAAATACCAGTACAGCACACTCAACTAACAAATGTTCTTTAAACTGAATCCTAAAAGTTGCTAGTATACAGTATAATGTTCCCCTTGCTATAAAGTATTACCATGTTACATACACTCAGTGGTACTGTAGACGGTTTTACAGAGAATTTTGTTAATGGTTTATATAATGCTCAGATGCATACTGGATACAGTACCTGTACTGTTTGTCTTCAAAGGTAATTACTGTACCTGTATTTGATATTTAACAGGAATATACCACTGAGTGTTACATATGCTGTTCAAGTTAGGCAGTACGTACTACATTATTTAAGTGCCTCGTTTCTTCTAGAATGAGATGTAGTTAAGAGATACTGTACCGGGTAGTGTTAAATTTCCAGGCAGAACACCAACAGCACATAGTCAGTGGTACAGTACATAGGGGAAAAACATTAGATCATTTATAATTTACTGTTCAATATTGTATCCGCATTTATATTAAAACTCCTAAAACAATTTTAACAACTTTTTGTGGTTATATAGTATACGTATTTAAAAAAATTATTAATATTACCTGTAACCAGGCTGAGCTACCCCAGAATTTTACATAATTATGATTTATTAATAAAGTGTATTACTGTGTATACCTGCAGTAAAGTTATTTATAATGTACTGTAGTATATGTACAGTATGTACAATATGTATGAGTTTTCTTCCCTTTAGTTTTTGTCACTGTGTACATTGACAAAATTGTATAATGAAAACCATTGTAAGTACAGGTACTTAAACATTACAGTTCAAGTATTGTATTTATTGGTAGATTCTGATTATGAAAAGGTTATGTTCATAGAAAAACATTCATAAATAAAAAAATAGTAAATACAGATAGATAGATAGTTCCCATAGACTTCCAATATACAGTATAATTTTTTGATTACTGTACAGTACTCCTGTAAATTTTCACTGCTCTCTCTCTCTCCACTAAAGTCTTGTACAATGTGTTCCTTCTAGATTACTTGTAATACATCTGCTATTTTAACATTTACAGGTGGAAGCTACTCGCCTGAACACAGCCTCCCTCACGACAGACCTTGATGCTATGCGACACCTGTTCAGCGAGAAGGAAAAAGAATTAGTAGTCGCTGTGTCCAAGGTAGAGGAGCTCACACGCCAGTTAGAGGAACTCCGCCATGGCCGTTCACCTCTCAACCCCAATAACCAGCATCACAATGAACTGGATAAGCTCAGGCGAGAATTATTGGTGAGTTTCAGAGTAAATACAATTTGTATAAAGATTGAAGTTGTACCAGTAGTTAGGATGTTCATTTTCTCTCAACAATTTAATGATTTCTCCTGGTTCCTCTAATAAGCACGTAAGTGGGTGAAAATTATCTCATGATTAAAAATGAAACCAAGATAGATTCCAGATTGACAGAATTTCCCTTGCTTCTTCAAATTTGTGTACTATCCATGAAAATAAACATATTCGTCAAGATCCTGTCAAAAACTATCAAAATACAAAGTGTCCCAAACACTGTTGGGGGGATGAGTTGAGGAGGTTAATTTAGGATAGGTTAGGTTAGCATTAGGATGGTTAATCTTCAGGTGATCCCATGTATCACTTTGTATTTTGATATATTTTGACAGGATCTGTACTAATATGTTTATTATACTGGATAGAATACAAATTTGAAGGAGCAGCAAGGAAAGATAAATCTATAAAACCTCTTTTTAAAGGAGACCACAAGAACTAACTCAATTAGTTCTTAGCCTAACCTATAACCTAATGGTCATAGGATAGTGTAGCAGATATATGAGAGATAAAGGTTGGGTGTAAACAGGGCTGCCTAGTTTCCTCCATTCTTCTGTTTCCTTAATAACCTTACAGTAAGTTCACATTTTCTGGCTTTTAATGTTGATTAAATTATATGTAGCTTTAGATGTTTTGGCAATTATTTATTTACAGTACAGTATGTATACTTCTGTGCAAGATGTACCGTATAATACTTCTTTTCTTTGTAACAGTATCGTAACAGCGTCAACAGAGAAGCCTCAGCTCGTGTGGCAGCTCAACGAGAAACTCTAGCAGCAAGAAGGGATGAAATTACTCGCATAGACAAGCGGGTATCTGAACTGCAACAACGACTACACCGAAAGAGACTTTTGAACCACCAGCTGGCCTCTCAGATAACAGCAGCTACTCAGGTACAGAAAGATTGAACCTTATGAAAGCCTTATGTTGTATGTTAATATAGTGTGCAGCACTTTATACAGGATATAACTTCTCAAAGTCTAATGTTAATCGTAGTTCTTCTTATTAAGTTTGTCGATTAAAGACAAATTATTATCCTCATCATAATCCTCTCCAATGTCAGTGTTGCTGTAGGAGTCTGATTTTTAGGGAGTGTTAGTAAGTTACATTTGGTTGAATTTACATGAGTAAAATCAATAGGTCTGAAGTTTTGAACAACTGAAGGATACTCTAACTGGGCACCAAGTTGATAATCTCAACCTCTTCTTGCCCTTGAGTCAAGTGTTACAACATTTGAACAATACAGAGGCTCCTTACTTAACTTTACCCTCTGAGTTGATAAAGATTTAATGATGTTTTGATTTTGTATTTATTTTTCATTTGCAATTCACAGTACAGTAGAGTCTTTTGTAAGTCTCATTGTAATGTTATAATACAATACCTAATTTAGTTGGGAAATGAATACAGTCGAATTGTGTATTAATATTGTTTCTCTATGTTGCCAGGCCAAACAGGCTCAGTTAAAAGCAGTACAACAAAAGGCACTACGAGAAGGTGTCCACAACGAAACATCTGTTGATGATGCCCACACTCCAGACCATCTCAAGGTACACATTACAGTACTGTACTATATATTGGTTACTGGGAGACTGTTTATGGTCCTACAGAAAATTATATTATATAAGAAGGGTTTGGATACAAGTGTTATGACAAAGACTAATTACTGTGATTATTTGAATAAACTATATCAAATAACTTTTTTTTCTTTTGACTTTTCATGTTTTGGCAAATCCCACAGCTTCTCAATTCAAATGCAGATCAGATTATTGTTAGAAACATGTATTGAGGAACATTTGTATTGATGGGTGTGTCTCATGCAAACCACGTGATTGCCAAATTAAATGAAAATTCATGAAAAGTCTAAAGAATGTGGGTTGCTTCTCTTTTTATGCTTGATGGATAAAATAAAAATTGGTAAGCATGGAAATAAGGTGAATTTGAAGTAAGAAAAAACAAGTAATATGGTAAAATAGCAGTGTTTAAGGGATATTGTGTGTGACTCTCCTTCAGGTGTAGATTAAGAACTGTCACTGAGTTAAGATTAGCCCTTTAACATTTTTGTCATTAACATTAACCTCTTTTTCTTTTTTCTTGCCAGATTCCTCGAGGAGAGGATTTAGGAGAGTTTGGTCCCAACAAAAATGACCCCAAATACCAGACTCTGCCCTACAACACCAAATTTTCTGTCACTTTCAAATCTAAGAATGGGCAGGGAGGGGATTCTGATTCTGCTCCTTCAACACCAACAAGCATTGCCCCACCCAGTATCCTTCCTGAACCCCAGGTGTCAAGTGGACAAAATGTTCCACAACCTGCTGGCCCACCTAGCACAACATTAAACAGTGGTCCACCCAGCACAGCAGCGACGAGTGGTCCAACGAGCTTAGCGGCAACAACTAGTGGTCAAGTAACAAACACTACAACCAGTGGACTACCAAACAATACAGCAGCAAGTGGTACGTCAAACGCTGCACCCGTCAATGGTTCAGTAGTAACTAGGACTGTCCACAGCATCCCTACACACCCTCCGTCCCGTGGACTTGCCCACGCTCCAGCACTCGGCCAGTCGCAGCTACCACAGCAGTTGTCTGGTCCGATCAAGCCAACTCCAAACCCTGCTATGACTCCCAGGTGAAGCATCTTTTATATTAATATCAAATAATTTTTAGTTTATGAATGCTGTAAAGTATATAATGAAAATATTAAAGATGATGATATAGAATTACAGTAGAAGTCCAAAAATCCAGACTGCTTGGGGATTGGGTCGGTCCGGATTTTCGGATTTTCCGGATTCTCAGGCAGTACTTTTAAAATTCAAATTTAAGGAGGAATAAAGAAGAGATGAACAGGTACATTTTGATAGTTTATTCATTAGCAAATATAGCATGCTTCATTTATCAAAACGAGCAGTTTTAAAGAAAAAGCTGTGAATTCTAGAATTTTATTCTTTTTTGCCTTTTTTATATCATAAATTGTAGACTTTCCAATGTCGTATGTTTCCATTAGAACAATATTGCTCACACCACGTTCTAGTTTCTTAATTATTTCAATTTTGTCACTCAATTTCAACTTGTTCTTCTTTCTCTTCACACAATGAAGTTTATCTACTTTAGGAGCCATTATTATGGGCTTTTACAGTACAGTGAGTGCTCTAGATTTATGAATTCGAACAATATTTGTATAAATTATTTCAATTTTTGTACTATTTCTCCAATTTTGTGGTATTAACTGTGAATATGGTAAAGAAGAATATCTCCAAAAAGCATTCAATTCTTGTTCTTCTTGATGTTATCAACCTCAAAATCACCCTCCCCCATCAAGTTACATTCATATTTTTTCAAGGTAAAGTGTTAAATTTTATTTCATTATTAGATATGAATGTACATTTATTTTATCCTTTGTGAGCTAACTACTAAATTTTTTCCATTATTATGGGCGATTTTACAAGAACACAATTAGTACTCTGTAAATGGGAAGAGTAGGGCTCAAAATTACATACGTTGTCACAGTTTGATTGCTCATTTTAAAGTGGCGACCGCGTGGTAGCTGTGGTGCTAACGCATGCACACATACACACAAAAGCCAGCTAAATTAAAAAAAAAATTGAGTTTTAGAAAAGTCCAGATTCTCGGGTGGTCCTGATTTTTGGCATCCGGATTTTTGGACTTTTACTGTAGTAGCTAATTAAAACGTGTTAACATAAAGATTAGATCTGCTTTGTACATGGAAATTGTAAGGAATAAATAGTACAGTACTCCCTTTATTTAGAACTCTTAACTAAGTGAAACTGATAATTAAAGACAAACACAGGAACCTTAGATAGAGGTCTTATTGCCTGACTGTAACTTTGTATCACCACTGACAGAGTGTATGGCCCAGGAGCACAGCAGTTCAACCAGCGGTCGCAGCCCTTAGGTGGCACATCTTCAACACAGAATCAGGTAATGTGTCAACCCAGATATTATCTGATTAACTTGCTTGTGTGCCTAATGTGCTTTCTGTTGTTTCTCAATAAGTGCATCCATTTAACATTTTTATGCTGAGATTACACTGTGATCAAGTGAACAACCTAATTTTAGTGAATAATCAATGATAGAAGTTGATGGCTATGATCCAAGTGAACAAAACAGTTGATTCCTTTGATGGCAACAGAAAAACAACTGCACTTTTAATCACATCCTCTACATTAAGCTACTGGTGAAGAAGGATGCCAGTTTGTGTGTACACAACACTACCTGCATAATGTAAAACAAAATTCATGGACATTCATGCATTAGCAGTAAAAAGTGAAATGAAAAAGGTTTATAATATTAGTGTTACCACATATTTCATGATGTACTTGAAAGTTCCTGTACTCCCTAACACAGGAAGTGTATCAACAACGATGCCTATACCACAATATGGGTCATGAGTGAACCTGATACAGAACGTATACTGTACTTGCTAGTGAGGCTGGTCACTGAAGGCTAAGTCTTGTGCAACCAGTTTTTAATACAACTACAAGTCCCTCTACAACATAATTTTACTAATCCATTTACTGTAATATTTATCTTAAGTTAATATTGCAGTATCAATTTATTTGTACAATATTTAATGCTAATGGCATAGCTGCAGTTGCATTTGGGCTTATACACAAGGTTACATAAATTAAGGGCTGTACTGTACAGTATTATGTTCTTATCCTGTTGTATATTAAGACTCTTGGGTTGAGGTAGGCTCTGACCTGTTCTCAGCTCACTGGGAAAGGCATGAGGAGGCACCACACTGTCATCGTGTGGTGCAATTTCTTTACACTTTTTTACATTTTCCCTCCCTCCACCCTTGCCAGCAACACAGGCATGGTTCAAAACTCTCACAACACTTGTGAACAAATGAAATAAATGTTGCATGAAAAGTCAACACAAGCCACTTAAAAATGCATAGGAGATATTGATCGTTAATTCCTGGGTCATTTAAACACAAAACAGAGACTGGTTGCCAGATTGCATTTACCTTACCAAATGTGTGCCTTGTGTGTCTAATGTTCATACGCAAACATAAAATTATTTTATTTTGATTTTTTTAATTCATACACAAATGTGCATATGAAAACCCCAAGAGTGTTAAGTTCCTGGGTATTGGTGTGGATATCTGACCAAAACAGAATATCTCTGTGAATAAAGGGAGTACTGTATTTGGTGCTTTCATAAAATTAATAGCTGTGTAAACCCGAGAATACCTTGATCTGTTGCGATAAATATGTACATAATTCCCTATTTTTATACATTAGGGACTTTTTCATCACCAGATTTGTTTAAAATTACATATTTGAATTTTAGGTAAATTATCACTGTTTTTTTATTACTTTAATAATGTAAGGATGAGATTATATATCAGTACACTGCTTATCATCTTTTTAGTTGATATTATGTTGAGTTGGGTGGACTGGTACTTCTTCAAACTGGTCTGAACATGAAACTGAAACATACCAATTTTTTTTTCTGCTAAGACACTACACATTCTTGAAACCTGTCATTTTATTCAATAATTAACAGTACTAGGCAAGCTAACCAATGACTCAATGGTTTGTGTCTGCCTGATGCCAAATGGCTTGATATAAGATTACTTAATGTGTACAGCTCCTCCCCGACTTACGACGGGGTTAGGGACCCAAATCCAGGTCGTAAGTCGGGGAGGAGCTGTACATGATGTAATTCATACACATTTCCTTGGAATTACAGTACGTATTACCATCATGCTCCTGCTCTTTCGTCACACTAGTCATCTACGGTACTTCACATACTTTATATACTGTACTATGCCACTTAATAATTTAATTTTAACTTTAAGTGTATTTATTTATTTTAACTATACAATATACCCACTTTCATTTCCCACATCATGGCCATCTAGTAGCACCAATGGAGACATATCCTGATTCACCTTATCTCTCCTCTCTCATGCTAGTCACTTTCCTCAATTATGAATTTTCTCCTTTTCACTACTATACTGTACTGTATTTTAATGATACAGTAATATCTCCGATGGCCGAAATTTCAATTTTCTCGGAAAATCGGTTCCAAAGCCAGAATTTTCCGGCTTTGGGAATAATTTTCTGATAAAATTTGAGAAAATTTTCCGATACCTGGAAAATTCCGAGAATGGGGGAATTTTTTCCGGGTTTGAGAGATGAAAATCAGGTGCATTTTCTGGAAATTCCAAAAAAAAATCCGGGGTGAGGGATTTTTTCCGGCTTTGAGAAAGTGTCTTGTTACTAGGAAATCTTTCATTCCCAGAAGTGCTCTGCACCAATTATTTTGGCTAATGGAGATATCACTGCATTTTTATTATGATTTTTAATTCACAGTAATGCTTGTTGTTTTAAGATTTGCATGCAATTTGAATAATTACATACAGTAAGACCTTGTATTTTGCGAGTACCTGTAATATAGACTGTAAAAATTGCACCAAATTCAAATTCGCCAAATGCAAATACATAAACTACAGGTAATGGGAAAAATAACAATATAGACTGGCCACTCTACATCATTCCCATTTATAACCTACAAATGATACAAATTCTGCCTTTGTTGACTTGATTGTGCTTTCCGGAAACTAGTTTTTAGGCCTTCCTCGAGTAATTTAATCACACGCTGCTTATCCTGCATCGAGTACTTGGCAAACTTAACGTCCTTATGATAGTCCCGCTTCTCCTTTTCCTAATTTGGCTGCTTAGGTGAGTCTGTCCCACCCCCACCAGCACCAGTAGGACCCCCAGTAAAGGTAGAGGCCATTATCTTGACACGACAAGTGGTAGCACCACCCAAAAAAAGCACAATAACAGCCCGGGCGGTGGCTAGGATGGCACAAAAGTTCGCATTTTACAAACGGTGTTCCCCTATTCATCAATCGCGTTGCAACGAATTTGCGTTGACAAAACACGCGTTGTAGCAGAAATGACTGTAACTGGTATGAGGGCTGTCACGTCATTCAAGACGGTGGCCAGCATTCAGCTTGTTGGATCACACGTTCAGCTGGCTGGATATTTTTTTTTTTTTTTTGCAGGCAATTTGCATAACCAGTGATTTCATGAAATCCCTAAAACTTTTAATAAGTTTGTGTAATTATTGTTTCATTCGAGGGAGTAAATGCATGAACTTACTAAAAGTTTTAGGGATTTCATGAAATCACTGGTTACACAAATTCCCTGTGACATATATAATGTACACCTGAACAGAATTTGATGTCAGTGACTCAGTTGCTTTTGATGCCATGGGATTATAATTATTTGGTCAAATAGTTCCTTCACATATGTTCCTACACTTTTTTATTTTATAAACTTTGGTTACACTTTGCTCGTATACAGTACTGACTTGTGTAGAAATTTTTTTTCTCCCGAAACATCTGTAGAATTTTTTCTCTCCTACGATGTGCACTTAGCATGTGTTGTATTCAAGTATGCCACTGTAAAAGCTTGCCTACAATAGTGTGCATCACACTTTTAGTTTTGATATCACTGGCATAAGTAGTTTGTATAATTTTGTATGGTATAGTGCAACATACTTCAGTCCTGACATGATCTCAAGCTATCAATAAATTCTGCACTTTTCTGTTCATGCACCTTTAGAAACCATTCATTTTACAGTTAGTCATCTCAATACCTCATTTACTTATTTTTCTCCTATCATCTATGGATGTCAAAAGTACCTGTAATTGCAATTTACTGTACAGGTAATGGTTTTTCCTTATTGTATTTTGAGTGCACAAGACACCAGAATTATGTAGTGTTTGTTGAAAACTTGTCTTTACAATATGTATCCACACTGTGTTTCTCAGAATATTATTGGTCTTTGACTTAAAAATGCAAACATCTTTACAGCAACATTAACATCTGACAAACTGGTAGAGGACTGTCCCTTCTCCCTGGACAGACTAAGAGGCTTCCTGTGTGCAGATTGACATTTGACCTAGTACTAACCCTGCTCCTCCTATGTTCCTGGGTGCAAGAATAATATATTTTGACATGTAGATTTCATATATGAACAGCAAATCTTGTTGATGAGCTTCCAAGTTTTGAGCAGTTTGCTGTTCAGATCCCAGATATTTATAAGATATATTCCTGTAACTAAGGAGATGATGTATATACCGAAGCTATGGTTTTAACAGTATTTTTGTTGCTTACTACCATTTGTGTTCTAGCTTAATGAACCAAGCAGGGGTGTTTTATCATGCTTTACATAGCAACCTTTGATAACCTTGACCTACTATATGTATTGTAACAAAGGAGTACAGTATAATAACTGTAGCTCTACATAAACCATTTAGCAATGTTACCAGTCAGTCTGCTTGTGGTCAGTTAGTCATAAGGATCAAAAAGTTTTCCCACATTGCCTGTTCAGTAGTTGTAATATTAACCACATGTACTTATTAACAAGAATTGGTGTGCAGTACTTTTGAATTTGAAAAATTTTATGTAGTTTTATACTTTTAATACAAGCAGTGTGGGAATTTGAGGTGCAGACTTGTCTGGTATGTCTCATGTACAGTACAGTAGTGACATTCATATACGTAGACATTGGTGCTTTATTATTAACAGTGAGTTACATAAAACAAATGTATGGGAGTTACTCTTACCAAGTGTACATGTGTGCTTCTATATTTATGGAGTATTGGTTTATTAACTTATACACAAGCATAAGACTTCACACATGTACCTGCTTGTGGGTACAGGCAATTAGGATGATAATAATAGTATTAAAATTTACAGTAATGGTTTATTATGAATACAGAAGCCGTAAGCTGAAAATAAACAAATGACCTAAGTGGTACATACAGTACTAATCATTGAAATTATCACTGGGAGCATGATGACAATTTCAATGACTAAAATCGACCTACTATGTTTAGCCGAGTTACTTTTTTTTTTTTTTTTAATAAGTGGCAAATGCATCTGTGATCAAGGATGCAGGGAGAGGTGAGAAAATGTAGATTAGTAGCCTGCGCGGCTTTTTAGAGTGAGCACCTGTGACCCAGGATTTTATGCGCTTGTGCGATTATTATGCTGAATCATAGAACGTGGAGTGATTACAATGTTTTGTCACGGGATGTACTAGCAGCTATTGCATTCCTACATAAGACTGGACATCCAACAAAGTACATTTGTCAGCAGACTGGCATCAGTGCCCCCCAAATTCAACAGTATGTGAGGCGGTATTGCAACTCATCGTGGATATGACGGGACACTGTCCTAACAGACACGTCACCAAGCAACCTTGGATTCTGTTCCTCAATTTGCCTTGCAGACAACTTGAATTGGCCTCAAGTTGATGCTGAATAACCATCAAACTCTTGGGAGAAGTCATACCAGGGTATTACTTGTTAGGAATTTTGTCTATGTCACCGTTTCTCATCCACTTCTCGTACTGTTGAATTTGGTGGGCATTGATGCCAGTCTGCTCACAAATGTACTTTGTTGAATGTCCTGCCTTCTGTAGGGATGCAATAGCTACCAATACATCCCTTGACAAAACATTGCAATCACTCATAGTTCCGTGAGACAACTCAATGCTTGCACAAACACGTACAATCTTGGGTCACAGGTGGGGAGGTCAGCAACAGGGAGGCTCATTCTTGGAAGCCGTGCAGGCGACTAACCTACATTTTCTCCCCTCTCCCTGCCTCCTTGATCCCAGATGCAGTTAGTTGCCAGATGTAAAACACGCAACCAACTTGAACAGTAAGTAGGCTCAACATAGTGGGTTGATTTTAGCCATTGAAACTGTTGCTGTGTTCCGGCAACAATTTCATTTTCTAGTACTTGTATACTGTGGGGGGGAGGTCATTTAACAAGGACTGTCAACACAGTTACAGTACTAAAGTGAGATTGTCAAGGAGTAAACACACAAGTTATCTATGAGTTGTTGATTGTTTTTACAATGATTGGAATGGGCCTGTTCTTGTAGTGATCAGTTCATTTTTGCGCACACACACACACTAACACAAAACACACGAGTTTTGCTTTCATGAGTGATACTGACATTGTGGATGCATGGAAATACTTTATTAGTAGCTTGAATGGTGTTATGGTTGACAGTTTTTATTATGGGTTGTTGTGTTGGCATTTAACTGGTTTGTAGTATAGTGGTAACTAACACCTGACCCATTCTTGTCCTCAGGACTCACGCACCCTCCTACCCCCCACCTCCCTCTCTGTCTCCTTCACACAGGTGAGTCTCCTTCCGTACTAACAGATCTCACACTCATGCCCACTATATTGTTGGATATTACACTACCAGGAGTATGTTGTGGATCCACTCACTGATTTTTCTGTTTTTACAATTATTATTTATAATTTTCTGTATAAAAAGCATGGAGCAGTAAAACTGCTAAGCTTTTTTTGTTGGGGTACAGTGTGTAATTATTAGTGAAATATATTAAATTTTTGTTCTCTTAGTGACTTCATTGCATTTTTCTGGTTAAAACAGAGCAATCATACATAATTTTTTTAAGGGATTCAAGTTACAAGAAGTAACTAAAACCACAGAAAACTATTATATTGCCTCTTATGTTTTAAGATTTGTGCAATGGCTTATTTTTCATTAATGTCACAACTCATATTAGTTATTAAATTAGTTTTATTAACCAGCAGGTACTTAGTAATGAAATAATTTTTAACATGCCATAAAGATTTTTCATTAAACAAAAAAATTAAAAGAATTTTGTATGGATAATGATCAGAGTAGCTGCAGTACTTTATGTGCAGCTATGAATGTATAGTGAGAGAATGAAGCATCTTCCTGGGGTTTTGACGAATACATCACAGAACATTTGACGCACGCATGTGTGGAGGCCATAAACAGTTTTCAGGCCTTTGGAACCTTGGATAGGGGTCACCAGTGAGACCATTCACTGCTTTGGGTAATCAGGTTTCATTATTCTTCAGTCAAAGCTGGGAAGATACAGTACAGTAATATCTCCGTTAGCCGGAATCCCTCAAACCTGGAACTTTCCGATAGCCGGAATTGAAATTTTCTTGGGAAAATTTTCCCCAAATCTGGATTTTTTGGGAAAATTCCAGCTTTAGGAACGATTTTCCAAGGGGGCACATTTTCCGGAAAATTCTGAGAAAATTTTCCCGATGCCCGGAAAATTCCTGGGGTGAGGGATTTTTTCTGGGCTTAAGAGATGATGTAATGGGCAATTTGTGGAACTTCCGAGAAAATTTTTCTGTTACCCGGAAAATTCCGGGGGATGAGGGATTTTTTCCCGCCTTGAAAGAGTCGTCTCATTTCCCGGAAATCTCTCATTCCCAGAAGTGCTCTGCACCAATTGTTCCAGCTAACTGAGATCTCACTATATACACTCGTAGTTGCGCACAAGTATAAGAATACACTTTGTGTTCATGTTATTCAAAGTGGTTGAGGCTATGAGCACCTCATCTCTACCAACAACAAGAAAAGTGTTTTATAAGGATTGTAGAGTTAGTCTAATACAGCACTGTTTTTATAGCGTGTGTTTGTGTATTGTACTGAGTTTGAACCCTTGAAATGACCCCTCAGGTTAAAAGTAAAAAGCGGTTTAGTATTTTTAGACAAATTGAAAAACTGAATGTCAATGTGTTAGAAAGATGAGGAACAACTATACAGTAAGTTAATGAATACAGTATACTGTATTGCAAATGATTAATTGTGTTGCTAAATTTATTTGTAGCAAATAAAGTACAGGGTAGTACTTATAATTATGGGTAATGTTTTTCACTACTCAAGCCCCACCCTCTTGTTTATCAGCTGTGAAAAAAGCTGAATTTGTGCTTCATCTTTCTTTACCACCAGTGTTATCAGTTCACTGATGGCTGTAGGTCTTCCTCATATGTTTCCACAATCTTTTTTCGTAGCTATTTTTTTATATTGACCATCTCTAAACCAACTGATATCATCTATCCGCCTGATATCCGATCTTTTCTTATGTTTTGTGTATCTGTTGTAGAAATTGAGTCCTGGGGTAACATCACATGCACAGAGTCGAACACTTCTCCTTCCTTCACATCATCCTCAGGTGAGTGGTGGGATTGATTATCAAATTTCTTAACCATCATGAAATCTCCATGAAATATTCATTATATTCTTAGCATTTGTACAGTAAAATATTGTTAAATCATCAGATGCATTGATGTGTGAATTGATGTCATTACTGTGTCTCCTCGGTGTAAAGATAGTGTATGACTGATAAAACTGTGATACCGGGTATGGATCATTTACCTCCTGTTACAGGTGTAATAAATTTGGGCCATGGAAAAATTTCTATCTTGTATAGTTGTGGTACATTTAGTAATATTGTCATCCTAGTTCAGGATTTATTTGAAGATTATGTGAGTTGTACTTGTGATCCTCCTGTTTATTTTAGTGAGCTTAATGGTGGCATGGTTTACAGTACCTGTATTAAGATATCACTGTATTATACAATATATTGACTGGTTAATGTGACTGCTGACATGATGTTAAAATTGAAACTTCATGTAAAATTAAATTTTTCTAGGATGTGGAGAATTTACGAGTTCTAGGAAGTAACACTGGCAGTGAGGGAAGTGAAGATGTATCCTCAGGAAATGAGAATAATCGTAACAAGCCTGCCTTACCTCCTAAACCAGCTGTACCCTCCAAACCTCTTCCTCCCCCTCGCCAGAAAGGAGATCCGCTTGCTACCAGTAATGAGTCACTTAATGCTTCTCAGTCTTCTGGTCGGGGAGGCAGCCAGGGGCGACCACAACAAGGATACAGGTTAGGATGCAGTAATCTGTAGTATAAACTACTATACTTTAACAGAACACAAATATTTAGGTTTCCAGGGTGTAATGACAAATTATTGCATATTATTAAAGTGAAGTCATGAATTTATTACTTCTGGAAGGAATTAGAGATGTTCACATCCCTTATTATGCAACTTTATTCCAGGTATGCAAGTCAGAATGTGATAATGTCAACATATACTCAGCAAACAACTGGCCCAGAAAACCAGCAGGGTGACGGCAGTGAAGATAACTCGCGTCCCAAAGTTACAAATAATGCCACCAACAGTAACAGTGTTAGTGTCAAGGCCGATACTGAGAGTGGGGAGAAAGTCCATGTCTCAATTAATCGGCGTATTGAAATGCCACCAGATTTTATGTTCCCAGAAGATGAGACTCCACCTTCAGATCTTCTGGGTCGACGAGTGGAAGAAATAGAGAATGGAAATGCAGAATCTCAAACCTGCTCTATTAAAGAAAGTGGAACAGATTCAGTAGATAATATGAACATGACACCCATACTACCACTGAGCGAATTAGAAAAATTGAGAATTGATAATTCCAAGGAAGACAGGAATAGTCAAGATGATATTAATTCTACCTTGAGCATTGCTCACCTACCCAATGACGACTCTCGACAGCCAGACGGTGCCGATACAACTACTGTGCTAAGTGAAGAGGGTCGATTAGGTAAGGTGATTTTGTTTTTGAATTATGATTATTAGAGGGGTGTCTGTGTGGTGAAAACCCCCAGAATTGTTATTATGCTCACTGAGTAGATATATTCTGTCATTATATAGAAAAGGGTGAAAATTAGGTCTGTCTTTGTGACTGCTCATGTAAGCATGATTACCTGTATACCACAGGATTGAATATTGTCTTTTCTCTTTAATCTTCGTCTACACATTATTTTGTGAGTACAGGTACTAATTGTAGTATTCTATTTTTATACTACATAAGAGTATCAGATTAATTTTTTTAAACCGTGGAACAATATTTGAACTATTTTCACTAAAAATTATTCATATTACTTTTTCTTCATGCGAGAATTTCTCAAGTGTTTAAAATGTGTATTCTTCCAACAGAAGTTGAGGGTGATAGAAGCAATGACTCTACTCTTACAACCACAGTAACCACTTCCAATATCAACAATATTAATAATAATAATAATAATAATAATAATCATAATAATAATAACTCAAGCGCGGGAGGTGTTGTGGTACGACGTATAAAAAAGGGTAATCTCAAGACCAAGAACTCCTCACGAGTACCTCGCAGGGTGAGCTTTGACCCTCTTGCACTTCTCCTGGACGCTTCTCTGGAAGGAGAGCTTGAACTGGTTCGCCGTACTGCCATGGAAGTTACAAATCCCTCAGCAGCCAATGATGAAGGAATCACTGCACTTCACAATGCCATTTGTGCAGGTCATCTTGACATTGTGACATTCTTAGTAACCTTTGGGTGTGATGTTAATGCTCAAGACTCAGATGGATGGTAAGTACTTTTGTTTATTTAATGAAAAGTGTGTATTCATTAATTTTAGATGGATATAGTGGCTTTGAAAAAGAATATAATGCTTTAGTAAAAATCTAGTACAGTATTCTAAAAGTGTTCCTGGAAAACAAAGTTCTACAGGTGCTCCTCTACTTAAGAACGTTCAACTTACAAACTTTCAGAGATACAAACATCATCACTGGGGGTTACTGCAAAATGAGATAAGTTAGTGTATAAAATGTGTAGCCCTTGCCTTAATGGTACTCTGCACCCTCTTGACTCACCATGAATACATAAACTTTATACCCTACCTTATGATATTTTTCTTTCAATATATATATATATATATATAATATATATATATATAATATATATATATATATATAAATATATATATATATATATATATATAAATATATATATATATATATATTGAAAGAAAAATATAGGTAGGATTTTATGTAATCTGGTAGTGAGGTCCAGTACGAGTACCATTGCTAGGCAAAGAGTGACTCATTCTTTACAGCTCTTTATTCTTTCATTATTGCTATGACCTGTATATGCCTTTTTTTTTTACTGATGTTTACCGATATGCCTAAAATTTAAGTTTTGATGTTACAGTGTACTGTACAGTTAAAGCTACTTTTAGGGGTGAATCTAGTGATCTGAACAGAGGATTATTAACAGTATCACTTGTAGCCCTTCTTCCAGACTTCATGGGTAAAAATAAGTTAGTTTGTATGGCAGGAGTAAAAATATATGTGCAGGAAGCATTCAAAACTGGTGAAGGTGAGTGCTGATTGACTGAGAGGTAATCAGTGTAAGCTACTCTCATTTGTTCAGCGCGTGGGTCAGAAAGATGAGTGCATTGCATGGTCTTGTGAGGACTTTTTTCTTTAATTTCCTCTAGAACAATGATTATTATAACAAAACAATGTTTTAAGAGGTATGCCTGTCACAGTGTCTGAGGGGTTAAGTTTACAGTTAGCAGTGTTGGAGTAAAGTCTAATCTTGTACTAAAATTTTAGGGATAGTTAACTTATCCAGTGGTTGAAAGCGTAAAGATTACAGTAAGATTTAAAGTTAGATATTTTTGTCAATGCTCGTGTTGATGGTGATAACTGTTGTGTTTGGAGATGTGATGTAGTTATCTCTGTTTTGTGTTTAAAAGTCGTCTACATTTTATGGAGTTGAGTACAGTAGAATTAGTGATAATAAAGTATGGAATACTCTAGAGAATACATGACTAATTACAGTTTCATTGCAATCAAGATATTCAAAATATGACCCAATATTTTACGCTGTTTTTACAATATACCAGGACTCCACTACACTGTGCTGCATCATGCAACAATGTAGCCATGGTGAGGTTCCTGGTTGAACATGGGGCATGCATCTTGGCCACAACCTTATCCGACCATGAGACTGCTGCTGAAAAGTGTGAACAAGATGAGGAGGGCTATGATGGATGCTCACAGTATCTTTATAGTAAGTTTAATGTATTTGTTGCCTATTTTTACCTGTACTGTACCTATCCAAAATATATCGTTACTGCAAAATATTTAGCAATTTTTACCAGCTGCTACCATTTCACAGGGTTGTCACTGGCGAGCAGATTTAGTGCTCGCCTATGTCCTTAGGATTGCTGGTTCATTCCAGGGCACTTATGGTCTACAATATGGTGTTAGGGTAATTTATTGGTGGGGAAGCAAAGACAGTCAAGTGCAGTGGGCTGAAAGTTTAGAATTCATTGTGCTGTCTCTGACAGCCAGGCGTATGGAGCCCACTGCCACTTTTATGTTCCTTCCGAAGAAATTGTTTATTTCCTCATCCCATCCAACATCGAGGTACATTTAGTTATAATAATATTCACCAAAACATGGCTGAAACTTTAAGTAATATGTTGGAGCATACATATTTTAAGCATCTGGTTTGGTAAACATTTAAAAAAATCCAAGAAGCACAAATATGTGTATTTTTATAATTTAATACAGGCATCCCCAGCGTTACGGAAGGGTTCCGTTCCCGGAAAATTGACCGTATCGCGAAACCTATTTTCCCATTGACTTCCACTATAAAACTGGAGATGCGCTCCTAAGGAATTTTTTCGGCCCCAAAAAAGTAATTCAAGCACTTTTATTAATGAAAATAAACATTTATGAACACATACAATACAGTACATTAAATGATTTATGATAAACCTTCTTAAAACACCAATTTAGAGGTTAATATTGCATTATACAGCTATGTGTATGTTTATTTGAGTGCCCCGTCACAGGAGTCCGTTTTCTCTCACTTCAAGGCCACCTGAGTCGTCCGTTTTCTCTTAATCTTAAGAGTGCACCATGGACTACTGTATTATTTTTTAGTGGTGACACAGAATTTGATATTGCAATTGGGGTTGCAATTGTTGAGGCAACTTAGGTATGTCTGATTACAGTTGGAATATTCAAGATCCATTGTGAGTGATGTTTAAAGCTTCAACTGTCTTTATGGTTGGTAAAACTTGTCAATCTGTCAGTCTGAATGGTATGTGAGGCCTTGTGTTTGTTAAAATTTACCTAATGAAGGTGGATTTGAGGGTCAGAAGCGAAATTATTGATATAATTTACAAATTCAGTAAGGCGAAACTGTCAGAACGCGTGGGATGCCTGTACTGTACTGTTTATTACCATGCATTTGTGTAATGGTGCCTGAAAATATTTGAGGGGGGGTCATATTAATGAAACATTTATCAGAAAGTATATACCAAGAAAAAAATAGCCAGGAATACATATGGACATAATTGGGGAAATGGACAAAAGAAGTTATAATTTATTTGGGAAAATGTTGATTATGAAGGTGGGATATAAACTCGTAAGCACTTTGCTTTATGAATGCAACCAAAGATGGGAAAAGAACAAGCACTTTTGCTTTTCAGCCATTAAAGTCACTAGAATATACAAGAATTTGCTGTATGTTATATCACTGAACTTTATCATGCATATGATTCCTCTTAAAGGCAAGTAACGCTATGAAATTATAAATTTACTGTATCTCCAGTTTCATAAATGTGGTTTTTGTTGGATAACTATAGAGCAAATAAATTTTCCTAAAGTATAAAAATTTATTCACTTTGACTAAGGAGTCACCAGTAATTAACATGAACTATATTTTACTTATCCTAGTGTTGTGCATTCTCAAGGACTGACCAGTACCCTCCCTACAATGAAGGTTATGTAGTGTACGTACTGTACAGTGCTTGGTGTGTAAGACTGTGCATAATGTTTCCAGCTGCCACACAGCTTAAGTACTGTATCAGCATTCAACAATTAAGTCACAAGACTTGACATGAATATCACTATTTATTTCTGCTGTTGTTTTTGTGTCCAATAATTTACATTTGTAGACTTAGGGAAAGAAAGTTTGTGTAAATTTATTGGACACAATGATTATAAATTAATTTTTTAAATTATTATATTTACTGTAATGGTTTATTGATGTAAATACAGCAACCAACAAGCAGACATGTTAATAAAAAAAGGTATATATTTAACATATAATGTATGCATAAGGGATAGGGTTGTTTAACAGAAACTTATAAGTGTAGTTACACTACAGATATAGACCCTCACTACCTTACATTTCCTTTCATGCATTAGGTTTAATTTTCTTCCCTTAATAAAGACAAGTTTTGCTTCCAAATTTAGTTTAATTTTGTTTTATTTTTTAATAAGGTGTGCTTTTGAGGTCAAAAGCTGGAGTAAAAAACTTAAATGAGAAGTACATTATGGCTATACTCTTCATGCTCTTTTGGTGGCAAAATATTGAATACAAAGTATACTATAGTCTTGGTGTTCTTTTGAGGCTAACCCATTCCACTCTACCTTTCCTTCCCACCCATCCTCTTCTTATTCTTTTCCTCCCATCCATCTCCTCCTTTACTTGTACCTATTACCCATTTTCCCCCATTTGTCCTTCCTTTTGTATTTCCTTATCCTCCCCTGCATTCTCTTTAATACCTACTTCTGTTACAGCACTCGCCTCCACTCAACCTAACACAAATTGTGGAAAATTTTTTCCCCACACAGGTGTCCAAGAAAAGCTTGGTATAATGAATGGAGGGGTGGTGTATGGTGTGTATGATTATGAAAGCCAAGCTAGTGATGAGTTGAACTTCCGTTGTGGTGATGCCATCACTATTCTACGCCGAGGAGACGAGTATGAACGTGAATGGTGGTGGGGACAACTACAAGACATCCAAGGATATGTTCCTAGGAATTTGCTTGGGGTGAGAAAGACATGAATATGGTTTTTCATTCAGTTTAAAAGAGTTTAATTATGTTGATTATGTGTAGAGTTTATGTTCAAATACTTTAAATTATTATTTTTTTTGGTTAGCATAATTTAAATCATTGCCCAAATGTGAAATTACAATACTGTACTATACTTACACATATTCGACATTTTAAAATCACTGCTCTGATAGCATAATGCACAAAACATTCCGTTAATTATTTATAGACAAATAAGTCACTCAGCTCAATTGCAAATTGTCATTAATTTAGGAAGATTTTAATTGTTCCATTTTAATTTCAGCTTTATCCCAGAGTGAAGAATCTTCCCAGGATTCCTGAGGATTTTGGATATCAAGATATTATTTAGCATCCTGTCAACCTACATATGCTACAAGATGGTAGCAGTGAGCTAGAGTTGTTTGGAAATTTACCAACATGACATTTGCCTCCCATGAATGGGCACTAGAAAAGGTGGTTATCATTTCTTAAAAGTCATATCTGTATACAAAATGTAATGTACTATTTTTGTGCTAAACAGCCGACATGAAGACATTGACTTACGGTATGCCTCTGAAGACTATTAATGTTGACGTGAAAGTAAGTTACAGACTTTTTGATAATACGGCTTACTTCATATATTTTGGTGGTAGAAATGTGGCATGAATAACTCAAAGATTGATAGCTGATTTTTTTTTCAGAATTACAATATGTACAATATAATAAAACAGGAAAAAATTCCAAGAAACTGCATTCGTACCACCAAAATTGCATTTTTTTATATATATATATATAACATTGACTGAACAGACCAGTGCCTTATGTAACAGACAACCAGCAGTTGCTTGTGTTCTCAGTGATGAAACCCATAATACACACACACATATATATATATATATACACACATATACATATATACACATATATATATATATATATATATATATATATATATATATATATATATATATATATATATATATATATATATATATATATATATATATATATATATATATATATATATATTATATATATATATATATATATATATATATATATATATATATATATATATATATATATATATTATATATATATATACACACACACAGATGATCCATATTCTGTACTGCTTTGGATGACGCTAGGTATTATTTTTGACAAGTAAATGCATTACTGCATAGACTTTTATGGAGCAAAGTTTTTATTGACTGGAGAAAGACAGTGAACAAAATTGGAAGTGAAAATTGTATACTAAACCATTAAACAAAGAAACCACTGTTAAAGCCAAATGAATTTTGTCATTGTCCTTCACACACCAGCAATATTGATATAGAGGAAAAGTTGCAGTGATCTGAAGCTTGTATGAATGTCCTTTTTCAATGGAATGGAGCCTTGGAACAGAGCTATTTTTCTAGCATGACGACTACACAATATTGTTAATATTTTACTATTAATTGTACTGATATACACAATTGAAATAAAAGTTGCCATATAATATGCCTATATTTATCCTACAATAGAAAACACTTGATAGTAACAGCCTAAAATCTACACCACAGCAAGTCAAACTGGTAAATTAAATTAGTTATAACAAACTTGCAATGTAATATCCCCAGGGGGACAAGCTTTGTATGCAAGTTTAAGGAAAAACTTTTTTGTTGAGATGAACCACGTCTTTAAATTACAGCAGATATGTGATTACAAGTTGCACATAATAAGTTCTAATGATCACTGCAGCAAGTTACTAGTTTTACCAAATAATGCTAATTTTCAAACCTAAATATTCGAAAGGCCAAGGAACAGCAATTAATATTGAATGAACTTGCTACATTGGTTTCCCCAAAATTAAATGAAATAAAGATGCCTATAGAAGACTTCACAAAGGCATTTTTATATAGTAAAATGTAATTACTACTGACCTCAGAATATCTCCAAATATCATGTGCACATGGTCTCAAAATGGCTTCAAAATGCCCATGATATCGGTCAGGTTAAAATAAGAGGGGGTGGGGAGGCTTGCAGCATGCCCTCAAAACCCCCAACTGGTGGGCTCATGCTTGCCATGTCCCTCCCCCCCTTGATATTCCTGGATTCGCCCCTGCCACCACTACCTCATCACCCACCACCACTACCTCACACACCATCACCCACCACCACTACCTTACACAACCACCACCTCACACCACCCATGCACTGCGTCTCACTGACACACACTGCCTCTCGCACTCCTTCGACTACAATCAATACTAATACTGGCTAAGGACTTGTTGGCTGGTTCAAGCAGCAATTACTGACGTCAATTAACGTCACAGCGTGTCATAACGGGACTGGCCAATGAGACGGGACTACGAGGTGGTGTGTCGGAGGTGAGCTAGCAGCCGCGAACCATCACCCCGGGAGTCGGACTCCTGGCTGGCCCGGTTCAACACTTTCTGCCGTGAGCTGTGTGTGTGCCGTTGGAGTCCTGCCGTGAGCTGTGTGTGTGCTGTTGGAGTCCTTCCGTGAGCTGTGCGTGTGCTGTTGGAGTCCTGTCGTGAGCTGTGTGTGTGCTGTTGGAGTCCTGTCGTGAGCTGTGTGTGTGCTGTTGGAGTCCTTCCGTGAGCTGTGTGTACTGTGGGAGTCCTGCTGTGAGCTGTGTGTGCGCTGTGGGAGTCCTGCCCTGAGCTGTGTGTGTGCTGTGGGAGTCCTGCCGTGAGCTGTGTGTGCTGTGGGAGTCCTGCAGTGAGCTGTGTGTGTGCTGTGGGAGTCCTACCCTGAGCTGTGTCTGTGGGAGTCCAGTGTGGCCGTGAGTCATGAGAGTGCTGCCGTGTGATGTGGGAGTGTTGCCATGTGGCGTGGAAGTGCTGCCGTGTGCCATATCAGTGTTGTGTGTTTTGATTATTAAATAGTTATGTTCACCCTTACACGTTGTTAATACCAACCCTTTTATTCTATTGGAAATAGCATAACACCATAGGCTGTAGCAAGAAAGTTGGTTTCTTGGGCAGGTATTCAACCATGATATTAGTGGAAAGGTCATTAAGGTTAACAGGGGTGGCTGGGAGCATTATTTTGAAGTACCAAGGCTTTATTAACAATATTTTTTGGTTACTGTACCTTTCTACTGCAAGACAGAAACAGTTGGTAAACCAATCTTTGAATAGGCTGCCAGTCATCCATTCCTATTGGAGCACCATATCACTGGTAACCTAGATTTAACGTAGTCCTTGGATTTTCTGAGTGGTACACAAGCATGGGCTTTAATTTAAAACTTCCTGCAGCATTACCCCCTAACGGAAGAGTTACACGATCTTTGGAAGCCTTAATCCCAGGAGTTGTTTTCTCCTGGGAGGCATGCACTTCCAAAACAGACCTGTTTCAACAACATAGTACACTTATGGTGTGTATCTACCAGCCTCAATGATTGCCTTCAGTAATGCTGGATAATTACAATCAGCCTCAGTATCAGCACTGACTGCTTCACCTACCATCTTAATGTAGTGGAGGTATTAGCATTTCTTAAAATGCTTAAACCACCCTTTGCTGACTTAAATCTATGTACAGACTCTTAGCCTTTTCCCGAGCACATTTCACTTGGTCTGGTCCTTGATCCACACACTGAGTAAGCATTTCATTTTTATCACATCATTATTATGGTGAAAATATAGTGTGTGAGCTGACAATGGAGTAGCAACTAATAATGTCTGTTATCACGGATTGTCCGGATATTGGAGGTAGCAAGTTTTGGCAATGTAACTCAGCTTCTCCTCTTGGTCGAACCTCGGGAAAAGAGTGACAAAGCTGAACATTGGCTGGGGATTCAAACAGACCAAAACCATTGTTATTGCTGTGGGACCGCAGCTGCCTCGTGGTTATCACAAGAGAATCGACACAAAATTATATTTACAATCTGGGTAAAAAATTAGGTTAAAATAGCGATATTTCCTTCTTTTAAATTTGAAATTTCGTAAGGGCGAAATTCCATAACCAAGGATTCCATAATGATGGGGATGCCTGTATATATCTGTATATAACGCCCTCAGATACGCATCTCCCTACAGTATATGCAATGGTATAATGACGTATGTGAGGTATTACTGTACAGTTAACCCTCACTTTACGCGGTCCCGCATTCCGCGTTTCCACGTTAACGCGGTGCCTTGCCAGAACCTCACGTGCTCAAATTACGCGGTACATGAACCCCATTACGCGGAGAGTGTCCGGTGCGATGCTATTTTTAGATTCGCCCCACCCGCCCGCCTGTGCTCCTCGCCTCCTCCCTCCGCTTGGGCAAGCGGCGCGGTAAGGTTGCGCAGTGTATGTCTTTGTTGCGTTATCACTGACGTCATATGACGTATCAGACCTGTGATTGGCCATGCATCCCTACCCCCTTCTGCTGCTAGCTGTAATTGGCTTAAAGTATTATGACGTGTCCACCCGGGGGAGGGAGGGAGGGAGGGAGGGAGGGAGGAAAGACGACGCTTGACCTAGCCGCGGCAGTTTCATCCCTCAAGGCCACTCCGTGTAAACGCGCATCCATTGTTCCGTAAAATGGCTTCCGCCGGACCACCACCCCCAGAGAGAAACCTTTCCTTACCTGGACCCAGCGGCACTAAGCCAAAGAAGACACGACGTTCCTTAAGCTACGAGGTGAAGTATACCATCATCCAAGAGTTGGAGAAAGGAACAAGGCAGGTTGATTTGGCGCGCCAGCATGGTGTGAACGAATCTACGATCCGGACTATAAAGAAGGATGCAGCCAAGATAAAGGAGCACATGAAGATCACAAAGTCTACAGGTGCTTCTATGATCAAGTATTTTCACAACCAGGTGCTTCTCAAGACAGAAAAATTACTTGTGAGGTACTTGGTGCGTCAGGCGCGACGGAACATGGCGGTCGACACGCGCTCTGTTAAGGACTACGCACGTGAACTGTACATGGCAGTGGCACGAAAGATGGGAATTACAGAGCCCAAACCCTTTAATGCTTCCTCTGGGTGGTTACAGAGGTTTAAGATCCGGAACAAGATCACCAATATAAACATTGGTGGTGAAGAAGCGAGTGCTGATCGTGCTGCGGCTCGGAAATTTCCTCCGTTTTTACGTGAGATTATGGAGGAAGGACAGTACAGTGACGACCAGGTGTTCAACATGGACGAATCTGGTCTTTTCTGGAAAAAGCTACCTTCCAAGTCCTGCGTTGTAAAGAATGCCAGCAGGATTCGGGGCCGGAAAATGCAGAAGGAACTCATCACCGTCCTGTTTACCACCAATGCCTCCGGTACCTGTAAGCTCAAGTTATCGGTGATCCACACAGCACGCAAGCCGCACGCCTACAAAACCATGGACATGACCAAGCTAAATGTCCACTGGCTGGCCGCACGTAAGGCGTGGATGTTCTCTACACTGTCCCTCTCCTGGTTTGATGACTGTTTTGTTCCCGATAAAAAAAAATTCTGTGAGCGACAGAATGTGCCATTCAATATTTTGTTGCTGCTGGACAACGCACCAGGACACTCGCCCCTACTGTTAGATCGTCACCCCAACGTAAAAGTGGTCTTCCTTCCTCCCAACACTACGTCATTAATCCAGCCCATGGACCAGGAGTTAATCTGCAATGTAAAAGCTGCATTCTCAACAAAAAAATTCCAGCTCCTGAACGACTACACCAACACCAGGGAAGAGTTGCGTAACCTGAGTGACACCACCACCGATAGCAAGAGCGAAGAAGATGAGGATCAACAGTTGGAACAGCAAAAAATACTGTTCAAACAATTCTGGAGAGTATTTAACATCAAGAAAGCTGTGGACTTCTTGGTGGAGTCATGGGATCAGCTGTCTATTGCTACAATTCGTCACACATGGAGACATGTGTTGCATGGAATTCCAGGTGAGAGGAGGAGTCAATCTGTGACTGGTGAGGTTCAGAATGTTACAGTAGCAGTGGACTTTGCCAGAGAAGCTGCGCAGACTGTTACAGTTCCAGGCTTCTCCGAGACCACCAACGACGACATCCTGGAGGTGATCAGAGATCCTGAAGTGACTGCCGACGAGATGTTGGAAGAAGAACACGTCAGTGAAGAGGAGGAAGAAGGTGCGTCATTCTCCGAAGAACACAGTTTAAGTCATAGTGATATTAAGGGTGCTATGGAGTGTGCAGAGAAAATGAAGTCCTTCCTTTCCCGCGACAATGACGATGACCGCTATGAAGTCTTCCATACCCGGCTGGTGCAGGCTATGGAGCTGTACATCAAGGTGTATCATGACAACATCAACGCCAGCCGTCAGCAAAGCATAACAGATTTCTTCGCCCGCAACCCACCACAGCCAGCCCAAGCCAGTGAAGATGACTGAGGGATTTGTCAGGGAAGCCCTGACAACTGTAAGTGACAGTGATGGTGATTCACCTAGTAATGGTGATTCACCTGAGGGCCAGTAATCTGCCCTCTGCCTCGGAACCAGCCTCCATCCCCGTATGCCGACCCATCTCTTCTACTACCGTAAGTGTTCCACCTAATTTTTAGTTTTCTAACCTAACCTTTATTTTTCCTATGTTAACCTTTATTTTTCCTAACCTAACCTCTTCTATATTACTTGTTTTTTCATACCATCATAAAGTTAAGATAAAATTTTTACTACAACATAGTTATGTGTCATCAAAAAGTGGAGTTTGGGGATCAGCCTGGACTCCATTTCAATGAATCCCATATGTTATGTTATTCACTTTACGCGTTTCTCGCTTTCCGCGATACCCTCCGGGTTACATTAACCGCGTAAAGTGAGGGTTAACTGTATACGAATCTGTTTTACTTACTGTACGCAGATATAATGTCCAATAATTAAAAAGACTAAAATCACTAAATTTGGGAATAAATAAGCAAAAGATCACCAAATTAACACTACACTGTATACCACTACCCGCACAACCCCTGACTTTCTGCGTAGGTAAGCTATAACTATGGTCACATTTCAACCAGTCGCTTAAGTGATAACACCGCATGTGAGACCCACGTAAAATGAGACCCCAATGTAATTCAAAATCAAATAATTTTCCACTGCATTGGCTAGCTCGTAAAATAGAAGATAACTAAGTTCCCAATTACTGCAGATTAGACAGAAGGAAATATTTAACAGAAACTTACCAATTACCAATAATCTCACCCAACCCAAGACCACTCACTTTTGCCAAAGTGGCAGGATGCCACAATTATACTTAAGAGATTGGATAAGGGGATGAGAAAGGCCTTAGTAGCAGCATATATTTGTAGAAGTGAAGTAACTAACCATAGGGAGGGTTTCACGTGCTGGTCAGTGAATGCCGCGGACCAAACACTGACGTCACTTAGAAAGGTAGTCAGGTCGGGGCTTCCAGAGAGGTGTGGTGCACCCGGAGTACATGAGTCTCTGATTTCCTCCACTAAATGTAATCTCTCTGAAGACTGGTTTTGTATAGCTCAAAATGTTAAGAGAAATAAAGAAACAACTCTTTCATGTGTTTCCCTCCCACCCATTATATCAAGTGCAACAAAAACTCCCTCATTTTTTCTAGCTTTAGTGTATCACTAAACATTTTCTACTTTGGTGCCTTTCTATTCTACCTCTATATTTTTACTCATCTCTACTTTTTCTACTTAACTACAGTACAGTACCTAGAACTTCTAACCTCCTTTACCAATTCAAGAGATAAAAAAGGCAACAATTCAGAAACTGATTTATAACCAAATACATTTATTTACAAAACAACAGGATATACAATTTACAATATAACTTACCAACTATCTCAGTGTTAGTTTATATTATTTCCAGCTACTTTATAAAATATTTGATGAATGTGTAAACAAAATCTATAAGAAAATGAGCATGTATTACTTTACCAATAAGTTTCAGTAAAATTATAACCTTTTTTCTTTGTACCCATATGATTTATTTAAGTGAGTTGAAATTTTCAGATACAGTACAAGGCATTCACTGAACAGAGTGAAGGAGAAAATAGGTTCCTACATTTTTTAGTAACTACAGTAAGCAGACAGTCTTCCTTGAACTCTTATTAATGACTTTTAAATCATACCCGGTACTTCAAGATGTTAGGCCTATGTTACTTTAAGAAAAAACTTTTCAAAACCAACACTAATGAAAAATCTACAGTGAGGCAGAAAACTACCAGTGCTGTTAACAGTTCAGTGAGTTACCTTAAATATTTCCTTAAGATTCTTTTATTCTTGTACCCCTTGTAGAGAGACAATGACCATGACCTTCACAAAAATACTGGCTTTTAATATTAATGATATTTGTATAGTTCTTCTGAATCTAGCATAGGCTTATATTTGACTCTCCTGTCCTTCCTCTTTGCCTTTGGAATATATATTGGGCTGTATTCATCCAAGCGACGCTGACCAGGATCCTTCTGTTTACTGTAAAATAAAAACAATTAATGAATAAAAATAAATACATGAACTGTTAACAGTACAGTGGTCCCTCGGTTAACGAACACAATCCGTTCCAGCAGGTTGTTCGTTAACCGAAACCATTGTTTCAATGGGTTTTTGGGTAATTGGTTCCAGCTCACCGAAAATTGCCTAAATTCAACAAAAATGGTAGAAAAGTTCACTTACTTTGAGGTGTGTATGTAGAAGGCTCCTGGATGATGATGATGATGATGATGATGGGAATTAGAATGGGGGTGGAGGAGAAGGAAGAAGAGAAGGCATTGGGGTGGAAGAGAAGTCACCCCATGGCACCATTTCACCCATAAAATTTTAGTTCTCTTGGTGTATTTCAAGATTATTTTCTTTAAATCAACACTGCACTGCATTATATATTGTCAATATGTAAAATATATTTCAAAATGACCAATAATTTGCTTGGAAACACAGAAAAAAAGCGTTTAGTTGAAGAGAGTCTCAAGCAAGATGTTACCTCCAGTGAAAACAAAGAGAGACTAACGCCTGTTTGCTGTGTTAAGAGGCTGGATGCCGCGCATTAAACTAGTCACTTTACCTTCAATTATGTTCAATAATTGTTAAAATGACTAAAAAATTGAATATTAAACTTTTAAAATTATTGAATAGTATAAACTTCTTGATATTTACTAAAATAGTAAGGAATTTAAGCCCTAGAACCGATTAATGTATTGGCGGACTAATACTAAAGCTGGTTGACCGGCCAGTGCAAGCGAAAACATGTTGAGGTCGGTTCGTAAGAAATTCGTTAACCGAATTTAAGAATCTTATGGGAGGCAGTTCGTTAACCGAGGGACCACTGTACAGGTATCCCTCGCTATATGAATGCTTGAGATACAAAAATTTGCTAATATGAATTTCCTAATTACCACCTCCTTTTCGTGTTACGAAAGTTCCCCCCGCTTATACGAATTTGGGTCCTGGCAAAAATTCAAATGGTGCGTCCCCGGGAGTCAGCTGGAGCAGCCACATCCCTCTAGCAGGCTGAGGTAGGAGTTATATTATGGTTATTATTCATCTAGTAGTTTCGGATAGATAAGCTTAACGTTCTTTACATTTTTTTTAATTAATTTACATGCACACACACAGTCGTATATAAATAATGTGCAAAAAGGTAAAAAAATAACTATCATAGGTTAAAATCATGTATGGAATAAACATTTCTTTGTGTGTGAGAGCAGGAGGTGGAGCGTTGCTAAGGATCGGCAGAGGCAGCCGGGCTGCGTTGCTATGGTGGCGCCTGAGGGCAGCCAGACACGAAGCAGCTTTAGATTTTCCTTTATAAGTAATATTTCCATTCGCCGGAATCCCTCTTAAACAGAACTCCGATAACTGGAATTCAAACTAAAAACTGAAAAGATATACAGTGAACCCTCGAAGATTCGGATTTCAGAAGATTTGGACAAAAATTTGGGGGGATCTGGGCTATGAATCCTTCCTAAAACAGAGCAAAGAATATTTTAGGCTCAAGGACGCTGGTTGACAGGTCGGTCATGCTGGACACAGTTGCCCTATAAAGTTGCTAGGATTCTGGCCACAATTCCTGCAACCTAGTGCTCTGTGGAAAGGTAATTCAGTGGTCCAAGGTGGCTGAAGACTTATTTGTGAAGTACCAAGGGGCAAGAACAACAAAATGACATAGCAATAATAAGCATTGAGCTTGCCTACATCAATCAGATCTTTAAATTCGAAATGGTCAATCACTAATATCTTTGGTAGAAGAAAGGCAGAGACATTCTTTTTCTAAGATAATCTAAGCAACTCATCACTTGAATTCCATGAGACAATGTTGGTTAATTCGGTTACATTCGTTAAGCTGATTATTACACACCTCCTTGACTTTACCTCATAAAGTACTGTAATTTCTAATGGTATTGGTGTCTTTGTTACATGCTTAGGACAACCACAACAGAAGGACATCAGCTTTATGCCAGTACTCCTTTTACTTCAGGTAACTTTATTCATTATTTGGGTGTTTTTTTATTTAATTTTATTAACCATGTCTTATTTTCATTTTTCTCATTGCATCGTATATTACTCTTTTGATCATATTTTCATGTTTGCGTATACTTAATTGAAATAAAGTCATACTTGAAATATAATTTTTGGCTTTGATATCTTTTTGGCCAAAGCATAATTGCCCCCCGATGAAATTGGCCCCCTATGCCTATCAATAAAAAAATTCTTGTAACTTCTACAGTATATTGTTCTGTTATGAAGCTTTGTCAATAAACATCAATGGCATAGAAGCACTTGGTATAATGTGTATGAATATTGAGGAAGTGAGCAACTAAGGGTGGATATTTCTACTTGTTGTAACCTCTTCTTTGAGGCTTCTGTACCCTCTGATTTACCCCACACAAAAGAAGAAGAGGAATGCAGATAAACATAGTGCCATTATAGTACTTATCTCCTAACTTAAAAGTGAAGAAGCTACACCAGCATGAAACTGGAGAAATAGAATATAATCATTCATGTTTCCTGAAAAAAATCTGAATTTCTCAATATTAATGAATGGAAGAAATATTCCTCATGTCCTTGACTTTTTAAATACTACCTACAGAGTAAATCCATAGCCCTCATACTGATTCACCCCACTTCATATGTTTCACTGCACACCAAGTGCTATTGTCAGAATATTTTACAATACAGGTTGTACCTCTCTAGTCCGGCAACCTCGGGACCTGACCGGTGCCGGACCATGGAAATTCACCCTTTTCCTGGATAGATAGTGACTTGTGCTTATGCCTGGAAGCACTAGCACCACTTTCTCTGCGTCATGGTCTCTTTGAAGACATATTGAAGGGTTTAATGTCGTATAGTAGCTTCTCAAATTTCGCGAGTTTTTAATTCTTAACGTATTTTATTGGAACACACAAAAAAATAAATAAATAAAAATTTTGACGGCGGAAACTTGAATTTCGACGGGTTTGAACGGCCCGCCAATGTGCAGACGACGTGCATAATCGTGTAAACAGCGTCATTTCTCTTATGTACAAAAGATTCATTATTGTTTATTACTGAATGTCTTTTTTATTGAGTTAATGTTTATGTGTGCAAAATGAGCAATACAATTCATTAATAATACGTAGAATATTAAAACACACGAGGAAATGACATCATTGTTTTCGTTGATTACAAAACCAGTGACTGACTGGTTCTACATATAAAACTGAAGAAAATAAGACCTTGGTTGCAGCTGTAGTAAAATAAATATGGTTGTTTTTAGTAATGTTATTTAATGTTAATAAATGGAACAATAGAAGTAGCTAACGATAATGGTAAAGAAAAAGAGAGATCGCATATTTAAGTGCGCATGCGCACACGTGAAAACATATCGTCATTATTTTACATAAGAATATGAAAGCAACACTTATTTACTGTTCATATATATTTTAATTAATGTTTCTGAATTTGTTTTTATTGAATTAATGTACGTGTGTGCAAAATTAACAATACAAATTATTAATAATACGTGGAATATTAGAGGAGACGAGACGGCTGCCGGCATTGTTTATGTTAAAGCTTACGAAACCAGTGACTGATTGGTTCTACATATAAAACTGAAGAAAATAAGACCCTGAGTTTAGCTGTAGTAAAATTAATGTAAAAAAATGAATATGGTTGCTTGAAGTACCTGTAATGTTATTTAATGTTAATAAATGGAACAATATAAGTAGCTAACCATTAATGGTAAAAAAAAAAGTGAGACTGCTCGTATGTAAGTGCGCACATGTGAAAATATATCGTCATTACTCTACATAAGAATATGAAAGCAACACTTATTTACTGCTCATATATATTGAAGGGTTAAATGTTGTACTCTGTATAGACAAGCAGAGAGAGAGAGAGAGCAGCCGAACTGCCGGATGTAAACAAACCTTAATTTCCCGTGGCTTTTTTTTTTTTTAAGGGGATTAGCCCACCCGGGCATAGGTCACTGACCCACATTGGGGCCTGAGGGGCAAAAATTTAATACTCCTGTAATAATAATAATAATAATAATTCAGATAAGTAAAAAAACCTGCCTATCTACCTATTGGACAAACTAAAATCGTTCCGGATCACGGGAGTTTCCGGACCACAGAATGCCGGACTAGAGAGGTACAACCTGGACTAAAAATGTTAAGTCTTGTCTCATTCAACCCAAAAAATTATTACCAGAAAAACTACTTATCAATATTACATAGATACTCACCGGGATTTTTCACATCACTATAAGCATTATCCCAGCAACACACACCACCACAATAACACAACTAAATTTACTTACTAATGATTTTCAAAGAAACGTCGGCGGGCTTCAAAAAAGCGGGTATTGAAGTCCTTCTTGTAGATTTTTTCCCAAAGGTACATCTCTGGCTTCATAAAGTGGCGGCCACGACCAGAGAAGAGGTCATGCAAATGACTCTGGAACATCTCACGATACTCTTCAGATGCTGGATGGTCAGCCAAATGCTGTTGGTAAAAGAAACTTGGTGGAGAGAGCTGTAGCCAGTAAATTCCATAACTAACAACAGGTTCAAGCCCAGAAAAAATAATCTCATTTCATACAATAAAATTACAACTAGAGCATCACAGATTTCAGATTTGATTCAGATCAGCACATCAAATATTCACTACTCAATTTGATCTTCAGTTCTCAATTTGATCCTTGTGATAGAGAAATGAATATTATGAATCTTGTCTAATTTTGATACACATTTTTGTGAAGGAAACATGATAAAGGGAAAAAAAGTTACAAATAAATACTACAAATCCCAAGAGATGAATAATGAACACCTTACTTGTCCACTGCCTTGACCACAACTGAATTTAGAAGTTAAGTGTAAATTACTTTCCATTCAGAGTGAAAATTTACCTTAGAGCCTTTAAAAGCACATAGTTTTTGTTAAACATTCATATCATGAGTAGGATCACAAATAACCTCAAACTTCTATGGGGTTCACTGTATCTATGGAGGAAAGTGACTTAGTAATTTACAAAACTTACTTAAAATCTAAGAAAACAATCAGTACTGTACCTTATATGATCCCAGGTGAGGTGTTGGGTTGTCTCTTTCAATTCCCTTCTTGAGGTACATGGATATCAGAGCTGTAAGCACTTCAGCATTCAGCCCCTTAACACCATTCTCAAATAGCACCTGCTCTTCTCCAAGCCTGATAGTGATGATAATAATGAAAAACCCCTTTAAAGGTGCAAAGGTTTTGTTAACTATAGCAAAGAATTTATTAAAATTCAAGAGGAAACTGTGATTTCAAATGGATATAAAAGATGGGGCTTAAAATAAAGAGTACAAACAAGATAATATGCATAGTGTTATATTTCACATTCAAGCCTTCTGGTAATAATACATAAAACTGACTGACCAAAGGATATTGTTGTGAGGGTTATTGGTGGCAAGATCTGAGTGTAGGGTGCAGGTGTTTAGCTGATACACACTAAAGTTCCACCGCTGCCCGTCAGTAATAGCAGACTGCTGGACCAATGGGTATGTGAGCTCCGTTACTGGACCAAACCCTGCAACACGTTACATGAATAGTAAAATACATCATCATATTATTCACACACATACCCCCCTACAGAATATAGGATACAGGACAGTGTACAAAATTGGTCCACCACCAACTATACCAAGATCATGGTTATGCCTATTAACCTTTCCTCTGACCATGTTCTACCTCTCTCTCCATCACACTAGCCGCCCAAACAGTCTAAGTTGTGGTTTCCTCCAAGCTTCTCAGCATCATTATAGATAACAAACTGAACTGAAAAGTACACATCAGTAAAATCCTCATCTTTTCCCCCCCCCCTCCCCCTCTACTGTCTCAAGTCCCTCAGAGTTCCTTCATACATGCTTCCTCTGCTTGATCTTCATCCTTTACTGCTACACAATGAGGACTCCTAGAAAAAATGCAGAAGGCACCACATGAATAGGTGCTCAGTATATTGACCCTCTCAACTCTCTCTGTTCAACACCATGACCTCAGCTCTCAGTTTGGGATGAAGGTACTACACTATCCTTCCCACTGTCTCCTGTTACCGAGATACCGTCCACAAATTGTTGGTTAACACAACAACTGCATGCAGCCCTTATGACCTTGTATTAATTGCTATAACAGCAGCTCCATTCCAAACTATTGTAAAAATCCTCAAAAATTCAAATTTTTTATTGATTTTTATTACTTACAGACGGTTTTAATGATTTATAGTAGATTTGGAAAAGGCAAATGACAGGGTGAACAGAAAAGCATTGTTGAAGGCATTACAAGTGTATGGGGTGGGAGGAAGGCTATTAGGTGCAGTAAAAGCATTCTATGAGAACAGCAGGGCAACAGTAGGAGTAAATGGGAAAGAAAGTGAAACATTTGAAATAAATGTGAGCGTTATACAGGGATACATTATGTCCCTGTGGTTGTTCAATATATACGTGGATGTGAACTGTTATACACTGGTAAAAGTGGTGATAATAAGTTTTCCTACAGGGCTGCTCACATCTCAAATCCTGATTATAAGGGAGCCAAGTTGCCAATGTTCAGCATAACTGGTAACTGCTTCTATTTATGGTTTGGCTCTGAGCCTCTGATTCTAATGTGTTCAGATCAGGGGAGCCAAGTAGCCACTGTTCATCTCTCTCTCCATTTGTACTTAAATGAATTCTCTCGAACTTTCAACTGTAAAAGTATAACAGTTTTTCCATGCAATAAGATGAACTTAAACTTGTTTTTTGCTTTTAAGCATGTACTAGGATGAGACTGAATGAGTGATCAAAGCTTGTGTTTTTCAAATTTAGCCTTTGAGATGGAAAAGTGTATAAATAATTGCTAAATCATCTTAAATGTAATGTTCATGAATAATATCATATTAAAAAGGGCTACAAATATGCAAAACTTAATAAAACCAACATAATGCTATTAGTCCCCCCCCCCCCAAAAAAAAAAATTACTGATCTTGATAAAAAAAAAAAAAAAGAAGCCAACCCTGCTCTTAAGTTAGATAGGATATAAATGTTGGTGGATCAGCCCGTAGAAAAATACCTAAATCGTAATGCAGCCCATGACTGAGGATAGGTTGCCTATGCCTGGTCTACCCTACTCAAAACACTAAATGTAAAGACAAAACTCACCAAGGTAAGCAGCATGTGCAAGTGCCTGGGTAAAGGATGAAATGATCATCATGTGATGTAAGGCTACATCAGTATTATGTTCACCATATTCTTCAACAAACTTAGTGATGAACTCACGGCTATGGAGCCACAGTTGACTGTGCTCTTTTTTCTCTCCTGGCCAAAATCCTGAGGAAGATTTTCATTTTTGTATTAATTAGCAATCACTAAGCATTATTCAATTTACTAACAGCAATTAGCAAATCTGGATTTACCTGAAGGCAAATAATTCACTAAGACTATACAGCAAAGCCTCCAATAACGACGGTTCAACTTACGAAGATTCATATCCAAGACCCTGGTTAATTTAGGACCCGATTCAATGTACGCCATTATTTTCTTCGTATTTATGACAAAAAAAAAATACAAATTACATTTTCGTAAAAATAATAACTAAATCCCGATACTATATAAAAAAAAACACTTCTTGTGTACAGAGGCTGCCGGGCTTGCTAGTGGCGATGCCAGCATCACTAGTATAAACAATCGCAGCTGGCGGGCCCTTTGTTTTCACCCATCTGAACAGAAAAATGAGAAAAACTTTCTCAGGTTTCTTACAGCATTTTTGCATCCCTATTCAACATGAGCAAGAGAGCAAGTGATGGTAGAGTTGTTTCAAAAGTTAAAAGAAAGTGTATAAGCTTAGCTGAGAAACTAGATGTGTTAAAACGATATGAAAAAAGTGAGAGGACTGTGGATATTATATGGGACAAGCAATGAACATATTTTATGAAGTGGATCCATTAACAAAACAAAGCATTATAATTTAAATAAATGCAAATGACCTCTACATAAAGATGTATAATGATAAAAGAAAGCAGCTGTGCAAGGTTTTTTCAATAGCTATATTATTCAAAGGCCTAAATCATCAAATTCAGCATCATAAGCAGTTTCATCAACAACTTCAGGTTCAGCAACAGCTATGACATCTTTATGGAAAGCTACAGCTTCAGCCAGAGTTGAACCTGATAAATTCACACACAACATTGGCCGTCCCTATGTTTTAGACTTTACCACTATTGGTGAGTAGAATTTTTGTTTTACATTCATAAATATAATTTAAAACATATTTGAACAGTAAATAAGTGTTGCTTTCATATTCTTATGTCGAGAAATGACAATATGTTTTCACATGTACGCACTTACTGTACATACGTTGACGCTCCCAATCGTCTCGCTTTATTTATTTACCATTAGTGGTTAGTTATTTCTATTGTTCCATTTATTAACATTAAATAACATTACTTAAAACATATATATTCATTTTTTTACATTAATTTTACTACAGCTACAACCAGGGTCTTATTTTCATTTTCTCGTGTAGAACCATCGTCCCAGACTCCCGGCCGTAAACATTAACGAAAACAATGGCGTCCCATCTCCTCTTGTGTAACCGTATTATTATTCATTTATATTGTATAAGGTGCATTCAGAAACACCAGTTAAAGAATATAGTTTTTAATTTTCATTAATTGTATTGTTTTTGGGTGGAAAAGAGGATAAAAAGCCACACAAAAGATATGAAAAGGTCACACTAGGAAATGCATCTCGTTATTATCGCTTTATTTTAACAGTAATTAATGATTCACGATACGATTCACCTTTCACTGCAATATTGGAGGACACATTACCGTCGTTATTCGAGGCTTTACTGTATATATATTCTGATACTTGCAACTCTTTCCTTTCTATATCTCATCAATCTAACATCATTTAACTGCTCACCAGATTTGCCCTCTTAAAGATTCAACGTCAACCAGAAAAAATTTCTAAGATAGTTTCAGAATAGAGTGTACTGTACTAGGGATTTACATTAAAGTGGTGACAAAGACACTAATAACAGTTTTGAACACTGAATTCACAGGTAATGGCAATTATCCATTATAAAACACCAAATAAATAGTGTTAGTATCTGTGAGTTAATCAATATCTTAAGATCAACTCGGTTATGGTCTCAGGAAAAATTAATGGAATATACACAGAAGTCCTTATTTATCCAAGGGTTGTATTTCAGATAAAGTTCACATACAATGAAACAACATGTAACAAACTATTACATACTTAAATTGTAAAAAAAAAAAAAAAATAGGATGAGTACCACAACCTATGCATGCTAACCTCAGTATAATGACAATATCTCACTAGCCAAGGATTCAAACCCAGGACCTACAAGTGGGGACTGGGAGTATCAACAGAGTTTTTTGTCGCACAAATTAGAAATCAATGGAGTTCAATGGGACCTTTCACGCAGATGTACAGTAGCTAAAACAACTATCAGTGCATACTTTGTGGGAAACAATATGAGACCATGGACGATGAATTTTGGTATATGAGAGCTGTCACTAGTCACACGTAAAATTTTGGAGCATATCGACCCCCATCTGCACAGATAGTTGTTTTAGCTACTGTACATGAAAAAAAAAAGACTGACACTGACTGAATGTTTGTACAGTACTACCAAAAAGCGACACACAAAAATATACCTAGAATTTTAGATTTCTTTGTGTGGCAATGGAGAATTTCAGATGAATATTTGTTTTGTCACACAGTTATGTTTCAGTTCTGGTTGAATGAATACTTCCACAAGTGTGTCTCTCTTTTTTTCTGGCACATATTTTTATGTTATTGTGTATTTGGATATGCATTATTGATATCTATAGCTACATGTACATAATATATATTATAAGTTCTTATCACAGTTTACTTACATGTATAACTTGTGAATTCTGTATTATAAATAGATATTTCATCGCTTCATAGCCTATAAATTACAGTCGACTCTCGTTAAAACGGACTAATAGGGGGGGGAGGGTGTCCGTTTTAGCCGATTGTCCGAATTAACCGATTTAGGGGTTAATATTGCATTATACAGCTATGTGTATGTTTATTTGAGTGCCCCGTCATAGGAGTCCGTTTTCTCCTCACTTCAGCACTCCTGAGTCGTCCGTTTTCTCTTAATCTTAGAGTGCACCAGAGACTGTTATATCTTAGTAGTGACACAGAATTTGATATTGCAACTGGGGTTGCAATTGTTGAGGCAACTTAGGTATGTCTGATTACAGTTGGAATATTCAAGATCCGTTGTGAGTGATGTTTAAAGCTTCAACTGTCTTTATGGTTGGTAAAGCTTATAAAGTCTGTCAGTCTGAATGGCATGTGTGAGGCCTTGTGTTTGTACAACCGCTAAATATATAATGTAATGATAATTATCAGAAACACATAGGCATAACGAGGTTTATTACAAAGTGATGAAAGGGATACTGTACAGTGGCTAGTCCACAAAACATGTAGCCATGTCTCTTTATTTGAGTGCCCCGTCATAGGAGTCCGTTTTCTCTCACTTCAGGACGCCCGAGTCGTCCGTTTTCTCTTAATCTTAGAGTGCACCAGGGACTTTGTTATTTCTTAGTAGTGACACAGAATTTGAAATTGCAACCCCAATTGCAACTGGGACAATCCCAGAACCAGAAATTTGATATGGACAGTTCAGATTTCGTCCGATTTATCCAAAATCCGGATTAAAGGGGTCCGAATTAACGAGGGTCGACTGTATTATGAATACTGTGCCGATTTTTTTTTATGGGGAATAACCCACCTGGGCACAGGTCATCGCCCACAACGGGGCCTAGGGAACGAAAAAATAATAGTAAAAAGAAATTAAAAAATAGAAAAGGAAAAGGTTATATTAATCTACACCATGAAGATGCCAGAAAACCAGCTTTTTAGAGAGAGGAAACAAAGTAAAAAGGCAGAGCATTCCACAGTTTGGCTGTGTGAGGAAAGAAAGATGTACTGTAACGGGTTATTCTAGTGTTACTGACATCCAGAGAGAAACGGTGGGCACTGCAGGCAAGACGTGTGTTACGAGCCCACGGCCTTGCAATCGGTACACAGGATGCCAGATCCACCGAACATTGCCCGTTAAAGTACCTGTAAAAGAGAGAGAGTGAAGCAACATTGTGGCGAATAGAAAGGGAAGAAAGATTATCAACTAAAGGAGGAGAGTTAATAAGACGAAATGCCTTTGATTCCACCCTATCTAACAGTTGGACAGAAGAAGAGCCACCCCAGATATGAGAGCAGTAATCCAAGTTAGGATTAATGAATCCCTTATATATTTGAAGCAACATAGAAGACAAAGTACTGTGCTGGTAGATACAGATATACAGAACAGAAGAAACTTAAGTGATGTGCGACAAAAAAATATCCGTGTTTAAGTATGGCTTCTTGTACACCCGACACATGTATATTTTATAGTGCAACAAAAAATACTATAGGAGAAAGAGGCCTAAATGCTAACCTAAACTTTGTTACACACACCCTTCTCTTTCGTCTTTACACCATCAAGATCCTCACCTGGGGTTAGCCCAAGCCACTTACTGTATGTAATTCTGTAGGAACACTACACAATCCAACTAAATAATGTGAGGCTATCGGTAATATCTCTTAAGTCCATACACGCAAACCTCAATACACAAACAATACCTTACTGTCTAAAAACATCTGAGTGGGAACTGGTAGAGTTAACTACTGCACGACAAGGTCAATTAAATCAATGCACACTGCTAAACATTTATATAATTGTCTAAAATATTAGCAATGTTCTAACTAATTAATTTTTGTTCCAACTATAATTAATTTTTGTTTATCACATTGCTCTGTCTCAAAACCAAAGGAGCAAGTACAGTATATTTGATTGTGATCTGTATCTAATTACAGTACTAAATTACTAAATGAAACACCCAACTAGTACATTAATGGAAATCAATCGAGAAACTAAAAATAACTGTGACCAACAGTTAACAAGAATATCAGTAACAGACTGCAGGAGTGGATCCAGGATTATCAAGGGGGGACAAGAAGTTGTGGGTGGGGGAACATGGCGAGCACACAGAGCCCACCCATCTGGTGGGCCCCAAAGATCTTTTTGAAATTTGACCGATATCATGGGCATTTTGAGGCCATGTGCACTTGAGGTCAGTGGTAATTACTTTTTACTATACAAAAACAACTGAGTGCAATACTGCATTGAAGAAAGTGTTGGAATTTTCAGATGAAAAAGGGAGGGTCAGGCCCCCAGGAACCCCCCCCCTGCATCTGCCTCTGGATTGTTGATGTGTGCTGAAAGGGTGACTTGCCTGTCACTGTAGTAGCTGGCTTGTGCTGAAATCTAAAACCAAAGGCCCGGGGATCCAGTTTGTTGTCAGGTACAAAGGCAGATGTGGCCAATGGATCATCTCTGGAGACTACCTCAGGCAGACCATCAGTCACACGTACTCCTAGACGTGGAGTGCTCACACCTTGCATGGTTCTGTTATACATTGATAAACATTTAATGATAATACCATTATGTATTCATCACACAGGGAGCATCCTACATTTTTTTTTACATATACAGTACTATACAGAGTATATATGTTACAGCTAAACCGTGTTATCAGGCATTTCACGAAATAAATGATTTTTTAAGTCAAATAGTGAAATGAATGTTTCATCAGGATAGGTTGGGTCCTAACCTAACATATTATAACATAATATTATGTTGTTACATTAGTTAGGTTAGATTTGGTTAGATTAGAACATAACCTAACCCAAATGAAACATTCATTTCACTATTTGACTATACCTAGATCATGCACACCTACAGTGATTTACTTGCATATATATATATATATATATATATATATATATATATATATATATATATATATATATATATATATATATATATATATATATATATATACAGTGACCCCTCGTTTAACGAACACCTCGGTTAACGTAATTTCGATTAACGAACTGCCTTCCATAAGGATCTTCAATTCGGTTAACGAAAAAAATTTCGCTTAACGAACTTCTTACGAACCGACCTCAACATGTTTTCGCTTGCACTGACCGGGCAACCAGCTTTAGTATCAGTCCGCCAATACATTAATCGGTTCTAGGGCTTAAATTCCTTACTATTTTTGTAAATATCAAGAAGTTTATACTATTCAATAATTTTAAAAGTTTAATATTCAATTTTTTAGTCATTTTAACAATTATTGAACGAAATTGAAGGTAAAGTGACTAGTTTAATGCGCGGCATCCAGCCTCTTAACACAGCAAACAGGCGTCAGTCTCTCTCTGTTTTCACTGGAGGTAACATCTTGCTTGAGACTCTCTTCAACTAAATGCTTTTTTTCTGTGTTTCCAAGCAAATTATTGGTCATTTTGAAATATATTTTATATATTGACAATATATAATGCAGTGCAGCATTGATTTAAAGAAAATAATCTTGAATTAAACCAGAGAGCTAAAATTTTATGGGTGAAATGGCACCATGGGGTGACTTCTCTTCCACCCCAATGCCTTCTCTTCTTCCTTCTCCTCCACCCCCATTCTAAATCCCATCATCATCATCATCATCCAGGAGCCTTCTACATACACACCTCAAAGTAAGTGAACTTTTCTACCATTTTTGTTGAATTTAGGAAATTTTCGGTGAGCTGGAACCAATTACCCAAAAACCCATTGAAACAATGGTTTCGGTTAACGCAGTTCTTAAGCGACCTTCTGGAGCAGTTGAGTTAGATTAACGAACTGTATATATATATATATATATATATATATATATATATATATATATATATATATATATATATATATATATATATATATATATATATATATATATATATATATATATATATATATATATATACACCCGCTAGCAAACTAAAATTGATTTACTTGCATATATATATATATATATATTTCATGTAAATCCACAATGAAAACGTGGATAAGATAAATCTTGATAAAATCACACGGGAAAATGGAAACAACGGAGTACCTTAGCTTTCGTCTTTATTCAAGACATCTTCAGAGGCAACTGGATTACATGGACAGAGAGAGGCTTAAATATACAGGGTGACCTAAAAACATGAGGTCAGGTCATAATGATGACATCCACTAATCCCCACACCAACATACACGTAGAGGAGCTTAAGAGAAGGGTGATGACGTGACTAGACAGGTCAGGTCAGAAAAAAGGGACCCACAAAATAACTATCATACATCAAGATCAAAGGTTTTCAAAGCATTTTTAACCTTGGGCCACTGACAAATAAATTTATGTAACATATTATCAGTTTTGAACTGACCATCACTAAGGTTTATTGATTTTAATTCCTTAATCAAACTAGCTTCAACCAGAAGTCTTTCTGTGACACAAGATGATTTGAATACTTCTAAGCTTTTTTCCCAAGCAATGGGGTGATTATTATTCCTAACATGAACGAACAAGGCACTGCTTTCAGATGCAGTTCTGATATTATACTTATGTTGTTTGATTCTGAGCTGCAGTGTTTTTCCTGTCTGACCTACATAATTACAATTACATTTGCTACATGGAATACAATAAACACTTCCATTTACATTCAAACTTGGGCTATTCCTTATTAACATATTGGTAATGGTTGAGTCATACTTGAAAACAACATTGAAAGAGAAATAAGTGAATCCCTTCCATTTCTTGATATGCTTATCATGAGAAATGGCCAAAACTATAAATTTAAGGTATATAGAAAGCCCACACAGGTAGACAGTTTCATTCACTTTTTATCCAATCACCTTGAGTCTACCAAAATGTCAGTTTTTTCTGCTATGTTCCTAAGATGTCTGCGTATTTGTGACTCTGAATTTATTGACGATGAATTTAAACACATTCGTTCTATTGCACAGAAACTTGGGTACCCTTCTGTGTTTGTTGATCGTTGCTTTAAAAGGGCTAAAAAATCCTTTCATTCCTCTCAAACCAGACAAGTTCCTACACTTAAGAATATTTTGACTCTGCTCTATCGTGATGAATTTGTCCCGTTAGTTCGGTCCCTCAAGCTTCTAAATATTAATGTTGTTTTCAAGTATGACTCAACCATTACCAATATGTTAATAAGGAATAGCCCAAGTTTGAATGTAAATGGAAGTGTTTATTGTATTCCATGTAGCAAATGTAATTGTAATTATGTAGGTCAGACAGGAAAAACACTGCAGCTCAGAATCAAACAACATAAGTATAATATCAGAACTGCATCTGAAAGCAGTGCCTTGTTCGTTCATGTTAGGAATAATAATCACCCCATTGCTTGGAAAAAAGCTTAGAAGTATTCAAATCATCTTGTGTCACAGAAAGACTTCTGGTTGAAGCTAGTTTGATTAAGGAATTAAAATCAATAAACCTTAGTGATGGTCAGTTCAAAACTGATAATATGTTACATAAATTTATTTGTCAGTGGCCCAAGGTTAAAAATGCTTTGAAAACCTTTGATCTTGATGTATGATAGTTATTTTGTGGGTCCCTTTTTTCTGACCTGACCTGTCTAGTCACGTCATCACCCTTCTCTTAAGCTCCTCTACGTGTGTGTTGGTGTGGGGATTAGTGGATGTCATCATTATGACCTGACCTCATGTTTTTAGGTCACCCTGTATATTTAAGCCTCTCTCTGTCCATGTAATCCAGTTGCCTCTGAAGATGTCTTGAATAAAGACGAAAGCTAAGGTACTCCGTTGTTTCCATTTTCCCGTGTGATTTTATCAAGATTTATCTTATCCACGTTTTCAGTGTGGATTTACATGAAATATATATATATATATATATATATATATATATATATATATATATATATATATATATATATATATATATATATATATATATATATATATATATATATATATATGTGTGTGTGTATGTGTGTGTGTGTGAGCTGGAATCCCTCAAACCCGGAACTCTCCGATAGCCAGAATTGAAATTTTCTGAGGGGCACATTTTCTGGAAAATTCTGAGGAAAATTTTCCCGATACTCAGAAAATTCCGGGGATGGGGGAGTTTTTTTTCCGGGTTAGAGAGATGATGTAAAGGGCAATTTCTGGAACTTCCGAGAAAATATTTACGTTAGCCGAAAAATTCCAGGGATGAGGGATTTCTTCCTGCTTTGAGAGAGTCGTCTCGTTACCGGGAAATCTCTCATTCCCGGAAGTGCTCTGCACCAATTGTTCCGGCTAACGGGGATATCACTGTATATATAAAGCACATTACTCTACAGTATATCTTACCAGCCTTTAACAGTATTTTAATGTTCAAATAGCTTATATCAATTTGTAGGTAATTTGGTGCAGCACAGGTTGTATAGATTGGTTTGTTCATTTCTCTGAAATGAGCACACCTGTACAGTATTGGTCACAACTCCTTGTGTAAACTTTATACAGTTTACACAAGGAGTTATGACCAATACTTTCGTTTTGAATGAGTAAAATTGAACACAAAAGCTTGTGTAGTTGCAGTCCCCTGAAAATGTAAAGATGATTCTAATCACAATACAGGTACTGTACCTGTCTATGAGATCATTCTCCAACTCCTTGGATGGTTCATAGTTCTTACGCGTTTTCCGTAACATTTCATCTGGGGGAAGACCTCCTAGTATCCAAAATGCTTCAACACGAGGTTGCATATCTACCTGCAACCATGTCAAAATATAGGATAAAATCAAAATTTAAAAGATAGTGTTGAAGTATTCATGAATAAAAAGTTTTATTTCAATGTACATCTGCAGAAAGCTTCATATGAGAAATAACAGCAAATGTCAAGTTGAATTAAGCCACTTTCTTCTCGACATTTTTTAACCCATTCACTATAGCAACACCACTTTTAGAAACCCCCGTACACAAGGGATTAAATGAGTCCCAAAAGGAGTTTTAATGCACAGAAAACAAATCTGGCAGAGGAGCAACAGGAAACATGTGTGAAAACAGTTTATGAAGACCAAAAAAACCAGATACTGTGAAAGGGGACTACAGTCTGCCACAATAGACAAGTCAACTACACCTGTAAGATTAAATGTGGAGCAAACATAAGTACTGTACTGTTATTTGTATGTTATTCATCCAGACCATCCTACATCATAGCACCAAAATTACTCATAAAATATAAACCAAGCTAATGACTGAAGGGATGTTTTGAAATCCCTGTTACAATTTATATTCTAAAGAGGATTTTGATATCAGTTAAAATATGCTACGATTGATTCCTTACCACAGATTCTTTGATATGCTGCACGGTGGAATCCACAGTTGAAGCCATGAGTCTATGCAAGCCAAGCAAGAAGTTTTGAGTGGAGTGACGCTCACTTGCACGACCAGGGCCAAAGCTCCGTCTAGTTGAATTATATATTATACATTAGTAAGGTGAATGCTGTGTGCAGGTTACATATAGTTTAAATTTTCAATAATAATGAATTTAATTGGATCAGGTAAATTATTTCAGACTTTTAGGTGCATGCCACACGATACAAGTACAGTCCATTTCACTAGTGCGTTTACAGAGGCTCGTCAAGTTGCGTGCAGTGTGGCAGCCCTATGTTTGTTTACATTCGACAGAAGGAAACTTGCAATAGTAAACATACTATGGATTCAAATTAAAACAATATTAAAACAAATATCTCAAAGATAGTGATTTGTGGAATGTTTATATGACAAGCCCTGTAAACTCACTAGTGTAGGGGACTGTACAGTTCAGTTCAGTACAGTACAGGTACTTGCTTCTTACTACACATTCAAAATCATTTTGGTTAAGATACCTTTTATGCTTGTAACTTTATTTATGATTTTTACCCTTCAGGCTTTTAACTTTCCATATGAACTGTCAACCTATGTATACTGTACCTAATATAATGTACTCTCAATCTAGGTAGGTTAGGTAGCTTAGTATTACCTCCGATAAATTATATACAGTAAAGTAGCAGTCACAACTGTTAGTATAAAGTACTGTACAGTACAGGGGGTCCCCGAGTTACAAACGTCCGACTTACGAACACCTGCCGATGCAAGCGATTTCCCATAAGGTCAATTATTTTAAGAATCTGACATAGGTACAACTGGTTTGTAGTATTAACATACAAGAACTAGTCTGCATGGTGTAGCGGTGAGGCAGAGCAGTGAATGGGGAGTAATGATCCACCCAACCACGCACTTTGAGGGAGCGTCAGTATGCTTACCCTCACCACAGTACAGTAAAGTGTATGATCAAAGTGCAAACTGTTATTTTTTGCTTATTATCTCTATTTATCTGCCCTCATCATGGCTCCCAAATGCAAACCTGATGCAAGTGACAGTAGTGCATCCAAGAAAAGGAAAACAATTACAATGGAAATGAAAGTTGATGTAATTAAATGTTCTGAAAAAGGTGAAACACCCTCAGTCATTGGAAAAGCTTTGAACAACACAAAGTTCTAGAAGATGTACAAGGATCTAAACCAATTCACTCAACTGTGATAACAAAACAAAGAAGTGGATTGTTTAGTGAAATGGAAAGATTGTTAGTGATATGGGTGGAAGATCAGCCAGCCCCAATTTTTAATGTAAGTGTTAAAACTTAAATTTTTATTTTTATTTTTTGTATTTTGTCATTAAATTTCTTCTTTTCTCTTAAATTAAGTGATTCGAGATGCATAAAAGGACCCAGGCTATGAAATGGTGCACAGTGTATGTGTTCAGACTTGGGTACATTTCTGACTTAAAAACGTCCCCAGGAATGGAACTCGTTCATAACCCAGGGACCCCCTGTACATTGACTGGTTGCAAGGAAGTGCCCATGTGTGCATGAAATGGTCATTATAAAAATGATGTAAATGTCATTAGTGTTCTGGGCAATCACCAAAAATAATACAGGTACTGTACAGACCCTCAAAATCAGAGATTCTCATAAACTGGACATTTTCTTCCGGGCTAAAAGTTTTGCTCCCACACATACAGAAACTCAGCTGAATGTTTGTTTTCCTTTTTAAATAACAAAATATAAAAAATGACATTGTGTGCAAACTTTATAATAAAAACAAAAACCAACATTAAATACCGTATAGTCTATTCCAAAGTTGAGAATTCCTTAAAAGCAAGCTATCTATACAGAATGGGTTGTTTACGCCCCAGCAAATTCCAGTGGGTCGCAACATCTGCCAGAAGTACCGTAGTGAGTTCATAAATAATTACTGTATTGTCTGACTGAATAAATAGCCCAATACTGTATCTTGATTATGTATATAGATTTCTATTTACAGTAATAATTTTAATATGTTATTACTGTAATATTTTATTTTCACAAAGCTTTGGAAATTAATATTAGTCAAATTAAATCAAAGATTGAAAGAAACTTATGCCACTCCACTAAATGCCATATCAAAATAAGAATGAAATAAAATAAAAACATCTTTCACTTTATTTAGTAATCTATGTCACCAGCAGTGATGCATAATAATGCAGAAAATATGCACAGAGGTAAAACAAGTAAGTATTCATTACTGAAGTGGATTATACAGGAGGTCCTCGTTATAAGAGTATTCACTATCTGGGGTTTCGCAGTTAAGTGGTCAACTTTTTGTGACCATCCATGTAAAAAGTCTCCACATTTAATTTGATTCCACTCAAAAACTCTGAAAACTCGCAATAAAATCTATGTTTTTTTAGCCGGAGCGTTTGAAATTTCATCCTCTTCCTGGCGTCATGCATGTACAATACACACGTGTCCCCTCGCCAGCCTTCCGCTTTGTTTCGTCCAGACCAGTGCTGTGGTGTTTACTCCCGCCTTTGTTATGTCTTTTTGTAGATGTTGTGGTGAAATATTTTATCCTTTTTGTAGCCATGAGTTACCAACCTAAACAGGGTGGCGCAGCATTCAAAAGTAAGCACACGAGCTATAGTATAGGTGTAAAATTAAAAGTGATTAGGCGACACAAGAGTGGGAGTGGACAATCCACCTAGCCCCATTTCCTTTTCATCCTGCGACTAATCTTTCAGTACATAAAAACATTTTATTATGTTAAAATTACTTATTTTTAAAACAATATAATATGTATTTTGTCTCAGTGAACCACTGGAGTGAGTGTGCACCAACAACATTTGCTGCGGACCACCGGGTCACCGACACAACCTATGTTGCCTCAACACACCGACCCCAAAGAACTTTAAGGAAGTTAGATAACTTAAAAAGTTTAATAATTTCTTTAAATAATGTTTTATCAAATGTTTAACAAATGTTTCTAAGGTAATTAATTGTTAAAAGATATAATTTAAAATGTTTTTGAGTGTTTTTGTACAATGTCATGGTCCCAATTTGACCTGTTTCCAATATTTCTTATTGGATTAATTCCCCACTTTAAGTGGATACGTTATCAGAGGCGTTTTTTCAGCCCCAATTAACCTTGGATAATGAGGAGCCCTCGCTTACACAGTTTCATGTGTGTGCACGTCTAGCATAGTAATTAATGCCAGCATTTTTCACTGACCCCTCTGACGGGGGTGTTCCTCCCAGTTTAATCTCTTCACTATGGGACAACACTTTTAATATCTTAGTTTGCTGATTCCAGACAATTTTCTTCAGTGTAGACACCATACCCAAAGGGTTAATAAACTATCTCCACTTACTCCTTCACTAGGGGATGCCAGACACTTCTATTTATTACAGAGACCTCCAAACCCAAGGGTTTAAGAACCACTGCTCTAGAATATCCAAAAACAGTTGCAGGAATTACAACTTCCTACTTTTGTTTTTCTCTAGTTAAACTGTTGACACACTTCCATGAAAGAAACCTACCGCTAAACTAGCAGAACACATCCCAGCAAAATTTTCATATTAATTACAAAATAAAACCCTAACCTAAAATAGTACAGTTCCATCCTAGGAGAGGTAGGTTAGGTAATGTAGGTTTGATTGGCTTATAGTATTTACAACAAAACATTCGCAGGTATGATGAAAGACTATTCGGTAATTATTCAGGACATGACCGCTGTTTTTCATTGAAAATGGGTTTAAAAATACCCAATTTTCAATGATTTTATTTGGGGATACTGTATTATATTGTGGAAAAATATAAAACTGTCTGAAATCATGTGCTAACCTAACCAACCTATACAGTACAGTGATCCCTCGGTTAACGAAATTTCGGTTAATGAATTACCTTCCATAAGAATCTTCAACTCGATTAACGAACAAAAATTCGGTTAACGAAATCCTTACGAAATCGTGTCAACATGTTTTCACCCGCTCACCAGCTGGAGTATTAGTCTGCCAATAATTATTTAACAAAATTGAAGTACAGGGAACTAGTTTTTAGCACGCCAAACAGCCACTCGACTCACCCAGAATGGTGTCAGTTTGTGTCTGCTCAGTGGAGGTAGCATCTTGCTTGAGATTCTCTTGAACATAAACTAGTTTTACGTTTTTACAGTACAATTATTGGTCATTCTGAAATTTATTTTACATATTGACAATAAACACCTGTATAGTGCAGTGCAGTGTTGATTTAAAGAAAATTATCTTGAATTACACCTAGTGAACTTAAAACTTTATGGGTGAAATGGCAGCATAAGGCACGGGGTGACTTCTCTTCCACCCCCACTGCCTTCTCTACTGCCTTCTCCTCCACCCCCACTTCTAATTCCCATCATCATCATCAACCAGGAGCCTTCTACATGCACACCTCAAAGTAAGTGTACTTTACTGCATTTATCTTTAGTTTGTATGTAATTTTTGGTGAGCTGGAACCAATTACCCAAAATCCCATTGAAACAATGGTTTCGGTTAACGAACGACCTTCTGGAACGAATTGTGTTCGTTAACCGAGGGACCACTGTATCTTAACTCGCCTATATCAAGAAGAGTAAAAAAACTAAGCAGTTACACAAGAAAATTAATGGGACTGAAAGTAATCGGCGTACAAAACTGTCTAAAAACACCCCCATAATTACCGAACTGCTGGCCACGTTTCGTACTGTACTGTACTATACAGTATATAGCATTATCAATTTATAACTGTTTTTATAAAAAAAAATCAAAAGTTGTATGGAATGAAAGCGTTAACCCTTCCTTACAGGGACGCCACTTTTAATATTTTATTTGGCTAATGTCAAACGTCAGCTCAGAGGGGAACCTGTACACAATTGTCTTTTAGTGTTTACATTAACAGTTGATAATAATAGCATATGTGGGCTAAAGTGTCCACATACAGTAAATTTGTGTCCAGGATGAATAAAAGGAGAAACAATATTAGGCAAGTTCTTATTCCTTCATTTGGTTTTATAATTTAGAGGAAAATATTTTCAATTGAATTTTTTCCAAAAATTGTTCCTCCACACAAGTCAGTGTTGTAAACTATTACCCAGGCAACTGCTGGTGTATATCCACCACCAAAATAATATAGGAAAAGAAAATACTGTTCAGTATTATACTGTACTGACACCCTAACCTATCAATAAAAAACAATGATTTTCTTCGATGAAACTTTCTCACGTTACCCATAACCGAGATATCTTGAGTTGAAAATAAGAAAACTCCTGCACTGTACAGTACTGTACATAGTGCCCCAAAGTTTTAACAACTGAAACATTTAGGTTAGTTTAAGCTAGGTCTACCGGGGGACCGGGGCCCCCGGCTAGGGGTCAAGTTAGGCCTTTCAGGGGTGGAGCTCCTGGCTACGAGTTAGGTTAGGTTTTGTTAGGTTAGATGACTCGTTTTTGTTTTCTTCCCTACCCAAAAATCCTAATTTCCCAGGATCTCTCCCATTATTGTTTGGGGACTAGCAATTTCAGCCCAAAATGAAGTCAGATTCGTTTAACACACCCAAATACATTAGAAAAACATATTGGTCAACCCCGAGAGACTCATGCCCTAAAGTAAAAATTTACCAAAGTTGGATTTCTTTATTAGAATTAATAAAAAATTATATTACCAACCAAACAAGAAAACCTAACCTAACCCCGTTGTTCATGCCCCAGATGCTTAAAGGGTGAAGACGGAGGCCTGGAGCTGGGGGTCAGACCACCTCCGCCAGGGTAAACAAATCATGGCAACACTTGACTACGCGAAAGTAATAATCTTGAAAAATTAATATCTAGGTTATCATTAATTTTCGGGTGGAAATATCATAGAGGAAAAATGTCGTAGAATTGTGTAAACATTCTGATACATATTTTGAATACTATAAATTGACTGCTAGAATTGTTAAATTCCTTTTTATCTCTTTAAGCATTCTAAAGTTCATTTTCACCAACTGCTACATTAGTGGTAGTACATATTCTTAATAATTACCAATAATACGATCACACAGGGAGCTAAATGTTATTGGTGAGAAAATATATAATCACATATATTAATACTAGCATGACCTCTAACCTGCTCAAGGGACAGTTATAGTTGAGGTGGATTAAGTGTTCCACCTTATCCGTGACGGCTGTGGTCAACCTCTCTGCCTCGTTCTTCACATCGCTGTAATACTCCTCAGGCAGACCATTTACCACGTGTGTCCTAGTGGCGTATTGAATAAAATTTAATCCCAGTAACTTCGGGCACACGTCGATCAAGTGACCTGACCAGTAGCCATAATACTTTGGCAAGTTTAACTCCATCAGCTTCTGCTCCACCGTCGGTAGTTTAGTAATTTTATCATGCCAGGCAGTTTTCAACCGCTTCTTTTTGGCTCTCCTGGACATATCCACAATAGGTGGATATTTTGGTACGTCCGTGTATTCATTAGGGGCCACTGCATGATGGCAGGGTCTTGTACAAACTTGTTCTAACTTAATAAATCGTAATAAACTGGGAGCAGCAACCGGCCGTATTTTGATCATGGCGACTTACTCCTCAGTGATCACTCGCGAATGAACTAGTTCGGTTCAAATAAACTTTTGATGAAACTTGTCTTACTGTCCAGTGATTTAATATTAACAAAAAACAATTAAATTATTAAAATTAATTATTCAACTCATTTTAATTTTTGTTTTTGTACCTCATTTGAAATAAATATCCTGGCTGACGTAAAGTACGAAGTTCAAGCCAAAGTCAAATGTAATTGTCGAACACCTTTTCATTTTCAGGAGAGCTTTTCTGACAGATACTCAGATACCTGTACTTACTGATGACGTTCTGTTAAAATACTGTTACCCTTGTGTATCCAGCTCTAAACTTTCAGCTGAATAAGTGATGGTGGTCAAGATAATTTTATTGAACTGAATTTTAGCTTTGTAATCAAAGAGCAAATCCTGATTTCTCCAATTACATACTGGGTAATGCATTCTAATTATTTATTACTCAATTACAAAACGAGTTCTTTCTCTTGTTTAGTTGTGATCTACCCTTAAATATTTTCTTATGATGTCCTCTAGTTGCCTGCTGGTCCTCTCGCAATATAAAAATATTCTGATACTTCCTGGTCGTGGTTATCTGTTTAGTTTTAATAGGCAGATATTTATTCAATAAAATTGTCATAATGTACTGACCATATAGTGTATGTTAGTTAACGTAAAATTAGATGATTCATATTACGCTTACTGTAATTGCCCATAAAACATATTGATGCAACTTCTTTATTGAGTCCCCCAGTTAAGACGTCCATTTTCTCACTGCTTCAGTACGCCAGAGTCCTTCGTTTTCTCTCATTTTTCTCAGAAACTCTGATATTTCTTAATTCCTTGTGGTGGATTGTAGGGGTATCGAGATATTAATGTTGTCTAGCACTCAGGATGGAAGGAAACTCTAATGTGGTTTTCTTGTATAATATAAGTTATGTGATAGACAGTCTGGTGCTGGAGGTGCCGTGTGGTGAGGAAGCTCAGAGAAGGACAGCTGGTGGGTCGCCATGCTCGCTGGCGGGAGCGAGGACCGCCAGGCAGGCGAGAAGCGAAGGCAGCCAGGCAGCGGTGGAGGAGGAGGTGTTGCTTGTTCAAGAAGAATGGTCAGAATGAATCTCAATGGAGAGACAGAGCTTATATACCCAGCAGCCGCTATGAGTCATGTTGGGAAAACCCAGAAAGTCGCCGGTTCCTGGTTTCGTTGCTAAGATACGGTAACATCTGGTTGGTTGCTAGGGAAGGCGGTAGCAGGTGGTGGCTGTGGCTACGCAGTTGTAGGCAGTTGTAGGGGAGACGTCCACTACAGGATCCTCTCCCCTACAACTCCCTACTGAGCTCAGGCCGCGCGCCTACCAGCCAATCAGCGTATAGCATGAACATGAACATGAAATGCTAGTGACAGGGGGGAAGGAGGTTCAGGGGAAGAATAAAGAGAGGATTGAAGTGAATTTTAGGAGGAGAGAATAGGTGCAGTGGCTAAACACCGCTTGCGTGAGGGAGTATAAGTTGGAGGCAGCAGCAACTCACCCGGACGCGGCTAGGAGGCGGCAGGACAGAGTCAGGTTAGCGTCAGGTCAAGTGTCAGGTGCGTGTTGGGTTGGGCCTTGGATTCTCAGTGCTTGGTCGGCTTGATTGTGTGTGTTGTTTTCTTGTGTGGAAGAAATGTCTTGGTCTTCTTTCTTGGTGTTCTTCTTAGCTTGATGTAGATTTTCTTCTAACTCTCCTCCTCTTCTTGCTTTCTTGCAGTGCCCATTCGTTCGTGTTTGGGTCTTGTTGTTCGTCTTCCTCGTGTCTTAAGTCCTCATAGGTGTGGAAGAAGTCGGAGACTGGCACAGTTACCCACGCCAGTTGAGCCTCCTTAGGTAAGGTTGTATGGTGTCCGATGAGGGCAGTGGTGTCGGACAGCTTCTTCACAACTTGGAGTTGCCCCTTGAGGAGCTCACTCAGCTCTGCTTGGTCCACGTGGGCAATTTCGGCGTGGGAGATTACTCCCAGCTTCAGGTTGTCCCACTTGTAGGCAATCATTTTAAATGGAATGCCGTTGATGTCTGGGATCTCCGCGAGCTGTACGGGCATACCCTTCTCGGCGAAGGTGATCTTGATGTCACCATGGAGCTTCAGTCGCTCCACCTTGGTGACCCCCATGATCCCATTAGTTTCAAAGAACTTCTTGAGAACTAGGAGGTTTAATTTCTTGGGGCAGGTCGGCGTATCCGGACGTATCCGCGCCACGTTATCAAACTCGTAACCGTTCATGGTGAGAGAGGGTTAGAGAGTGACTCCTGAGTGACTGCCAGCTACGCCGAGACACTAGGTCTATGCAGTGGATGTAGGGGTACGTTCGCCGACCTAGTCTCGATCTTCAACCTCCAGCTCAGGATCAGAGCGTTTCACACCTTACGCTTAAGCCGCTGTGATTGGCCCTCTCGCTACGCTCACCCCAAATCCTGATCCTCGTAAATTGTATAAATACGGCCATGCCTGGCCAGGGAGACACCTGCCCTAGACTCCTCACCATTGGCTAGGACATAAGACCCGAAAATGTAAGGCATAAAATTGCAATATTTGCTAAACATACAAACACCTGACATAAATATAATACCTAAGACGAAAATTAGCTGAAACACAAACATGAGAAAACAGAAGCACTTGGGTTGAGCCCCAAGACCTAGCATTCTACTACTATTTTCCAATTTCCTCGCTTTTCTTCTGCACTATCCACCAACCCCAAGTCCCTCCAAATTCCACCATTATTCTTCAAGTCCAGTTCCCGCACCACCAATCTACGCACCTGCATCAAGATTTCTTCATACTTTACTTCACCCATTGATCGATCGGGAGACCATTCTACACTCGGCTACCGGCCCAGCAACATCTCTCACAGCTCCTCACCACCCAGCTTCCACAGAAACCTCCTCGCCCTACAGGACCTCTGAGCAAGCTTCTCCTCACCTAGTCACTCCTAAGCACTGTACTGTACAACAATATATATACAGAAAGCGCATTGTGAGTTTCCTTCCTCCATCCCATCTGAGTGTGAACACAAACGCAAATTATACCCCACACTGTCACCCCAAAATGTGACTTTTCAAAATAGCTATGGAAGACAGAGGACAAACCAAATGATGTGATGTGACACGTCCCGTTAATGAAGTGTAGTTAAATGTGGTTAATTTTTATTATAATTTTCTATGCATTTCATTTATATTAAAGTTGGTTTACTTTGCACACTATATAGTATTTTAGAAATGCATCCGCTGTACCTGTATATACAAAACAGTTACACATACCTCCACATATTTGTTTTGATTTGATGGCGATATAATGTACGCAGTCACATAAAACATTTTCGGAAACAGTGTAGGGGTAAGCGGACACAGCTTCATACAGTCTTCTTGAACTTGAAGCATTTCTTTAGATACGGCCAAAAGTTGGCCATTACTTTAGGTAATTGCCAACTTTTGTCCGTATCTGAAGAAATACTTCCTGTAGTCAGCGGTAAAATTCGGTCCCCGGGCCTGTTACCGTCTGACATTTCCCACCGACTGACACAGTGACACTAGCAAGGCGTGAAGGCGGCCAGGCGGTAAAGAAGTGTATAAGCGGCGGGATTGATGTCAGTTGTCAGGATTTTTTTCTTGCGTGATTGGCTACTTTAAACTCTCATACGTCTAATTCTACGTCCTGTGATTTGGTTACTTCATCCATGGAAATTTCCCAAGTTTAGGGAAAGTACTTTTTACTCAATAAAAGTTTCGAAAAAATTGTAAATGTAAAATACTTTCTATTAAACTTGTACTTCAATTAAAAAAATGCTAAAATAAAAGTAGTTTCTCAGAAGTCGATCCTTATTTTTGTAATGAATTTTAGGTTTGCAATTTTACACCTCTAGTTATATTGGAGTGGATTTCTCCCCTACAGACGCTGTTTGTCGCTGAATAGCCGACCCCACGAATTCTCCAGTGGTCTAGGTCAACCAGCGCCGCCTTACATGGCGGAGGTCAACGACTAAGCCACGCCTACCTCCGCTATTTAAGACCTGACCTCGTGGTGACTACTCTCTCTTCTTCTAGCTACAGCCGCAGCAAACTACACCACCTCCTCCGCCGCTGCCTGGCGGCCCTCGCTCCCGCCGGCGAGCATGGCGACCCACAAGCTGTCCTCCTCTGAGCATCCTCACCAACCAGCTCTCTCTACATCACGCTTGCAACCACGCTGCCACTTCCCAGCACCAAGCTGCACTGTACATCCAATACAACATGTATACAGAGAGCACATTGTGAGTTTCCTTTCTCCATCCCATCCTGAGTGTGAACCCAAACATCCCATACCCCACAATATCTTACCAGTAAAGCCAGCGTTATATATTACCAGTGCTAGTTTGTGTTACACTAAATCACGTACAGTGTTGATATGTTTAACATTGGTTGTTCATGTCAAATGTAACTTAAGAAACAAATTACAAGGTTTACACTAAATAATACAAGTGGGTTTTCAGTTCGCACATACTAATATTCTTTCATGAGTACGGTAAATAGCAGTTCTATCTCATATTTTTTTTTATCGTTGTTGGACTAGTGAGTAGTCACTAGTGTATTATTAACTATGCTACGCGCTTAAAGACCTTCAATGTTGAAGCGCAGTAAAAACATTACAACAACAACAACGGAAAATATTTTATATAGTCTTAAGTAATAAAATTCCTGGAGTATAAATATTCAGTGGCTTGGGTAGATTTTATTTCTATTCCAGTTTGCCTAAACACCATAAAACGAAACAGTCATTCCCTCGACAATTTAAACACTTCCCCTAGATATGAGTGAGGACAAAAATATGTAGATTATAAATTAAAAAAAGTTCAACGTAGATCTCAAACATATGACTATTTTTCTTTGTTTTCATTTTACAAGTTGAATGTGATTCAGGTGTTAAGGATAATCATCCTATTAAAGTAAAGATAAAACACAAGGGGTTGTCTTGCAAAATAGGGATTAAAATTTTGAACTTAGTTTTAACCTCATGAAAATTTATAGAAATGTGGTAACTAACTCCAGCTCATTTAAACGTACTTTGCAAACTTAACCCAGATCTACTTGAATTAGGTTAGATCAGTAAGGTGCTGGTGTTATATGTAGTACTTTTTTAGTCCGACATATTTATCGAAACTATTACTCTTGTGTACGTAAACACCATTTCTAATTTCGAAAAACAAAACAGTTTATTAAATTATTGTTATGTCGTAGTTATTACCAAATTGCATCAAAAACACACACACACTTGAGCTGTTTATCAAAACACACCCAAAGTTTGTGAGTGTGGACAGAATCGGCCCAGACACTCACAGAGGCGCCTCACAGATCACCGAGTATAGAACGATAAATAGAGAACATTCTTGGTAGGCCAGGTAGGGAGGGGTGAGCAACGGATAGACACCTTTGCTAGAGAACATGGCTACACAATCAAAGAGGTCCAGGTTGAGTGACAACGGATCCCAGCCTAGTATCTGCTCTCCTCCCACACCTGTAACATATATTGATATCGCTGACAAACATGAAATATCATTTGCAGTAGTTTATATATACAAACACGCGCTAAATAAGGTTAATCACCGATTCAGCTTTAGAAGCAACTGACTGTTTTGTCAAATAGGAATAAATTTTTATTTTAATTACTATAACAAATATAAATTAATTCGCATAGGGTAACATTTGCTGTTTCATATCAAGTAATGTTATGTTAGGATAGGTTCTTCATGAAACTATTCAGTTATATGTATTATGGTGACCCTCATGATCGTCTTTGGCCAGAAGTTTTCAAAAAGGAGAAATATATAGAAGTTATCGCTATATATATATATATATATATATATATATATATATATATATATATATATATATATATATATATATATATATATATATATATATATATATATATATATATATATATATATATATATATATATGTGTGTGTGTGTGTGTGTGTTATGATAATATTAATTTTAGTCCCACACTCGCTGAAGTATACTTCCGACAGAAAGCTCAGTTTACTGCCAAAGCTACTTTATTTATTTTTATATTATTTAGTTGTTGTTTAGCGAACAGTATATAGCAAGTAGGACAAACTAGTGTAAGGACACTTACTTGTTCCGTCGTTCCACATCAGCGAGCCTTCCAAATTCTTGTCATTGAGAGGGAAGTGCGCCGCTATACCCAAATAACTCCTGATTTGGTCGTCTATCCAGGTAAATTCATTAGCGTTCCGAGGAATGAACATGGTGGAGTCACGATCCTTGCAATACTGTACTGCACCATTCCAGGAGATGGGAAACACAAGTCCAGGAATGCGATGGTAGACCAGTCGGCCGCCGTACTCCGTGAAGCCCGCTTTCCTGTGGTCTGGGTCATGACTCAGTTAGGTCGTCTGTGATACTGTGACCATGGTGTTTATAATAAATGTGTAGATCAATAATATAACAATCACTACTTATCATACACACACAGACGATAAACAGCCCAAGACCGCTTAAAACCCATGCCAGCTAACCCATGACCGCCAACAGCAACCGGACTGCTAACAACCCATGACCGTTAACAACAAACCAAGACCACTAACAACAACCCTTGACCGCTAAGAGCAATCAATAACCACTAACAACCCATGACCACTAACAAACCATGACTGCTAGCAACAACCCAGAGCCGCTAACAACAACCCATGGCCAATAACAACCCATGAATGCTAGCAACAACCCATTACCACTAAGAACAATCCATGACTGCTATCAACCCATGACCACTAACAAACCATGACTGCTAACGAGTTTAACAACCCATGGCCAATAACAACCAATAACCGCTGACAACTCATGACTGTTAACAAACCATGGCTGGTAGCAACAGCCCATGACCGCTAAGAACAATCCATGACTGCTAACAACCCATGACTGCTAATAACCTATGACAGCTAACAACCCATGACCGCTAACAACAACCCATGACCGCTAACAACAACCCATGACCACTAGCAACCCTTGACTGGTAAACAACCCATGACCGCTAACAGCCCATGACTGCTAACAACCCATGATTGGTAACAACCCATGACCGGTAACAACCCATGATAGCTAACAAACCATGACCACTAACAACCCATGACTGCTAACAAAAACCCATTACAACTTACCAAACTTGCAAATGTTTCCCTCTCGATTAAAAGTTTCCTGACAGACGCAGACGGTGGCCTCACAGGTGGAGTTGTGGGTGACGAGCAGACACTGTTCCTTCACACCACATTGCTCTCCCAGCTGACTGGCTTCTGTGTGGGTAAGATAAGCTTAGTAACCACGTTAGCCCACTAGAATAAAATCAACGACTAGCCAGCTTACTAGGGTGATCTTAGCGATCTAGCCAGCTTACTAGGGTGATCTTAAAGATCTAGCCAGCTTACTAGGGTGATCTTAAAGATCTAGCCAGCTTATGCCCTCTTTATTTCCGTTTCAAGTTCATATTCCCTACATACTTTAATATATTACGGAAATTAGTTTTTTTTTCAAAAAGCACCAGATAATAAAACATTTTTACAATGAACTACTGAAACCACGAAGGAATAAGAAAACACATACGCCTTTTTGCTTGTTCATCTCAAAGTGAAGAGCAGCTTCACGTGAATGAATGAATATTTAAACTCATTAAAAGTAAATCTCTAGACTTACTGAGTTGACACAAGTCACCATCGTCCTCAAAAAACTCGTCACAGGTACACACACTGGTGACCGGACTGCAAGTGGAGTTGGGGGTGAACTCAGTACATTGCTCATCCTTTGAACAGTTTTCTCCCTTGTTGCGACAACCTGTAGTGGTGTGGAAGAGGATGGGTAATGATCAATCTTAAAGGAAAATAACATTAGTTCAAAGCTTTTAACCTACCTTTCTCATTGTTTGTATATGTTCACTGTTCATGTACTTTGTAAACTTGCATTGTCTATGAAGTATTGTTTATATACAGCACTGTCTAACTCTACTCGTTATGTACATTTTTTGTATACCTTGTAACGAGGGTTTTATTAGCCAAGATTAATTACCTGCTTATCTTAATTATGTTCGCGAATGACGTGTATCATAAATTAATAAAATAGTATAATAATAATAATAAGAGAACAATATTGTCACTTGTCCATCAGTCGTAAGGGAACTCTGGTTATGATAAAATAAGTAAGGGGAAGTTAAATGACCGCTCTTGTCGAGTTAATCACCGCCACCCTACGGCCTGGTGTTTCTTCACCCAACATACTCCCAACTTCAACTACCTGAGTTTTTTTAGAGAAAGCTCACCCGTAATTCATAGTTATTTCAACACCCAATTACTAAGGTTTTTCTATAGGGGGAGTCAGCGCCAAAACCCACAAGGCACACCGGGAGTCTGATTATAGAGAAGGAACCGTTGGTCTGACTAATAGTGGAATAAATGTTTGACAAGAGTTATAAACACAAGACCTCTGCTTTCCTGTGGTAATGTGTGTGTTATGGGCGTAGGCGGGCGGCCAGGACGTGTGGGTAGGCCTTTTGCTATAACTGTGCATGTTGACGAAAGTGAATTTGTATTACGATTTTACGGAATGTTTATTTATCTAACTATAACCTAATTTAAAATAGTTGTGCCGCCTGACAATTATGAAGTACTGGGATCAAAAACCTAGTCAAAAGTTATCTTCAGGTGATCCGACAAGACAAGGTACAGGACCTGAGCAGTAATAGAGGGCGTCGGGGTGCTGAGTGAAGTTGTTGACGAAGGAGAAGGTTGTACATTGTAAGCTGCCGTTGGTCTTGTCCATGATGTGGTACCCCACACACTCCGGCGGCACACACTCCCACCCACATTCTATGTTGCTTCTCACCTGTAAACACACCGAGTGGTACATTGATTCCTCAGTGATGACTTTGATATCGTTATTCACATGAAAATTAGGGTTCCCAGCTTATTTCACCTGATGATCAAACCACCCTAAGATGATATTACCCAGTTCAGTGCTCATACCTGGAGCTGGTGGATGACCGCCTCACCAGAGATCATAGCCTCAAGTTAAAGAGCCCTAAGTGTAAAATTTATCGGAGCTAACTCTTTGGGAAAGAGTTGTGAACTCTTAGAATTCCATAATCTATCCGAATGTTGTGAAGGCGCCAAGCATGAACTCATCCAAGACCAGACTTGACCATTAGCGTAGGTTCATGTTCGCAATCTGGAGCCAGTGCATGCCCAGTACTTGTCACAGTGTAACTGAGAAGTGACCGGGGTGGCTATTCTTCAGGTGATCATCTTAATATATATATATATATATATATATATATATATATATATATATATATATATATATATGTATATATATATATATATATATATATATATATATATATATATATATATATATATATATATATATATATATATATATATATATATATATATATATATATATATATATATATATATATATATATATATATATATATATGATATATATGTATGTGTGTGTGTATTTTCAGTATCCATTGAAATGATTTATTCATTTCTAAAGATCAATATAATTTGCATTCCTGGAGACTAATAGATATTTTACCTTCCTGGAGACCAGAACATCACCTCCAGCATACATGTGTCCCTGTTTCCTGTACATGTGTGACGTGACGGTGGCAAGGGTGACGCGGGCTGACATCACCACCAACGTCACATACACCCACCACCACATCTGTAACAACACCCACAATTGCGTTATTTCATAAAATATATTAACATATTAATTATCCTTCAATGTTGTTTATATGTGATTTTCGCTTCAATAAGTGAGGCCTTTTAAGCACGTACTCTAGGTAAATTCACACAACAATCTTCATAAAGGTGTTTCGTGTTGTGAAAATGTCTTTGTTCTCCCAACCAACTGTCTTCGCTTTCAGTTTATCTACCAATCTATAGGCAGTATATTATTACCTCATTTGGTAAATCTGTCCATCCGTTTATTTTATAGTCTGTTTACCTGTCTCTTCATTTATTTTATATTCTGTCTACCCCTTCTCTCCATTTATCTAATATTCTGTATACCTAGTTTTGTTTCACTAACCAGAAGTTCCTCATCAGTTCGCTCAGCCTTGTCTAGCCAGCGTCTTTATGGAACGGTCATTAGTAGATTAGCATTTATTCAGTAAAATCGTTATTGCAGTTTTATATTCAACGTGTATAGAGACAATGTAGGTATATAATGCACATAGACCGTGTAGGTTACTAAATAGTGCACATAGACTGTGGAGGAATACAATGTAGTGAATAGACTGCAGGTATACAAACAATGTATACCTAGACAGTGATACGGAAGCTCAGAACTAGGGAATAAATTATTACCGTGGCGTGTCCTCAGCAACAGGAAGGTTGTAGTAGTGATAGCTGGTGACGAACACCTCCGAAAGTGAAACTGCGGAAAGAGTTACAGGCACAAGTAGACACCAACGCGGTTGTCTGATGACTGAACCGTCTGCAACTGCAAGTAAAAGCCTTTCAGACTTCAGACGACCGCGGGAGTCAGTATAACCGCTTCGTATCGACCAATGGTGTTCGCCCTGCCTCCATTATTCCAACAACCAGAGCCGTAGGATTTCTGCGTATATATACCGTTTGGATCCCGCTGAAATAATTGTATAGAAAGGACCTTTGACTGATATAACGTAATAGTAAGCGATATTATGTACACACATATGGAATACATCGAAAGGATTGTATCTTTCCTTCATATGAGTTTTTTTTATCTATTTTTTCTAAGGTATAAGGTAACAGACTGAAGCCCACATAAAGCAATTGCATTATGTAATTGTAAGCAGAAAAAGGTCAACAAAATCATATAAATATTACACAACGAGAGTGTACGTGGTTAAGTTGAATGTCAGTTCTGTTATTAAGTCGTGGTTGATATAAATTTAGCTTTCGTTCGAAGGTACAGTATATAAACTTTGATAAGACTCTCTCTCTGATTTATCCTACTGTAAGTTTAGTAAATGCCGGGAATCAGGCGCTTTTTTCTTTGATGACGTCCTGTAAAAAATGTATGTAAAATGAAAAACAAATGAAAAAACTTCCCACTAATTTTCCCGCGTGTGTTTTGGATTAATGATGGATGTAACTATATGCCAGTGTCTCCCTATTGACTGGAAAAGAAAAGTCAGGAACCTAACCCTAACATAAATTTATTTAGGCTATTAAAAAAAAATATATGTTTATACCCAGTGACCTATTTTTCAGCCAAAATTGTGACCTTTTCTGTGATTTTTTTCCGGACACCCCCATATCATATGCTGTATATACCCCTGTGTGTACTGTGCTCTGTTCTTGTTCCGGTACCACCACCCTCCACCCTGTAAAGCCAGTTTAAAGAGAGGTTATTCAAGCATTCCTGATCTCGTTTAAAGAATCTGTTCTGTCGATTTTATCGACCATCTAGATATGTTCTTTGCATTTCACTTGAGAGAGAGAGAGAGAGAGAATAAATGTGTGTGTGTGTGTGTGTGTGTGTGTGTGTGTAAGGTGCAGTATTGATAAGAGGTAAAGTGGGGGAGGGAAGAGATTGAGAAAGTGTGTGTGTGAGAGAGAGAGGTTGTGATAGATAAATAGAAAGTGTTATCGCCGCTGGCTTCAACTACAGTGCTGGCGTTGCCTTACCCGAACAAACTTTAAATCTCTCAGCCTGACCACGTGCGCCCCCCCTCCCCCCATGCAACTTGCGACCTCGCCAGATGTGGCGGCTGGGGGAGGGGGGCGGTGTTTACAGACAAGAGGCCCTGATTCTGCTGAGTGTATGGTTGAGACTTTAGAGGGTGGCGTGGCCGCCTGACCTCCATGATGCAGATCGCCCTCTCGAGTGATGCTGTGAGGACCAGCCACCAGCCCTCTGTGGTGAACACCGACTCCCAATCCTGGGCGAGTTTTGTGCTGGAACAATTTACACAGTACTATTGTCCCTTGGAACACCATACTGGTTCGCATTGACCAGCACTTGTAAGTACAGCCTAAGTGATGACATACCCCTCAGTACTGAAATATTGTGGACTATATATGCCCACTCGTTTCTGCCTTATCTGGAACACTAAGACAATGTGGATTGAAGTGTAACTAAGATTAATAGAGTTATGAACTTCGTATCATGTCACTATGCTTAATAATCAATTGTAATTAAGATGAAATTGTGTGAGACTAACTAATTAATTATGTATCAGATGGATCACCATGTAATACAAATGAAAGCCTTGTTCTCTGCAGGTTTTGACCATATCAATAAATATTGAATGCGTCAAAAGGTGGGTTTCAATCATTCACTTCGACTTGCCCGTCACCTGAACGTCCTCAACTGAGGTGTTTACAGAAAGAAAGGGAGAGAATCAGAAAGATAAGAATTAAAAAAATAAAAAATAAAAATAAATAAAATAATACAGATAAATAAAGAGAGAGAGAGAGAGAGAGAGAGAGAGAGAGAGAGAGAGAGAGAGAGAGATTAAAACCATGTGAGTAATCCATAATATCAATACCACACACTTTAAATCTGTCAAGTTTAATAGGGAGTCATATTTATACACACATACAAACTGGCTTTTGTGAATACCTACTTAACGACGAGAATCAATTTAGGCGACACTTAAACACTAAGAGTGGCCGGAGTCGGAGTGGGTACAGTGTGTCCCACCAACTAACAAATAAGGCACACAAAACCCTCTTTTCCACCGTCACCTCTTTGATGGTTGTAAATTATGCACATTGTCTCGTTTCTCTAGCGCTGTTATATTCCTCCCCTCGTCAACTGAGTGGGTCATTTGCTATAAAGAATGAAAAACTTTGATGAGGATGAACTCGCCATGGGGTGAATTCGTGGTAACTCAGGAGGGGGAAGTGGGGCCAGAATTAAGGCGTGTTGTGAGTGCGCTTAGTCTTGGTGAGTGTAAGTCTGGTTATAATGAGGTTATGTGAATGTAAGGTCATATTTTGGTGGAAGTAAGATTAAAAGTTGGAAAAGGTAAGTTATATTGTTGATGGCGGTTATTATTGAAAAAAATTAACGTTATTCGTTGATGAAAGTATGTTACCGTTAAGGAAAAAAAAAGGGTCAGGTTATATAGTTTGTAGGTAAATGTTAACTGTATAGCTCCAGCCTGTAAAAATACAAGATGTCTGTTTTGTAGATTTATTGTTAGTGATTAGTCTCCAGGCCTCAGCAAAGGACCCTATGTTAAGAAGTATAAGGTGCCTTTGTTTGACTATCCTTGGTCGAATGGACTTGCTGTTTACCATTATTTGTATACCCACATTGTCTATGTTCATTGTTTGTACACATAAGTACATATTGATAGTAACAAAGCTCCACCATGTATTGTACAGTAAAAATTATCTGAAGAGTCGAGTAAGTTCAGCTCCAATATTATCTGCCACCACTTATATCTTCCAGAAACCAGTTGAACTTAGTACTGGGAGTAACCAAGAGAATACGGTTGGTTGAAAACAATGATCTTTACATTTCTATAGCGGAGGAACCAATACAATACAAGATACTATGGTAAATAAAGCCTACTTTTGCTTCTATCTACCGTGTATTTTCGAAAATTTATGCACAAAAGAATGAGTATGAAATAACATTTGTTGATTTCACTTTTAATATCTGTGACACTCCAATTACATATAGCTATTATACGTGAATATGTACAGTAGATGATTAAGTCATCGTAAAATGAGTCAGGAACAATTAGTTGCTGTGGTTTGATAGTACAGTATTAGTTATGTGGTGGTAGTTGTCTGGTAGTCTTCGTAGAATTGGTTTGGTGGTTTTGGTAGTACAATACAGTACTACCCTTTATTGTGTATGTACGCATACATTTCTATGGATTGTGTGCACAGTTAATTATGTGTTTGTACGTGTGCTTTAATGTACAAATGTATGCCTGTGTGCCATGGGATGTAACTACATGGAATTATATTTTATTCGTAGTAAATACAAATAAAAAAATCAATTACAGAGGGAAGAGCAATTTTTCACATAATAAACTAAGAATAATAATTACAAGCCATTATTCCTCACACACGGTTGAAAATACACAGTACAAATTTTAATGTTACATATCTTGACACAAATACCCAAGTACAGTATTCTATTTTAAGTTTTACACAAACAGCAGGAATATGTAGGTGGTTCTGCTACCAGCATCTCTCCTAGAGGAAGACCTCCACCAGGAAAAGGAGGAAAGATATCACCCAGCCCACAAAGATGATGTAGAAAATGCTCTGCAGATGATCTAGGCTGAGAGGAACGCCGACCTCCCGTTCCTCTACAACTTCAGACGCCTCCGCCTCATCGTCCCCCTCGCGCTGACAAGACAACCAATACTATTTATCTCTTATTTTTAATTGTTGATGATGAGTGCAGTTTCTAATTTAGAATATGCGTTTAAAATCCTTAACTATTTTTGCTCTCAGAATTCATTGTCACCAGGTTTGTCTAAAAGGGTATTTATTATGTATTCCATGTGACCAAGTCTCAGGTTGCTGATCTGACTTTCTGTCTCATTTACATACAATTGCAGGGTTTCAATTGTTTCTCTTACTTCCCAATACACAATACAGTATACATATATCGTTTCTCACTATTAATCTTTTTTTCTAAACTTTGTATTTATTTATGGTCCTTTTTTATTATAAAAATTTTTATCTAATATTTTTTCTAATTTATTATTATTATTATTACTATTATCATCATCATCATCATCATCATTATTATTATTATTATTATTATTATTATTATTATTATTATTATAATTTATCCCCCAGTACTGGCCATTCTCTCAGTTATTAACATAACAACATTCTCCTCATGAAGCTGTCATACATTTTCTTCTGAAACTAATGCAAAATAATATAAGTTTAGTTTTCCTGGGTGATAAGGGATAACTAATATTACTTTTTAAAAGCCTCGCAAATTTTCATCTCGTTCCAGTAAAACTGGATTTTTACCATTTGTTCTCAAGTAAAAAAAAAAAATCATCCATCTCTACCGTGGAAACTTCCTGAAAATTTTATCCTTGAGTTATAAATTTCCATCGGCTGGCCACAATATAATCCACTCTTCCAACAACTTCCACGGTCAGTGTGGCTTTGGCGGCATCGCTGCCAACAAGTTGCAGTTTAACAAATCATTTCATTCAGTGAAAAATTAAACACGTCGTTGGTAATTGTTTACTTATTACATCCCCGAATATAAACTTTAAAACATATACCTAACCTAACTTAACCTAACCTGGCCCTTAATAATCCTAACCACATAAAGCGAGTTAACATAGATAAATAGATACAGACAGATGAATAGGTTGATGAACAGACAGACAAATAAGGGATGGATAAAATTAATGTACTGGACTTGTTGACATAAAGTAAGCGCTAAGGAATTCAGTGTACTAATCGTAAATTTCTACACCCCATAATGTTAAATCACGTATTATCATATAGAGAAAAAACCCCGTACATTAGTTTTATGATTTCCATGATCTTTATAAACATGACTTCAATAAAATAATGTATAAATTGTAACAAGGATTTTAGTGGATTCGTCACCCTTGTACAGCCTAGTCTGATTAAGGTAAATAACAAGTGAACAGAAAGACAAATAAACAATCAGTATAGAACTCGAGACAATAAAACGATATATTGCAATATGTGAGCAATAAAACTAACCGATGTCTTAGCTGCTAGTTTGAGGGAAGTGAGGAAGAAGTGCCTGGTGAGTCCGGCGTTGAGCATCCAGCCGATGACTTGATCAAACTTCCTCTTGATGGGTGAGTGACGCTGTAGACCCAAGGCGATGTTGTACGGGGAGAAACATTCCTGCATCGCCAACACACACGTTAGAAGCCATTATCTATTGTTTATTTATTTAAGAGTTTATTTTAGAACGAGTCGCCAATTTTCCTTGCGTTTGAAACTAAACCGATAATTTAATATTTTTGAGGGGTTGATGGTGTTAATGAAAGGACGAATATCTACTTCTGAAAAATTTCCCCGTTGCTGTTTGACAATGGTTGTACTACTGTTGAACGACTGTTGCAATTCTGGATGTATAAATTAAACTGAGTAATCCACGGAGAATCAGATGTGACTGTCATAACCTCCAGTCAAAGTAAGGGGAAGCTAGATTAATATATACACTGTATGGGCGCTTTTTTATTGAAGAAATTATAATAGGAAATCTAGGAAATTAAAATATCTTGTGTCTAAGTATCCACACTCAGTCTGGAATGGATTATGTGGATAGTTGTGTTTATATTGTACCTTCATGCTTTTTATTCTAGTATGTTGGTAAGACGAGGATCATTATTCTCATATTAATGTGTTGGTGAGATAATCTTCATCACCGACTCTGTTGGTGAATTTATCTTCATCATGGACTCTGTTGGTGAGCTTACCTTCATGACTCTTATCCTAGACTGACCACGACTGATTAACTTGGTGGCCGCGAGGTACTCGATGTAGGCTCGGTTCTGCAGGAAGACAGCCTTCCCGTCCAGTACGCCCGGGAAGATGTGCTCATCCTTGTTGTAGCCCTGATAGACATTCGTCAAGCTCTGTCGACCAATCTTTTATGTATAAAACTTTGCTGAGTTAACTCTTGCAATTTTGAGTCTGAGTATTCATGTACTGTATTTGCATTAAATTAAAACTAAGACAAGAAACCTTGCCAACCTAATGCGTCAACTTCAGAACAAATGAGTGCAAATTTTAGAAGCGTTAAGTCATTGGTTTTCAAATAAGTTTTTTACGGATTCCGAGAAAGTTTGATAAGGTTCCTAGAGGCGTTCGGGGATAAATATACAGTATAACTCCGTTTCTACACATTCTTAAAAAAAGAGAGCTGCTTACCAAGGAATACTGAAGCAAGACAAGACTTACCTGGAGGTAGGGATCACTGGCAGAGGCAAGAGCATTCTTGTAGAACTCGCCCATGCCTGACACCTGCTTCCGGGAGGCGTGAAGTTCCTTAATGGTCTGTATGGTGGCAGGAGACTTGCTCACCATGAGGAAGGCGGTGAGGTTGGTGGAGTAAGCTATAGTGATAGTGATGGTGTAGAGCCACAGGAAGATGATGAACACCCTCGTGCTCTTCATCTGTGGCAGCGTGACCTGAGCCTCACAGCAGTGAAGACCCAGAGCGTAGTAACAGCTGAAGCTAAGAGACTGAAGGCTCTTCATCTCCTCCCCGCTGTTGGTGGAAGTGACCATTATATCTTCACTCATGCAGTACTTACACTTGACAACAGTAAATGTTAACGAAAAAGTTTCTTTTTCTTGTGTTTCAATGTGCCCAGAGCTGCTAATATATGAAGTACTGTTTGGACATATTATACCCAAGGGAAACCCTGGAGATATTAGGGAAGGGAATCAGGGAGGCGACTATGAAAGGAATTGTTGCACCAATTGTAAAGCATGATTCTAACTCCTCTTGACCAAATGCTAAATTGAATCCGATGAACGGCTTATTGCATGGGAGAAAACACATCACAGACAAGAATTACAACTGACAGAACTGGGATCTATATAAATGTGTGGGTTAGTTGTGTGACACAACGCTAATTAGCGACAATAGTCTGATTAAGCTTTGAAAGGCAGACTAAGGTTTCTGACACATATTTATAGAGTATATATACAGTATATATATATATATATATATATATATATATATATATATATATATATATATATATATATATATGCTGATAACCACAAGGAAAGAAAGTTTAAAGTGTTAATTCACATCTTCAGGGGTGAATACAGACTGTACTCACCCCTGAAGATGTGAATTACACGAAAGCGCTTGGGAACTTCGTGTTTTCTTCTTTTGTGGTTATCAGCATATACCTAGATCACGCGCACCACAGTGATTTACTTATATATATATATATATATATATATATATATATATATATATATATATATATATATATATATATATATATATATATATATATATATATGTGTGTGTGTGTGTGTGTAGGAGGGGGCACTTATATGTTTTGTGATAAATGAAGGCGAGTACTGACCAGACAGCGCTGCCCCGCGCCAAGAGGTAGAGGACGGGTCCAGAGATGATGAGACCAATTAAGATAGCGAGCCAGGTGATGCCCTGGAAGGGGTAAGCCAGGGCCTGCCAGCGTGGGAGAGGCGGTTCCGTCCGCGCCATGAAGCAGCTCAGCTGGTGACACAACACTTTGTTGGCTGACTTTTCTACAAGTTGGTAAGGTATTATGCAAGAATGTTTGGGGGTCAGTTATATTTTTTCACCATATATCAAGCTAATATATGTGACTTAGTGCTTCTGGGTAAAATAGCAATAGGTTGAATAGGTATTATTAAACTTGCATATACCAGTAAAAACAAAAATAATAATATTTCAGTGTAAAATCCTGAAAGCTATCAAATGAACTTTACACTAAGAGTAAAATTTCGAGGTCACCAGGTAATCACGGCTTACCGAGGAAAATGGCCGTATACGGTGATGATAATGATGATACGTGCTTTATCTTTGAGAGGTCTGCAGTAATACAAGGACACACATTACCTCTGAGTCATAAGGCATACTGTAGTCGAGGATGCTGGTGCGTTCGACGCTCACGTAGAGGACTACCATAGCCATGTCCACTTCGTTCTTCGACAACATCCCCATCATCCCTGTCCAGCTCCCATTGACTATATAGCCCCAGTGTTGTCCTGTGGTAACAAAAGTAAAATTAACATGTGACTAATGCTAATTAATTGCAAACCCTCGGATATGGTATATTAATTTGTCATGTTTTTGGTCAGCCTCTAAACTCTAAAGGCTCGTGTACTCTAGCGGGAGGTGTACTACATGGAATAATGTTATCTTACGTTGAAAAAAAAATTCTACAAACTATAATTTCTTATAGAACGATGACTTTTTTTTTAATTCCGTCCAGTTTAATTAGAGAAGAATTATTTTGTAATGTCTCGTCAACCAGTATATACTGTACACACCTTCAGGAGGTTCCTCAAACTGAATGGTGAAGTTAAGCACCTGGGCCAAGGTCTTCACCACACCGATGTCTATACCGTAGCGGAGGAGCACAGTGCCGTTCTTCGCCCGCTGGTAGAACACACTTGGCTTCCACTCAAATGCTACAGCCTGTGTGGGGAAATGACGCAGTAGTTAGCGAGGGGTGCAAGGTTGTCTGACAGAAATACAAGATGTAAATGAGAGGTAAGTTAGCTCTAGTTTACAGATAACATTGCTCGTAGGAAAAGTTACTATGATAGTGAGTTAGTCTGGAAGTTTGAGCAACAGGAGAAAATTATATATAAGTGTGACCAATAGGAAACCGACGAAAATGGGAAGTAAGAAAATAAAAATATAAATGTTAACTTGAATGAATATAAAGAGGTGATTAAGTTACCTGGGACTGGATGTGTTAATGAACGGGGCACTTTGATAAAACATAGAGTAGCTGAGACCCTGGGGGAAAGGGCTTCAAGATGTACTAAAAAGTGTATGGAAAGTAAGAACTACGTCAGACAAGGAAAAATTGGGGATAAATAAGTGAACCCTTCAGCTGGCACTGGTGTGGGGCCAGGGACTTTGGGGGTAAGAGGAAAAAGTAAATTAAAAGTGTTGGAAATGATACGTTTGAGAATGATGTATAATTGAATAAGATTTACAGTTTAGTATATAAAATGGAGATGTGGAAACAGTCGTGACAAGAAGGGTATGTGTGGGTGATGAGGAGGGTTGTGTGAGGTAGTGAGGAGGAAGAGTGTGTTGGAGTGTAGAACTACACAGAGACAGTTCGCGTGATATTAATAAGTGTAATAACAAAGTTAGCAGCTTTAGCTAAGTGTACATCGTGTTTCAGACTTTTTAGATTTCAGATTACAAATGGTCTAACTCTAATAAGACGTTGGACATTTTCACTGATTAAAGGGTTTTAGAGCTTTCTCATGAGCTATACTTCATACTATTGTACCAAGACGGCAGCTCACCTTGAGCACGGCTCCCTGTAGATCCCGTAATTTATCAGGGAAGAGATCCACTTGGGAGGTGAACCTGTGTCCCCGCCAGGTGGTGACGCGCTTTACTCCTTGACTCCAGTACAGCTGGTTCATGTACACCCCCCACTCTCCCACGGCACCAGACTGTGTGTATGGGAGGCACATGGTACAGTACAGCTGGTTCATGTACACCCCCCACTCTCCCTCGGCACCAGACTGTGTGTATGGGAGACACATGGTACAGTACAGCTGGTTCATGTACACCCCCACTCTCCCTCGGCACCAGACTGTGTGTATGGGAGACACATGGTACAGTACAGCTGGTTCATGTACACCCCCACTCTCCCTCGGCACCAGACTGTGTGTAAGGGAGACACATGGTACAGTACAGCTGGTTCATGTACACCCCCCACTCTCCCTCGGCACCAGACTGTGTGTAAGGGAGACGCATGGTACAGTACAGCTGGTTCATGTACACCCCCCACTCTCCCTCGGCACCAGACTGTGTGTATGGGAGACACATGGTACAGTACAGCTGGTTCATGTAATTGTTTTAGATAATTCAGGTCTTGTGTGAGAAATACCGTCACTCACACGGGCATGAAATTTAAAAACTTATTTTACACTTTTCATTTACTTTATATTTTACAAGTTTCTAATGTATTAATAAATTAGTGTTGTACGTGTATCTCTATTGTCTTATTTCAGGCGGTGTAACCTATGAAGCGAGAAAGGCTGCCAGCACATTAGTTAACAGCTTCAGGATGACAACTGCAACGCCTTCACCACCACATCATCAAATCACTGACTGAACGACAGAAAAAATTGCAGTTACGATCAGATTTACAAGTGTTCCCCTCATACACCATAGAGGTGACATTGTGAGCATTTTCAACAAAATACATTTCCTGAGCTTGTCAAGAAGGGCGTACCTTACCACAACAGAGTATGTTTGTAAAAGAAGCAAACTTCCTTAACTGCCCTTCTCACCTGTAATGCTCCAACAATGCGCTCAGTCTTCTTGCCTTTCTCAGATAACGCCAGAGACTCCAGGTCGTCCCTGGAGGGCACCACAAACAGGTACCTGGTAAAGAGGAAAACTATTTCATACCAGAGTAATGATTATCAACTTTGCCATCACCTTGATTTATAACACTTTGTGTTTACAAGATTTATCTGTCCTCTTGTGAGATCTACAGGTCGCTTATGGCACTTTTGCAGGAAAACACTTGAATCAATATTTTGGTTCAATATAACAGAGACATACGAATTTAATAAACACATAAAAATCAGTTCAAGAAAAACAGTCAAGTATTGTGTTCGTATGGTATGATAATGTTTATCAAAACAAATTTAACCAAATTTCCAGTAATGTTTCTTTAATATTAGGTGAGTATAAGAGGAACGTTGTATCACCTGCCGTGGTAGTCCCAGGAGTTGGGGTGAGTGTTGACGAAGGTGAGGAGCGGGTCGAGCTGCTGCAGGAGGAAGACGTAGCCGCTACACCCTGACGACACCCACACTATCTCCAGCAGGTCCTGTGTCTTGTTCACCTTCACCACCTGCCAATATGTACAGTTGTACACATTAAACCTACTAATAAGTGCATACATTAATGCATTAATTATGTGACTATCTTTATGTTAACGATATTAAATAATCCCCTAAATTTAATTTCTTGCCTTCTACAGTCCACGACATAAGCCAGTAACTAACCTGTCGTGCATTAGGCAGCAGCAGCAGCAGCAGCAGTACAGCTGGTTGTCTACAGTCCACGACATAAGCCAGTAACTAACCTGTCGTGCATTAGGCAGCAGCAGCAGGCGGTGCAGTACAGCTGGATGACTGTAGGCAGCATCATAAGCCACCACCACATTACACTCCTCCATCTCCTCCTCAACTACAGCCACCAGCATCCTGCTCAGTGATGCTGCATCTAACATGTCAGCTGACGTCTCTTCCTTCTCATAACGATCGAATAAAACCTTGTTGATGTTTTTAATCTTGTCTCTGAGAGTTACGGGAGATGTGTCGCTCTCTAACTTGGCTGACGGCCGCTTGTGCACGAGGTCAGTGCTCGCGGGTGATGTACATGAATGTTGTGAAGCTGCATGTTTGCTTGTCGATGCTGGAGGCTGCTCATGACACTTATCCTCAGCAAGTGACACCAGCTGGTTCCTGACACCGGGTGTCATCCTCTCTACCTGCGACAAGTTGGCTGAGTTGAGCTCCACCAGTGTAGTGTCATGTGTCAGGTGTTCCTGTGAGTTTGTCCGTCCCGCCACAAATATTATGATACATATTATCAGCGTCAGAACCATCCTCGTGCCCCTCATGTCACCTGCAAGTACAATAAACACACAACACATCTGCTTTACCACACCAATAAACCGACCATTAATACAGGCGTCAAAAAGTTGTAATGTACCATATTTAATGTCCCTAAATGACTAAATGGATATACGACTCTTAGCTGCATTAGTCAGCTCTGTGAACGCCTTGCCTGCCAAAATTTTGTTTCAGTAGAAGAATTTAGCCGTGAAGGTTTTTCTTCAAGTTTCCCCTCTGCACAACACTTACTTTGTTTAAGCGGCCGGCGGCAAAACAATGTGACTTGTCTGTGGGATTTCAAAACAAATCAATCTGGTCGATAAAAGAATTCAATGCGGCACCGACGGACTGGCCCAGTGGCCCATACGAGGATGGTAATTGGCAACTGGCGATCATAATGTATCCAGGAAAATATAAACACAGTTAACTCAACACCTAATTTAATACCAGGGTCTTGATTGTTGCAAAAATCTATCAGTAGTAAAATTAATACAACTTTTATCGTGCTATAGTCAAATAATATATAGTGCTGCAGTTTTCGCGGACTCACCTGTGGTGTTCTGCCAGTGTTGTCAGTGACGACAGGATGAAGTATGTGACTGTCCTGACGTCCGCTTTACATGTCGCCTTCCACAGTTGCCATCTCGTATTTTAGTATTACCCTGAGATTTTTTTGATGTTTGATGTGAAGTATCTGGTTGGTAGTTCTATGTCACAGGGGCGTAGCCGTGGCGGGCCCCTCCCTTTTGCCGAGATGCTAGTGATGATTATTTGATGTTGCTTTGACGACGAGTTTTTGCGTGTGTCATTATGCACAGTAGATGCGAACTGTGTTGCCTTTTGTTTACATATGTCAATCGTTAATGTTGTTGCGCATGGTTAAGGAGAAATAGTTTAGTTTAGGTGCTCTAATTCCCAGGTTCAATAAATCTCGTTCACTAAATCTTTTCTACATCATACACTATTAAATATTCAGAATCCTAACCTTTTTTCTATCGTTTTAATACATTTTGGTGTTTCAACAACCAGGGTCCTCATACACCCGCTCATTAATTTAGTTTATATACCAAAAAGTTCAGTTAGTCTCGCAGATGTGGTAAATAATTAAATAAGTCTTCCTGTGGTGTGAGGGGACAGACGTGGTCATTGTAGAAGTTTTAATTGTTGCTTTCGATGTCGCATATTTCTCTAAAAGTAATGAAATAAAGGCGGGGTACTACAGTTGGATCAATTATTCTTTACATTTATCAACAGTTTTAAAGTTTTTCTTGTTCCTGTAGAATTAAGAAATTTATTGCTTTATCAGACGCTTATGTGTAAGAATAGTTTAGTTCTTTCTTTAGTATCAACATAAGTAAACAAAGATTCTTTACGTACAGGTGAAATTCTTAAGTCGCTTTAAATATTATCCACCACCATTTACAACTTCCAGAGATGAGTTGAACTAAAGGAATATGATTGGTTGGAAATAACAATGACCATTACACTGTTACCTCATAGCGAAAGAACCAATATACTGTACAATAAGAACTAAAGGGAAATAAAACCTACTTTTTTTTCTACGGTGTATTATGGGAAAACTGATGTACGTACATAAAGAGAATTAATATGATAATATGACTTCAGCTCTAATTTCGGCCGTACTACTATTACGGATGACTTACGTGAATAATAATAACAACATAATCTGGAGATGACAGAATTCGTGATGAGTCGGAGATATTTGATGGTAGTCGTGGTGTGGTGGTGCTGGTGGTAGTAATGTGGTGATGCTGGTGGTAGAGATGTGGTGTGGTGGTGCTGGTGGTAGTGATGCGGTGGTGCTGGAGGTAGAAATGTGGTGGTGTGGTGTGGTGGTGATATTGGTGGTACACTGTAGTAATTTTTTTTTATTTATTTATTTATTTATTTTTTTTTTTTTACTGGATTAGCCCACCCGGGCAAAGGTCATTGACCCACATCAGGGCCTGGGGGCGAAATAATAATAATAATAATAATAATAATAATAATAATAATAACAATAATAATAATAATAATAATAAAATAATAATAATAATAATAATAATAATAACAATAACAACAGCAATAACAATAATAATAATAATAATAATAATAATAACAATAATAATAATAATAATAATAATAATAATAATAACAATAATAATAATAATAATAATAAAAATAATAACAATAACAACAGCAATAACAATAATAATAATAATAATAATAATAATAATAATAATAATAATAATAATAATAATGATAATAATAATAATAAAGAAAGATCAGTAGTGAGAAACGATATATGTATGTTGTGTTGTCAATAGTAAGAGAAACAATTGAGACCCTGCAATTGTGTGTAAATGTGGCAGAAAGTCATATCAGCAACCTGGGACTTGGTCACATATGGCAACAGGGTCTACCATCAGACAACACATTATGCTTCTAATATCTTCCTAGGCCGTAGTACCTCCCTCTTTGATAGCTACCTAGGTGATAGTATAGTGATATTGGTGGTAGTAGTATGGAGTTGTGATAGCAATAGTGTGGTAGTGGTAGCAGAGTGGTGGTAATAGTGGTATGTGAATTTGCTTGTATGACTGCTGTTTAATGTGTGTGTGTGTGTGTGTGTGTGTGTGTTTGTTATGGATGTATGTGCACAAGTACGCTATTTGTGTTTGTATCTACGTGTGCTTCAAATGTACAAATATTTATATGCCTGTGTGCCAGTGCATGTATCTACAAGAACTCATGTTTTGTTTGTATCATAGTACCATTAAGCGTCAACGTAAATTTGCGACGTAAAGAACAATGTCATAAACTATAATATAACCTGACATCTGTATACGAGTATTCTGCAATATATCTCCAGCATGAAAGGAGGATAGAGGCGAGTTGGCGTTCCATAGTAGCAATCTTAAGGGGGTCTCAGAGTTACTGTTTCTCTGGGGAGATCTCCAGCAGGAAAAGAAGGAGAGATGCCACCCAACCGATGACAATTACGAAGAAAATGCCCTGCAGGTGATCTAGACTGAGAGGAATGCCCACCTCCCGTTCCACCACGTCCGTGTCTTCCGCCACCGCAGACTCGTCATCACCTTCCCTCTTCAGCATCTACCAAGACAATCTCCACTGTTATATAAATTTGCTCTCAAGGACTAAAATTTCCCAAATCATTGCTGAGATAAAATATATTTGCAGGACAGGACATAATCAGACATTTTACTATTTATTAAAAATTTATTCACTTAATTGATAAATGTCTGAATTGTGACGAATCTCTTTGAGGACTCATTACCCGCTTACAGCCTAGAGAGTGGTAGACTTACGGAATCTGGCATTTAGTGAATTAATTTTAGAAGTTAGACTGTTACAACCATTTGGAGGCCAGGACAGGGTGAAGCGCAAGGCAATAAACCTTCAGGTGAGTAGAAAGGTACAGATAGAAATGTGTCGATTCATATACGGAGGCACAAATGAAGCAACAGACAATAAAAATATAAAGCAACATGAGAGCAACAAACTCACCGATATCTGAACTGAGAGTCTGAGGGAAGTGAGGAAGAAGTGCCTGGTGAGTCCGGCGTTGAGCATCCAGCCGATGACTTGATCAAACTTCCTCTTGATGGGTGAGTGACGCTGTAGACCCAAGGCGATGTTGTACGGGGAGAAACATTCCTGCATCGCCAACACACACGTTAGAAGCCATTCTTTAGTTGTTGTTTTTTTAATTATATGTCGCCATTTTTTCTAGTGCCTCAAATTAGTCTGATGTTTAATTATATTATAGAGCAAATAAGGGAAGCTTAAAGAGCTTTTTAATAAATAAAAATTAAATCAGCTCTGGAAATTTGTCTGCAGTTTCGAAGTATCCACTCTCGGATAGGAATGGATTATGTTGATAGATGTTTATATTTACTTCATGTTTTTCATCTTAGTTTATGTTGGTGACCTTATTTTCACCCTAGAGTCAGAGTTGGTGAGCTTACCTTCATGACCCTCATCCTAGACTGCCCACGACTGAAAAACTTGGTGGCAACAACATACTCGATGTAGGCTCGGTTCTGTAGGAAGACAGCCTTCCCGTCCAGTACGCCCGGGAAGATGTGCTCGTCGTTGTTGTGGCCCTGATACACCTTCGTCAAGCTCTGTCGACCAAACTTTTATGTATAAGACTTTGCTGATATATATATATATATATATATATATATATATATATATATATATATATATATATATATATATATATATATATATATATATATATATATATATATATATATATATATATATATATATATATCAAAGAATATTGAAGCAAGACAAGACTTACCTGGAGGTCGGGATCACTGGCAGAGGCAAGAGCACCCTTGTAGAACTGGCCCATGCCTGACACCTGCTTCCGGGAGGCGTGAAGCTCCTTAATGGTCTCCATGGTGGCAGGAGACTTGCTCACCATGAGGAAGGCGGTGAGGTTGGTGGAGTAAGCTATAGTGATAGTGATGGTGTAGAGCCACAGGAAGATGATGAACACCCTCGTGCTCTTCATCTGTGGCAGCGTGACCTGAGCCTCACAGCAGTGAAGACCCAGAGCGTAGTAACAGCTGAAGCTAAGAGACTGAAGGCTCTTCATCTCCTCCCCGCTGTTGGTGGAAGTGACCATTATATCTTCACTCATACAGTACTTACACTTGACAACAGTAAATGTTAACGAAAAAGTTTCTTTTTCTTGTGTTTCAATGTGCCCAGAGCTGCTAATATATGAAGTACTGTTTGGACATATTATACCCAAGGGAAACCCTGGAGATATTAGGTAAGGGAATCACGGAGGCGACTATGAAAGGAATTGTTGCACCAATTGTAAGGCATGATTCTAACTCCTCTTGACCAAATGCTAAATTGAATCCGATGAACGGCTTATTGCATGGGAGAAAACACATCACAGACAAGAATTACAACTGACAGAACTGGGATATATATAAACGTGTGGGTTAGTTGTGTGACACACCGCTAATTAGCGACAATAGTCTGATTAAGCTTTCAAAGGCAGACTAAGGTTTCTGACACATATTTATAGAGTATATATACAGTATATATATATATATATATATATATATATATATATATATATATATATATATATATATATATATATATATATATATATATATATATATATATATATCACTGCTGATAACTACAAAAAAAGAAAGCACGAAGTTCCCAAGCGCTTTCGTGTAATTCACATTTTCAGGGTGAGTAAGCACCTACAGTGACTTACTTGTATGTATATATATATATATATATATATATATATATATATATATATATATATATATATATATAAAATAATATTTAATGGTTTATTAAAAGAGCATGGCAGCCGGAAGGCTGAAAATATACAGTTACATAATTGGGAATAGGTCTCTTGATTTACAAATAATTTACAAGTAACATAAGTGATGCAAATATGATATATAATGACTAGGTGGGGAGAAGGTCACACTACAGGGCATTTCAACTTAATGACAGTGCAAAAAGGTAAGATTGACTGGGATTGAATACATTGGTTGATTACAAGTTATTGATAATTTTTACAATGTTTGGGACTAGGCTGTTCTTATAGCGATCATTACGTGCTCATGTGGGCTGGTTGCGGTTGTGGTGTCGAACAACAATTTTCGGACGAGGGATCTTGGTTGGTAGTAGAAGCCGGTATCGAGGTTTGTGCAGAAACGTGTGTGTGCACTTATATGTTTTGTGATAAATGGAGGCGAGTACTGACCAGACGGCGCTGCCCCGCGCCAAGAGGTAGAGGACGGGTCCGGAGATGATGAGACCAATTAAGATAGCGAGCCAGGTGATGCCCTGGAAGGGGTAAGCCAGGGCCTGCCAGCGTGGGAGAGGCGGTTCCGTCCGCGCCATGAAGCAGCTCAGCTGGTGACACAACACTTTGTTGGCTGACTTGTCTACAAGTTGGTAAGGTATTATGCAAGAATGTTTGGGGGTCAGTCATATTTTTTCACCGTATATGTGACCTGGTGCTTCTGGGTAAAATAGCAATACTATTCAACTTACACACTGGTTATTCTAAGAAATATATTTCGACGTTATATCCGAAAAATTATTAGCTTTGAGGTTCCAGTGTTTCATCGCAACAATGATTGCCTTAACACTTAAGCAAAGACTTGCCTCTGAGTCATAAGGTGCACTGTAGTCGAGGATACTGGTGCGGACGATGGACACGTAGAGGTTTACCATTCCCATATCAACCTCGTTCTTCGACAACATCCCCACCATCCCCGTCCAGCTACCATTGACTTCATAGCCCCAGTGTTGTCCTGCGGTAACAAAAGAAAAACTTGACATTTGACAAATATATGAATGCAAGTTTAATAAGTTAATAATAATGTTAGTGTATGTATACTTAATAACCAATACCATTTGTAATCAAGTATTGTTCCTCAACAATAACATACTGCGCCTCAATGTCAACAGACTGTACACACCTTCAGGAGGTTCCACAAACTGAATGGTGAAGTTAAGCACCTGGGCCAAGGTCTTCACCACACCGATGTCTATACCGTAGCGGAGGAGCACAGTGCCGTTCTTCGCCCGCTGGTAGAACACACTTGGCTTCCACTCAAATGCTACAGCCTGTGTGGGGAAATGACGCAGTAGATAGCGAGGGGTGCAGGGTTGTCTGATAAATATGGGGTGAATAAAATTCAAAACATACGGAACACAAATATGAAAAGGACATAAAATGCCTGACAAGAATGAATGTGTGTGTGTGTGTGTGTGTGTGTGTGTGTGTGTGTGTGAGTGTGTGTGTGTGTGTGTGTGTTTATGGAGTGATTAGGTGAAGGATGTGTCGTGGTAAAGAGGAGGGCAGAGTTCGCAAACAAATCAGAATGACATTTTCCATGACCAGATCGCGTAAAAGGCTTCTGTGCGAACTTGCTATAGTGCAGCCAAAGATCTTCAATATGGTGACGATACTTAGCATGAGTATTTTTTTCTAACTTACGCCTGACGAGTTTATCGAGGTGACGGCAAGATCTTGAGCTTTGAGCTGATAGGGTTAAAGTACTGCAGTGTATCAGCCATATTTATGTGACTTGCTCTACGTGTGACAACAAGAAGCGTAATTCTTCAAGTCTACAAAAATTATCTTTATATGATTTTGATTTAAGATTTTAAATGTGTAAATTCCTAGAGAACATATTGTTGAAGGTACTACATTATATATTATTACAGTATATGCGGTTGGAAATGAAACAGACGACGATTAAGTAACTGTCACCAAACTCCATTACCCATAAAGATAACGTCCTCCAGGTTCTTACCCTTATACACATAACACGAACGCGTTGAACCCTGGAGGGAAAATGTAAAAGGTAAAGTATGGACACTGCTGCTTATTATAAAGAAAAGTCATAGTCATGATAAGTTGTCATGGGTTGCGTTAGGCTTACCCACGCAACCAACTTCAAAGTTTGTTTTACTGGAGATAAGGCACCCTGCGTGGAAAGAAGTTCTTGTGCGGAAGCCTGGTTGCAACAAGAGCAATCCAGACCGGCAGTAAATGTATCACTTGAAGAATTAAGGATCTGTTAAGTCATACCCATAGTAGAGTAATCACATGTGTCCCCAAGTGGAAATTCCCTCTTTTAGAAGATTAATTTATTACAGCGTGAACGTGAATGACTCATATATCTATGCAAATTGTAAATCATTGTATGGAAGCTTGCCAAATAAATGTAAGTGCAATTATCTGCCCGTATCAGTGATCCTATCTTATTGTTACAAAAGGTAATGACTGATTGGTTATGACGAAGTATAACCGATAACTTAGACGGATGTTAGAAATTAATGGAACTCATTAAATCATCAATTATCAAGTATAAATCGTGGAATGTCGAGTGGAGTGAATTTCTACGTAGATACGCCATAATCTCCTGTCAGTAACCAGTGTGAAGGTATCGAACTCTACGGTAAGAAATATAAGAAAAACAATATACTATAACCTTATGTAACCTTATATAACCTCTACACCTACAGTAGACTTTACCAAATCCATGACATAAGTGTTGAAACGTTGCCGTTCTAGTTTTCCACAACTTTTCCATGACTGGTTAAGATTTTCGATAACTGTGAGAACTCTGGGAAGGGTGTGTTGGGTGAGGAGGGGATGATAACAATAACAAAGTCTGCAGTTTTAGCTGGTAACAAGACGGCAACTCACCTTGAGCACGGCTCCCTGTAGATCCCGTAATTTATCAGGGAAGAGATCCACCTGGGAGCTGAACCTGTGTCCCCGCCAGGTGGTGACGCGCTTTACTCCTTGACTCCAGTACAGCTGGTTCATGTACACCCCCCACTCTCCCTCGGCACCAGACTGTGTGTATGGTAGACACATGGTACAGTACAGCTGGTTCATGTACACCCCCCACTCTCTCTCGGCACCAGACTGTGTGTAAGGGAGACACATGAGCCTGGCTCTGGTTCATGTACACCCCCAGCACCAGACTGTGTGTGGGGAGACATGTGTACAGCTGGTTCAGCTTCCCCCACACCAGACTGTGTGGGGAGACACATACATACAGCTGGTTCATGTACACCTCCCTCCCTCGGCACCAGACATGGGAGACACTGGTACAGTACACTGGTTCATGCCACCCCCACTCTCCCTCGGCACCAGACTGTGTGTATGGATACATGGTACAGTACAGCTGGTTCATGTACACCCCCACTTCCTCGGCACCAGACTGTGTGTATGGGTGGTAGTACAGCTGGTTCATGTACACCCCTCTCCCTCGGCACCAATGGAGACACGCCAGTACAATACAGCTGGTTCATGTGACTGTGTGTACACAGTGCATACCTGGTTTCATGCACACCCCACTCTCCTCGGCACCAGACTGTGTGTGGGGAGACACATGGTACAGTACAGCTGGTTCATGTACACCCCCCTCTCCTCTCGGCACCAGACTGTGTGTAAGGAGACACATGGTCAGTACAGCTGGTTCATGTACACCCCCCTCTCCTAGGCACCAGACTGTGTGGGGAGACACATGGTACAGTACAGCTGGTTCACATGCACCCCCCTCCTCGGCACCAGACTGGTGTCATACAGTACACCCCCCACTCCTCGGCACCAGACTGTGTGACACATGGCAAGTACAGCTGGTTCATACACCCCCTCTCCCTCGGCACCAGACTGTGTATGGGAGACATGGTACAGTACAGCTGGTTCATGGCCACCCCCACCTCCTCAGCACCAGACTATGTACACCCTTGGCAAGTAGGAGACACATGGTACAGTACAGCTGGTCATGCACCCCCACTCTCCTAGGCACCAGACTGTGTGTGTAGGGGCACATGGTACAGCACCAGCTGTCATGCCACCCCACCAATACACTCTCTCTCGGCACCAGACTGTGTGTATGGGAGACACATGGACACACATGGCACCAGACACCATGGTACAGTACAGCTGGTTCATGTACACCCCCCACTCTCCCTCGGCACCAGACTGTGTGTATGGGAGACACATGGTACTGTACAGCTGGTTCATGTACACCCCACTCTCCCTCGGCACCAGACTGTGTGGAGACACACATGGTGTACAGCTGGTTCATGTACACCCCCACTCTCCTCGGCACCAGACTGTGTGGGGAGACACATGGTACAGTACAGCTGGTTCATGTCACCTCGGCACCAGACCACCCCACAGACACACCAGACTGGTGTCTCTCGGCACAGACTGTGTATGGGGAGACACATGGTACAGCAGCTGGTTCATGTGTACCCCCCACTCTCCCTCGGCACCAGACTGTGTGTATGGGAGACACATGGTACAGCTGGTTTCATGTACCCCCACTCTCCCTCGGCACCAGGACTGTGTGTGGGAGACACATGGCCTCATGCACCAGCTTCCCCTCTCGGCACCAGACAGACTGTGTGTGAGGGATCACAGCTGGTTCATGTACCAGACATACAGCATGGTTCATGTTCACACCCCCACTCCTCTTCCTCGGTACAGTCCAGCTGGGAGACACATAGTACATGCATGGAGCACCAGACTGTGGTATGCATGTATTTCATGTACACCCCACTCTCCCTCGGCACAGACTGTGTAAGGAGACACATAGTACAGTACAGCTGGTTCAGCACACCCCCACTCTCCCTCGGCACCAGACTGTGTGTATGGGGTGTACAGCTGGTTCATGTACCCCCACTCCTCGGCACCAGACTGTGTGTATAGACACACACAGTACAGCTGGTCAGCACCTGTACACACCCCATGGCACCAGACTGTGTGTATGGGGAGCTGCTGGTTCATGTACACCCCCACTCTCCTCGGCACCAGACTGTGTGTAGGGGACACATGAGTCTGGTTCATGTACACCCCCCACTTCCCCTCGGCACTGTGTGTGTAAGGGAACCATGGTGTGCTGGTTCATGCACACCTCCACACTCCTCGGCACCCAGACTGTGTGTATGGGAGACACATGGTACAATACAGCTGGTTCATGTACCCCACTCCCTAGGCACCAGACTGTGTGTGGGAGACACATGGTACATGTACAATGGTTCATACACCCCCCACCTCGGCACCAGACTGTGTGTGTATGGGAGACACATGGTACAGCACAGCTGGTTCATGCACCCCCCTCCTCGGCACCAGACTGTGTGTAAGGGGCACCCTGGTTCATGTGCACCTCCAGACTGTGTGTATGGGAGACACATGGTACAGTACAGCTGGTTCATGTACACCCCCACTCTCCCTCGGCACCAGACTGTGTGTGTAAGGGGGGACACATGGTACAGCAGCTGGTTCTGTCCTTCCCTCGGCCCAGACTGTGTATGGGAGACTGGTTCATGCACCCCCCACTCTCCCTAGGCACCAGACTGTGTGTATGGGAGACCCACATGTGACAGTACAGCTGGTTCATGTACACCCCCACCTCTCTCGGCACACAGACTGTGCACACCTCCCAGGGGGACACATGGTACAGTACAGTTCATGCACCCCTCACTCTCCCTCGGCACCAGACTGTGTGTATGGGAGACACATGGTACAGTACAGCTGGTTCATGTAGCCACCTCCCACTCCCTCGGCACCAGACTGTGTGTATGGGACACATGGCTGAGTACAGCTGGTTCATCGCACCCCCACTCTCCCTCGGCACCAGACTGTGTGAGGGAACACATGGTACATACAGCTGGTTCATGTACACCCCACTCTCTCTCTCGGCACCAGACTGTGTGTATGGGAGACACATGGTACAGTACAGCTGGTTCATGTAACAACCCCCCACTCTCCCTCGGCACCAGACTGTGTGTAGGGGACACATGGTAAACAGTACAGCTGGTTCATGTACACCTCACACTCTCCCTCGGCACCAGACTGTGTGTATGGGGAGCACAATGCAGTACAGCTGGTTCATGCACCCCCCACTCTCCCTCGGCACCAGACTGTGTGTATGGGGAGCACATGAGCCATTACAGCTGGTTCATGTACACCCCCCTCTCTCGGCACCAGCTGTGTGTATGGGAGACACATGGCCAGCAGCTGGTTCATGCACACCCCACTCTCCCTCGCACCAGACTGTGTATGGGAGACACATGTACAGTACAGCTGGTTCATGTACACCCCCACTCCCTCGGACTGAGTGTATACAGCAGCTGGTTGACACTCGGCAGCACATGGTTCATACACTAGTTGGGAGACACATGGTAGTTCACACACCCCACCTCCCTCGGCACCAGACTGTGTGTAAGGGTCACATGGTACAGCACAGCAGTTCATGTACACCCCCACTCTCCCTCGGCACCAGACTGTGTGTAGGGATGACACATGGTACACACAGAGTACAGTACAGCAGCTGGTTCACACCCCCACTCTCCTCGGCACCAGACTGTGTGTAAGGGGAGACACATGGCCAGTACAGCTGGTTCATGTACACCCCCACTCTCCTCGGCACCAGACTGTGTGTGGAGACACATGGTACAGTACAGCTGGTTCATGTACACCCCCACTCTCTTGGCACCAGACTGTGTGTGTATGGGAGACACATGAGTACAGTACAGCTGGTTCATGTACACCTCCCACTCTCCCTCGGCACCAGCTGTGTATGGGAGACACATGGTACAGTACAGCTGGTCATGTACACCCCCTTTCGTATGGGAGACATGGTAGTACAGCTGGTTCATGTACACCACACTCTCGGCACCAGACTGTGTGTATGGTAGACACATGGTACAGTACAGCTGGTTCATGTTCTGCACACCCCACTCTCGGCACCAGACTGTGTGTAAGGGAGCAGCATGGTACAGCAGCTGGTTCATACTCTCCTCGGCACCAGACATTGTGTGTCGGCACCAGACTGTGTATGGGAGACACATGGTACAGTACAGCTGGTTCATGTACACCCCCACTCTCCCTCGGCACCAGACTGTGTATGGGAGACACATGGTACAGTACAGCTGGTTCATGTACACCCCACTCTCCTCGGCACCAGACTGTGTGTGTAGGGACACACAGTACAGCTGGTTCTGTACACCCCCCACTCTCCCTCGGCACCAGATTGTGTGTGTATGGGAGACACATGGTACAGTACAGCTGGTTCATGTACACCCCACTCTCCCTCGGCACCAGACAGACACATGGTACAGTACTGGTTCATGTACACCCCCACTCTCCCGGCACCAGACTGTGTGTATGGAGCATGAGTACAGTACAGCTGGTTCATGCTCACACCCCACTCTCCTCGGCACCAGACTGTGTGGTAGCAGACACATGAGCACACAGCAGCTGGTTCATGTACACCCCCACTCTCGGCACCAGAGGTGTATGGGAGACACATGGTACAGTACACAGCTGGTTCATGTACACCCACCACTCTCCCCAGCACCAGACTGTGTATGGGGAGACACATGGTACAGTACAGCTGGTTCATGTACACACACCTCTCCCTCGGCACCAGACTGTGTGTGGGAGACACATGGTACAGTACAGCTGGTTCATGTACACCCCCACTCTCCTCGGCACCAGACTGTGTGTGTGGGGAGACACATGGGTAGTTGGTCATGTACACCCCCACTCCTCGGCACCAGACTGGTTTTGTAGACCACAGCACCAGCTGGTTCATGCACACCCCACCTCCCTCGGCACCAGACTGTGTAAGGGAGACACACAGTGAGTACAGACTGTGTATGGCACAGGCACAGCTGGTTCATACACCCCCCACTCCTCGGCAGACTGTGTGTAAGGAGACATGGTACATGCTGGTTCATGTACACCCCCACTCTCCCTCCACCAGTACAGCTGGTTCATGTACACCCCCACAGCCAGGCAATGCAGGGAGTGGCACAGTACAGCTGGTTCATGACTCAGCACCAGACTGTGTGTATGAGGTAAGGATGCACCCCCCACTCTCCCTCGGCACCAGACTGTGTGTATGGGAGACACATGGTACAGTACAGCTGGTTCATGTACACCCCCCACTCTCCCTCGGCACCAGACTGTGTGTATGGGAGACACATGGTACAGTACAGCTGGTTCATGTACACCCCCCACTCTCTCCAGGTTGCCTATACCTGTCCCAATATGGTATACTTTAGTCCCAAACTGCAGTTCACATTTAATGGATAAGGTCAAATGTCAAGGTAGTTACCGGTACGTACTACTCTATGATGAGTCCTTAATAAGCGTATGAGAGCTAAACAAATGAACTAACAGGTACGGTTCTGAGTTTATCATACACTACAGTTAAAAGTCGTTTCTTCATATTCTTTAGGTCATGCAACAGCTGCTGTAGCGGTTGAGTCATGCACGTCTTAACAAAATTGGGCTTATCGTTTGTGAATGGAAGGATTTACTATAACATGAGAATTTCTCGACATAATACAGAAATATACCATAACAAACATCAGCTTTGTGTTGCTGGACTTAAAAATATCCACGGAAAATTAAAGGACTTTTAAACACTGTCTACAGAATACCCGTATTTACAACTCATTCCAACCCGGTTACTATTAATTTTCAGTAGATCAGAATAATATATAATTTTTTTTGTAATTATACTGAGAGCTTTTCTCTAGGTCTCATAACAGTGAGAGCAACACAAACTCTATTATTTATCAAGAAATTAAAACTAGTATAGACATTTACTGCCCTTCTCACCTCTGTTGCTCCAACGATGTGCTCAGTCTTCTTGCCTTTCTCAGATAACGCCAGAAACTCCAGGTCGTCCTTGGAGGGCACCACAAACAGGTACCTGGTAAAGAGGAAAACTATTTCATACCAGAGTAATGATTATCAACTTTGCCATCACCTTGATTTATAACACTTTGTGTTTACAAGATTTATCTGTCCTCTTGTGAGATCTACAGGTCGCTTATGGCACTTTTACAGGAAAACGCTTGAATCAGTATTTTGGTTCAATATAAAAGAAAAATACGAATTTAATAAACACATATGAACTGTCCAATAAAACTCAGTTCAAGAAAAACAGTCAAGTACAGTATATTCGTATGGTATGATATTTATGAAAACAAATTTAACCAAATCGCCAGTATTGTTTCTTTAATATTACGTCAATACAGGGGCGGATCAAGGAATATCAAAAGGTGGGTCCAAGAAGTTATGGATCGGGGAACATGGCGAGCACCGATATCATGGACATTTTGAGGCCATTTGCACTTGATATTAAAAGATATTCCGAGGTCAATAGTAATCAATTTTTACTATACAAAAACGCCTGAGTCAAATGCTGCATTAAAGAAAAAGTATTGCAATTTTCTGATGAACAGGGCGGTTCAGACCCCTAGAACGTTGTATCACCTGCCGTGGTAGTCCCAGGAGTTGGGGTGAGTGTTGACGAAGGTGAGGAGCGGGTCGAGCTGCTGCAGGAGGAAGACGTAGCCGCTACACCCTGACGACACCCACACTATCTCCAGCAGGTCCTGTGTCTTGTTCACCTTCACCACCTGCCAATATGTACAGTTGTACACATTAACCCTACTAATGAAGACATATATTACTGCATTCGTTAAGTAGTTTTTTTTAACTTAACCGACATTTCACCCCCTTAAATCAATTAATCACTTGGTTCCTTTTCAGCTCATTTACTTTTACGTCCTTTTAATTTTTTTTTTATTCTCTCTTTCTAAGCCTTCCATTCACTGTTATTCTCACCTCTAACATATAATGGTACTTTTCTTACATATAGGTGTCCTCTCAATACATTCCTGTCATTCAACGAACTATTCCATTTCTTGTCCAGCAATACCTGGTGTAAACAACCTATACCTGCACACATTTTTATAAGTTTCTCTTTTTACATCATGTTTCCATACCAACACTCCTCTCGGCATGTTTCTATCAGTCTCTCTCCATAAAGCACTGAAACTTTCTGAGTATTTTCAAAGGTCTTCCTAAAGCTTCTCTCTTTCCGTTTCATTTACCCTTAACACTTAAATACTCACTTCAACCATCTCACATACCTCGCTTTTACCTGATCCACAATATTATGGGACTCACTGCATTAGGCAGCAGCAGCAGTACAGCTGGTTGTCTACAGTCCACGACATAAGCCAGTAACTAACCTGTCGTGCATTAGGCGGCAGCAGCAGCAGCAGCAGCAGTACAGCTGGTTGTCTACAGTCCACGACATAAACCAGTAACTAACCTGTCGTGCATTAGGCAGCAGCAGCAGGCGGTGCAGTACAGCTGGATGACTGTAGGCAGCATCATAAGCCACCACCACATTACACTCCTCCATCTCCTCCTCAACTACAGCCACCAGCATCCTGCTCAGTGATGCTGCATCTAACATGTCAGCTGACGTCTCTTCCTTCTCATAACGATCGAATAAAACCTTGTTGATGTTTTTAATCTTGTCTCTGAGAGTTACGGGAGATGTGTCGCTCTCTAACTTGGCTGACGGCCGCTTGTGCACGAGGTCAGTGCTCGCGGGTGATGTACATGAATGTTGTGAAGCTGCATGTTTGCTTGTCGATGCTGGAGGCTGCTCATGACACTTATTCTCAGCAAGTGACACCAGCTGGTTCTTGACACCGGGTGTCATCCTCTCTACCTGCGACAAGTTGGCCGAGTTGAACTCCACCAGTGTAGTGTCATGTGTCAGGTGTTCCTGTGAGTTTGTCAGTCCCGCCACACATATTATGATACATATTATCAGCGTCAGAACCATCCTCGTGCCCCTCATGTCTCCTCGTCACCTGCAAGTACAATAAACAGAGTAATCCGGACGGGGACAGATGTGCCAAGGGTGTTGCCAAGTTTAACCCGACCAAACATCGCAGGTTTTCTCCGGTTACTCTAGTTTCCATCTGTACTGACACTGAACAATGAAAGTCGTAACAGAGAAAAGACCGACCGCCTGACCAGCTAGCAGGCTGATAGATGGTGAAATGATAAATTGCATACAATACGTTTGTGTGTGTATATAACCGGGGGTTGCCCAAAGAGGTTGTGATTAGGGGGTAATTTTCTTTACCAACTCGCCACTAAGGCTATCACATTTGACTACCTAATGAGTTTTAAAAGAAAAATAACCAAACGAACTCCAAAAATTTTTTTACTTAATGTTTAATTATTAAAAATTAGCATAAAATTTGATAAAGCAAAATCTTTATTCAAATAGAAAGAAATAATGAAAATAAATATATACTTTTTAATTTACTGCTTGAATAAATTCAGCAGCATTAACCTATTCATGGAAATTAAACTTAAATTATAATTCTCCAAATTTTCTTAAGCTTCCATTTATGTGAAATCTATTGAAGATCTAACTGATCAGTTAAGTCATTTTCACAAGCTATGAGCATAAGATTATACAACCGTTTTTCTGAGGTTCTGATTCTCAGGGATGTCTTCAAAAGCTTAGGCCTGGTAAAAGACCTTTCACTTTAACATACTGAAGGTGGTGGTGTCAAGACTAGCCTGAAAACTTTTGCCACACGAGGAAATAAATAATACTTTCTATGAGCTTTCAGTGCACATTCTGCAGCTGAGCGAATGCTTTTTTCTACATCAGTATACTGCTCCACACACCCAGAAAAATGAATGTTGAACACTTCTAATTCAACTCGGAAAGATTTAGTGTCAGGTATTTCAGATGGTTAGGCTTCTGACAGATTTTTCTTGGCTTCAATAAAGCTTTCTGTGTCATAGTCTGCAACATGAATCAAGAACATCCGCAAAATATTTGAAAGAAGATTTCAGATTTTCACATTTTGAAGTCTACACAGAAATCATCATATCTAAAATTTCATTAATTTCCTTTCAATAATAGGAAAACAAATTATACTGGTCACTAGAGTTTGGATTATCATAATTTTTTTGGGGGGAGGGTGGGGGTGGAGGGAGGGGGGGGGGCTGTTTCCTTTGACGGTGAACTCTCTTGAACTCTTCTCCATCAACATCAATATTTTTTGCAAAGTTGACTGCAGCCTCCAGCAAATGTTTCCGAGCTTCATCATCACTACGTATTGACTGAAGTATTTTCAATGTACTTTTCATACGATAAGAGCTCCAGAAACATCTAAATCCTCAGTTTGCAACACATCTACCTAGTGTTTAGTTTTGTACATAATATTTTCATGAACATCAAAGCAACAATAAAATCAAAAGTTTTAATTTTATAGATGAGACCATTAGCTTTTGTCCTTGCTATTTTTTTTTATTTCATCGATAGCGTATGCACATGTGAATAACAGAAGTATGGTAAAAATGCACTTGTAACTTCATATATCACAAGTTATAGCATTGCAAGGGATTTGGTAGCTTGCATGTTGAATGAAAAATTTGCAAGAAAATTTGTTGTTTGCCACTTCTGACAGTACAGTTACAAGAAGCATCAACAAAATTTGAGCTTATCACAAAGAAGTAATAAAACGATTAAAACCAGGGCCGGATTCAGGAGTGGGCAAAGTGGGCAGCTGCCCAGGGGCCTCCACAATCTGGGGGCCTCCACATGTGCGGTAGTAGCTATATCAGGGCTGGTCGACTTGAAACCACATGAATGACTCCAGTCATGTCTCACTTTTATGTGTGTGTGTGTGTGTGTGTTGGGAATTTGTACACTATCAATAAATATACAGTTAATTAAAAAATTCTCAATGTTCTAATTTCCTCAATATAACTGCATATGGCTTCAAAATTATCCAAAGAAGTGTTCAAATTTCAAAATTTTCCCGGGGGGCTTACAGCGCCCCCGGAACTCCCAGATGTTTAGGCTCGCTTCACTCGCCACCCCACCCTCTTGGGTAGTTATAATGAGGGGGGCCTCCACGAGGAGGCTGCCCATGGACCTCCACAGGTCTAAATCCGGCACTGATTAAAACTGAGTACAACAGGATTTTTTCTTCACTTCGACGAATTCACTGATGTTGCATGTTTAACAATCTTAATTTTGTTTGTGCTCTGAGTGCATGAATCTTGTTTAAGCTGTTTATTGTCAACCCCTTTCAAACTAAAACGTCCACAGTTGAAGAAATGTTGAACATGGCTGAGTCATACAAAAAATTAGAAATCCTAGCCTTTATGTTTCAGTATACGGTATGTAAGGTGGAGCTAAGATAAGGCTATAGTAGGCCCGAGTTGAGAAATGTCAGGTGTTGTGGCTCGCATAAAAAATATAGTCTCAATTTAACATAATCATTGCTGTCTATATTGTCGTGCACTTGCAATCAAGTGCGTGCCTTAAGTACTATATGCTCAACGAAGTTGTCAAAGTTGGAAATTTTATTAAATGGGGAATCAGCATAAGACATTAGAACGTACCGGGTACTTCAAACTGAAGTGTGTTGGCTATCTTGTGTAACTCTTGATTCGGTTTTATGAATCATTAGAAGAGAGTGATCTTTATATCTTAACTAGACGTAGGAACTACATTATAGTTAGCCTGGGTGTTGAGCTCGTGTTATGAAGATGAACTGAAGATCAAGTATGACCATATTACAGTACTGTAGTTGTGTTCGGCAAGCATTTTGAATGTCTTTTTATAAAAATGGACAATATTGCATGAAGTATTTTAAGGGAAGCAAAATCAGAAAAATATGTTAAGTAGTTTTAATAGCTTTTAATAGGGATAAAAAAATTATGACAGGAATGTTTACTGTGAAGTCGTAAACATTTATGCGTGAGGTCTGCACGCTGTAGAATTCTTTGAGGCAAATATTTAATATCACTTTATTAATTTAATCTTCAATTTCAATTATGAGGTCATTGGCACGAATAGTTTTCGATGCGCATAAATTAGTTCGCTGAAAAACACCTTAGAACTTGACAAATAAAACAAAAAAGAATAGCGAGAAAGAAATCACGGCACCACTTGTTTTCCTCACTTCGTCGTAAGAATTTCCAAGCGAAGGTTATTCTACAAGAATTTCTTCGCTAATGAACACTTATGGTATTCGAACGGCAATATGGACAATATAAGGCATTTCCTCGTGATTTCAAAACAAAAATTATATATTGAAAATTTTCCGTTATATAAGTCAGATGCCCTTATTTGACAGATATTTTTTATAATATTAACTAATAGAGCAAATAAAACGTCTAATGAACTTGGTAATGCTAAAAAAAATGAAATTTGTTGTTTATTAAATGCGCTGCAGTTTTCGCGGACTCACCTGTGGTGTTCTGCCAGTGACGACAGGATGAAGTATGTGACTGTCCTGACGTCCGCTTTACATGTCGCCTTCCACAGTTGCCATCTCGTATTTTAGTATTACCCTGAGATCTTTTTGATGTTTGATGTGAAGTATCTGGTTGGTAGTTCTATGTCACAGGGGCGTAGCCGTGGCGGGCTCCTCCCTTTTGCCGAGATGCTAGTGATTTTTTTTCCAGTGCTTTGGTTGCTAGTTTATTTTGTATCATTATTTTCAAATGTGAAATCCTTATTTGTCTTCTTTTTTTTTTTAGATATGTCAATTATTAAGGCAATTTTGTATGAAGAAGGAATTGTTGGTTTCTTTTCGGTGCTCCAACTCTAAGGGTTTGCATGCACAGTTCATTGATTCTTTGTTTATATACAAAAAGAGACGTAGAAATTGAGAACATAATCTTTCTGTTGTAGTATACAGTATTAAACACGCCTTCCTGAAATGGCAGATACGGGATAAACGAACACGTGATCATACAAACAGTTGGCGCTCATGAGAACAAAATCTCAATCAAGTAAAGGTGTTATATATAACACCGTATGTTTTCACCCCACACACTTGTTGTTTCCACCTTTCAGTGTTGCAGTATTACCACATTAATGGTACAGATGATCTTTTTTCTTACTCAAACTTTATTAACATGAGCGAACCACTAACCTTTGTGTTTGTTAATGGTATTGGGACCCAGTCAAGAAATAACTCACCTATCTTCATTATATCTTAATCACACACACACATACACACGCACTCAGTCAGTCAAATATATTCAAGTCTAGAATAATTGCTGCTGTAAGATAATAAGAGATACCAATACAGTACATGTTTTAGCCAGGGTGACTGAACCATCAATACTTACTGAAATTATATGATAACTCAGTTCCAAAAACTGACTGATACTCTTAAAACCACATGTTGTATGATGTAATGGTTGTAAAAGAGTTGTTGAGGCTTGTGACCATTAACTGTGTAAAAAGCTGTGAAGTCTGAGCTACAAAAAGGATGACCTGAGCTAGTTTGGGTATGTTAGCATCACAATATTACAATGTTCCCATCAACATATTTAGATGTTCGTATCCAACAAGGATGGAGGCTAGTAATCTTTCAAAGTGAGCATACAAAAAACATTCCTGGTGTCACCCTCTGCGTTTAGTGTTGGGGCGTCGTCAGTCATGAAGGAGACGTGACAAGAGGCAGCCAAAGGGGCGCAGAACGTCTATACTGCAATTTCTGACAATCTACAAGAAGATCCATTAATCCAGGCAATCTAGTTTGTGCATGTGTTTTTCTTTCCGTCTGCCTGTCTGTGTAACCATTTACGAATGTGTACAAACAGTTTTAACGAAAAGGTCTTGTCATATCAGATTTTCTTCATCTAAACACCAATATAGTAAGGTACCTGTAACTCAACACAGACAGTATAAATTTAAAGGTGATCTCGTGAAGACTCTCTCTCCTTGAGGGTGATCTCCACTAGGAAGATGAGGACAGTAGCTATCCAGCCCATGACGATGACGAAGAAGATGCCCTGCAGGTGGTCTAAGCTGAGTGGGACACCGCCGCCCCTCGCTCCTCCTCGTACACCTCTGTCTTGTGTTTCCCCGGCGACGACCACACCGCCCTCACTCTCCTTCTGTCCCTGTCATGCAACCTTCACTATTACAGTCGTACGCAAAGAACACAAATCATCATCAATTGGATTTTTTTTTTACAAATGTTAATGAGTTTGGGGGAGTGAGTCTCTGGAAAAAGTTTGATAGTGAATGTGAACAAACGCGATGAAAATGAGTAGACACGTTGAATCACCTGAAATTATACCCCTCATCAGTTGATTTCACCTGACGATTAAACACCTTGGAGAAGTTAGATTAGGTTAGGTTAGCATTAGGGTGTTTAATCTTTAGGTGAAATAAGCTGGGGGCTAATCTTCAGGTGATCCAAAATATAAATGCTGTAACCTGGAGGGTATTCCTGGGTTAGGTTGAATACTCTTCACCTTCCTCAGGATATTGGGACTCAGAGTACAGGAGCGGGAGAGATAAAAACGCCAGGTACTGAATTTAACACTAGGGATCGACCCATCGGCCCTTAGGACAGGCGATGAGCGTTGTATCCGTTCAGCCGCTGCAACCCTTAGTTATGGGCAAAATAACTGTCCAGAATATTTGACAGTGATATATTGGTTGTTTAAATAGACAGACAGGTGGAGACATAGTTAGACAGACCAGCAGATAAGCAAATAAACATAGATATACTGAATAGCATAAAAGCAATAATATCAAGCAATTTGTGAGCAATAAACTCACCGAGGTCTGAGCTGAGAGTCTGAGGGAGGTGAGGAAGAAGTGCCTGATGAGTCCGGCGTTGAGCATCCAGCTAATGACTTGATCAAACTTCCTCTTAAGGGGTGAGTGACGCTGTAGACCCAAGGCGATGCTGAACGGGGCGAAGCATTCCTGCATCACCAACACACACGTTAATTACCTTCCGAAAGATTGGTTCTATAGCATTACAACAGTTAAGAATTCCCCCCTCCCCCCCACACCCTTGTACGCAAAAATGGAACACAAGGAAACTGAATCTCCCACAGATGATGACCACCGTCCCTACAGCTAACTTTCACCGATAATATTTCCCCCGTATCACCCTCCCTGTGTACTGTATCCCGTTAAATAAAGAACAGAAGTCTCGGGTGTGGGTGGACCCCCCTCCCAAGCCCTCAGAACATCAACAGGTGGTGGGAATACGAGAGAGAATGTGAATAAGGAAATTAAGAAGACAAAGGTGGCCTATGTAATGAGTGTAAGTGGATATCTTACCGAGGAGTGTGACATAAGATAAAAAAAAATCATGAGTAATATATTATGCAATTGAAGGTTCCTTGAGGACGGTAGAGGGTAAGTCAGAGAGGAAATATGTGTGTTAATGGAAGATAAATGACACGACAGAATATATTGTAAACCTGTGAATTTTTAAATATTTATTATATGACTCAAAAGTGAACGGAGTAATGTGATATGTGACTTATTTATCCCTCATATAACACTAAGAAGGATGAAGGGGAAGATATATTGAAGTCTTGGGAAAAATAATCTAATAAAGTAATAATAGTAAAGAGATACGTGTTGGGAAGCCTGAATGACGGAAGGTGTGTTTGGGACTTGAGGCGTCTCGGAGTGGGGAGAGGGATATCCGTGTGTGTGTGAGAGAGAGAGAGAGAGAGAGAGAGAGAGAGAGAGAGAGAGAGAGAGATACCTTGAAGACAAACACTTACACAAATACACGTAATATAGATAGAATGTAGATGTTATGTAGCACCGTATATATGATTTATAGGTAATTTCCTTACATGTTCAGAGGTAACTACCCAGCTTGTTCAGTAGGTAAGGCTATATCTTATATTACTTTGTTCCTGTATGTAATTATTGTTTAATATGTATTAAATATTATTGTATAGTATGTTTGTGTTAAATAAATCAGTTTAATGTTGTGTAGTAGTGAGGTAAAATAGTATTGTAATTGAAGACATGGTACCAGCACTGTGTTGGGCACTGGTCACCTAACTCAGCCGGTGGAGAGGGTCAGCGGGGCAGAAGCAGACGTGCCTGGCTGGTGTGAGGTTGTAGTTCAGTTGGTCTGGACTCTGGATATTATTGTGGAGATAAGTAGTGTATTCTGTTTGTACTGTTCAAGTGCATATTGAGGCTGATGTTAGGGTTCAGATTGATTTAGGCTGTGGCTCTCAATATGTCATTGTTTTTCCGTTACATGTCCCTTGTATATGCGTTCTTTAATTTTATTATACTAATTTATGCAGTGTATGATTTCTTCACTATGAAACCCATTTAGTTAGAGTTAATGAGGCTTATTATTAAGAACCTGGGGAAGGTAATATGAATTGTTATAAGGTTTACCCTGCTTAGAGTTGTGACCGCTAGTGGCAGAGATGTTTCTCAATGCTGTCACGATCAAGCCTCGCCTCTTATTTTGACTAGTATGGGATGTGTATTTTTATAAGGTAACATGTGGCTGGTAGAGTATAGTGCAGAACTATAGTGAGTATAGTGTGGGTGGAGAGACTTGAACTAATCACGTGTTGGTAGTCAAGTGGTGTGGAACAATAAAAGCACAGATTGATAACCAAACAAGATAAACGTTGAAGGGTGAGCGTCAGAGATTTAATTCCCAGAAGAAGCCGCGCGAGAAAGTGAAGAGTGAATACTGCACAAACTTTAGGTAAGGTGACTGTGGTGAGCGAAGACGATACCACATTATAGACTATGAATGATGTGTGTGTGAGACGGTAATATGTTGCAAAGAAACGAACCGCAAGGTGAAATCAAGGCCTTAATCCTAGACAGTGTTGGTGAGTCTATACCTTCATGAGTCTCATCCTCGACGCCCCACGACTGGGAAACTTGGTAGCCGCCACAAACTCGAGGTAGGGTCGGTTCTGGAGCATAACGGCCTTCCCCTCCAACACGCCGGAGAAGATGTCCTCGGCTGTGCTATAGTCCTGGAACCTGTCCTTCAGGCTCTGTCGACCACAGTTGACGTAATGTTATGTCATGCAGTATCTTTTAGTATAGCAACTCGACGACAATACACAGGAATTTGGAGAATGTATCAAGTTAAAAACTCCTTATAAATATATATTAATAAGAACAAGCTAGGGGGGGTACTGTATAGACTTGTGGCACAGGTTTATACGTGTAGGATATTTCTACTTGCTCTTGTAGACCTTCCCTAAAGTTTTCTACAATTCTCCTGTGATACTCTCCTGATCACTTCCTCCCTTTCTTGAGGTTTGTGTTTCCTCTGGTCCACCCTAAGTGTTTATTAGCAGAGGGAAGTTAACAGATAGACCCACCTGGAGGTAGGAAGACCCACCTGGAGGTAGGGATCGCTGGCGGAGGCAAGAGCGTCCCCGTAGAATTTGCCGACGCCTGACACCTCCAGCCCGGAGGCGTGTAACTCCTTGATGGTTTCCATGATGGAGGGAGGCTTAGTGACCATGAGGAAGGCGGTGAGGTTGGTGGAGTAAGCTATAGTGATAGTGATGGTGTAGAGCCACAGGAAGATGATGAACACCCTCGTGCTCTTCATCTGTGGCAGCGTGACCTGAGCCTCACAGCAGTGAAGACCCAGAGCGTAGTAACAGCTGAAGCTAAGAGACTGAAGGCTCTTCATCTCCTCCCCGCTGTTGGTGGATAAGACAGCCCATACAATGTGGCTTTACTCGCTATTAATCTTCCATTTATAAGTACCAACAAAGTCAAACACTGTCATAAACCCTCAAACATCTCCACTCTCTTGGTTTCCATGTTACAACAGAAAGACAAGTGAAGCATTATTGTAGAGACCCCCCCCCCCCAGGGCCTCTAGTCTGCACCTCCAGCAGGGAACATAATGGCTGTCATGTCCGAAATGTATGAGACGTGTTATATAGTGGGCCCTCGTGACTTCACGCCTTATCAACCTGCATTCGTCATTTTTAATTGTATATTCTGGAAGTTAACGTTTCATTAACAGGGCCAGTATGAGGCTCCAGGTCAAATAACACAACACGTGAGGGAGTTTTCCCGCCTTTGACTTAACAAATATTGTTCCACAACTTTTTCTTTTGCTCCTCTACATGACGTATGGTATATGTAACTGATTTACAAGAGATGGGCGCCTGATAAGTGCTTACCAAATATAAACCTGAATATATCATAATGTTATCATTGCGCTTTAACTACTGAAGTCTTTAAGGGCGTAACTAGTCCATCAACTACTCCAATTATGAGAACTCTTTCTTTTAAGTTGTCTTTCTAGACCTATTAATTATAATTTTTCGTATACCATGTCACCAATTATCAGCTCACTGACCGTTCGGCGGTTGGTCTGTTGTTACCTTATGACCTTTACTGACCAGTGTTAGTACTTCACTGTATATGCAGAAGGAAACCGGTAGTACCCGGAGGAAGCCTTTTATGTTTGATGGATCACACTGGATAACATCCTTTCCGCATCTGTCCCGAGCCACGATTTGAATCCAGGACATAATGGCGAAGAATACTGGATATGTAAACTCGCTTCCAAATATTGCCGTCATTGACTCCACAAATGTACTACAGTATATCATTGAATAGGATAGATAATTATGAGGGCTGTTAATGATATACAGGCTAACTAAGGAGTGGTTGTTGTGTTTGGCTGTTGTCATTACATCAGTTTGCAGTTTTGAACTTGAAGTTCCTATCGAAACCTCGGTAAGATTTTTTACATGGTTGGAAATATCAGTACTGTAAAATAATAATAATAATAATTAACGGTATATTGAAAGAGCTTGGCAGCCAGAAGGCTGAAAATATACAGTTACATATTTGGGGAATGGGTTACGAATTACAAATAATATACAAGTAACATAAGTGACACAAATAAGACATATAATAACTAGATGGGGAAAAGCTCAAACTACAGTTCATTTCAACATAGTCACAGTGCAAGGAGTAGTGTTTACTGGGAGTGAATACACTATAATTATGTAAATCATTGAAAGAGGAGATTTTACCGAGCTAACGCTGGTGTGTTGTAGGGTTTGCTCATAAAGCGAATTTTTTGCATAAACACCTGAAATTTTAAATACGTACATAAATTATGTTGATACACGACTTAAGGTTTTACACATCGAGGATGAGTCTTTAAACAGTTACTATTAAACGGCGGTCACGGGAACATAGCCTGATGCCTCGGCGATCTAAAACTTACAAAATGATCTGCTGTTAAGACAAACTTAACAGTTTGGCTATGGTACTGAACTGGAGAATTAGACATTATCACAAGAGCAGCTAAATAATAACTTATTGTTATCCAACATAAGGAAAATGGAGGCGAGTACTAACCAGACGGCGCTGCCCCGCGCCAAGAGGTAGAGGACGGGTCCAGAGATGATGAGACCAATTAAGATAGCGAGCCAGGTGATGCCCTGGAAGGGGTAAGCCAGGGCCTGCCAGCGTGGGAGAGGCGGTTCCGTCCGCGCCATGAAGCAGCTCAGCTGGTGACAAAGTTGGTAACATACACGTCCAAGTGGTAAAGTAACTTTGGAATTTTGTGGGGTGAAGTTCAACAATGTTGACTAATATAGTCTGATATTCTGGAGGCCTGGTGAATTCAAAGTCTAGCCATCCGTCAATTGATCATCGCATATTTTAACCTTAAGCAAAGATGTTTCTTAAGGGAACAAGATTTACTCGTACAGTACAGTACCTCGGAGTCGTAAGACGCACTGTAGTCGAGGATACCGACGCGGATTATGGTCATGTAGAGGTCCACCATGCCCAGGTCCACCTCGTTCCTCGACAGCTTCCCCATCATTCCTGACCAAGTTCCATTTTCTTCTCTACCCCAAAGTTCCCCTGCAATAAGATAATAGAAATAATGTGAACGTAGGATGTAAATTTGGTAAATGTTATAGAAGTGTTTGGTATATAATTACTACCAATATATATACACACCTTCAGGAGGTTCCTCAAACTGAATGGTGAAGTTAAGCACCTGGGCCAAGGTCTTCACCACACCGATGTCTATACCGTAGCGGAGGAGCACAGTGCCGTTCTTCGCCCGCTGGTAGAACACACTTGGCTTCCACTCAAATGTCACTGCCTGTGTGAGGTTATGACAGATCAGTCAAGACAAGTACACTTAAATTTTTGTCGGGTAGATCAGGGGGTGTCAAGGAATTTATATCTGTTAACATCAATTTCAATGTACAATATTGATAAAGGGCTGGACACCTGAAGGCTTGGACAGTAGGTTGAATTTTCACCGACTCAATATTTATCTGCTGAAATGACGTTGAAATTGAAGTGAGACTCCAGTCAGTGCTGCTAGATGTGTTCCTAGTTAGGGGGAGACAGTAAGACAACCCAGCATGTGTGTTTTTCCCCTCGTGGATCTTCAACAAACTCCTACTTACAGTCTCCGTGCATTTCTCAAGCCATTTTCTATAACTAAATATCAAACTCCACATGTCTAGACTCAATAACTGGTTGGAACTGATTGAAGCCACTCACATACACAAACGATGATTTACTGTATCTTAAAAAACAATATTTGGAGACAACACTGACGGGTTTGGGATCAATCAAGCAGGAATCAACACTTGGATGATGTCGGATGAAATAAAACGTTCAGTAAGATTCGGTCTTCCATATTTAAACTAAAGGAATTACTTTCATAAAGTCTCAGATAACAAACATTATAAGGAACACGACGAGCATAAATATTTCAATTGACCTCCATTAACACTTAAGATGTTCCTGGTGGGAGTTATGAAAAAAAAACTTGTTAAAACGAATCATACAAGACTGTTCCTGCACATGGCCTCTCTATGACCTACTGTATTGTTTGTTAAAGTATGAGATGAGGCGGAAGAGTGTTGGAGTCTGCAGTTTTAGCTGGTAACAAGACGGCAACTCACCTTGAGCACGGCTCCCTGTAGATCCCGTAATTTATCAGGGAAGAGATTCACTTGGGAGGTGAACCTGTGTCCCCGCCAGGTGGTGACGCGCTTTACTCCTTGACTCCAGTACAGCTGGTTCATGTACACCCCCCACTCTCCCTCGGCACCAGACTGTGTGTATGGGAGACACATGGTACAGTACAGCTGGTTCATGTACACACCTCCCACTCTCCCTCGGCACCAGACTGTGTGTAAGGGAGACACATGGTACAGTACAGCTGGTTCATGTACACCCCCCACTCTCCCTCGGCACCAGACTGTGTGTAAGGGAGACGCATGGTACAGTACAGCTGGTTCATGTACACCCCCCACTCTCCCTCGGCACCAGACTGTGTGTATGGGAGACACATGGTACACAGTACTGTGTACATGGTACAGCTGGACACCCCCACTCTCCTCCAGAATACATGTACACCAGCACCATGTTGGGAGGCCCACTCTCCTCACCTTGTGTGGGAGACACATGGTACAGCTGGTTCATGTACACCCCCCACTCTCCCTCGGCACCAGACTGTGTGTATGGGAGACACATGGTACAGTACAGCTGGTTCATGTACACCCCCCACTCTCCCTCGGCACCAGACTGTGTGTATGGGAGACACATGGTACAGTACAGCTGGTTCATGTACACCCCCCACTCTCCCTCGGCACCAGACTGTGTGTATGGGAGACACATGGTACAGTACAGCTGGTATCTTTTACAATTTGCTTATGTATTAATAGATTAGTAATGAGTGTTGTACCTTTGTTGTCTTGTTCCAGGCGTTGTAACTTATGAAGTGAAAAAGGCTGCCAGTACATCAGTTAACAACATGATAACTGCAGCATCTTCATCACTAAATCTAATTCAAAGACAAAAAAGAATTAAGAGAGTTAGATCTCCTCGCACGCCAGCACCGTGGACATGACCGGATGATTATCGTAATCAAAGTACTCCCCATGAACTTGTCAAGAAGGACATACAGTACAAGAAGCGAACTCTATATACGTGGCTGAACAGATTGTGGGTTTGACCAGCCTTTAGGAGTTGATGGTTTAAGTTGAAGCTGTAGAGATGGAAGGATTGATGGATATTTCCGCCTATAACAAGGTGTCTTTTGAGAATTTGCTATATACTGTAATGGACTACAGCCTTTGATGGGAAGTACAACCTCTCATTGTGCCGTTTCTTTCATTTCACGGTTACTGTACAAGTCTTGTCATTAATACACAGAAGACAATTAAATATATGGGGTTAACCTTTTTTATCTCAGTTTTCCATCACCAATTTGTTTTTCATATTTATTATAGGTTTATTTTTTATTTGTTCCATAATCAAAACACGGAACATTGCACGAGTAACGGGAATATATATTATCTATGGAAACTCTTGTCTAGTTGTGGGAATGTTTGCGGGTAACAGAGTTCTCCTTGAACCTTATTGGTCTCTTACCAGTTCATCCTATTATGAGAGATATTACTGCCTAAGTCATATAACATTGAAACCCCGAACACACGCGACTATATTTACTAACAATATAAAACGTCCACAGAGATTTACTGCCCTTCTCACCTCTGTTGCTCCAGCTATGTGCTCAGTCTTCTTGCCTTTCTCAGATAACGCCAGAGACTCCAGGTCGTCCCTGGAGGGCACCACAAACAGGTATCTGGTAAAGAGGAAAACTTCATTACATTGACTCTTATTAATTATAACATTAGTTTGGTTTAGACTTATGACGCGTGTATGTAAAATTTGTCTACTCACTAAGAAAATTTTAAAGGTAACTTAAAACACTACTGTAGTATTGAAAAATTTAGATTAATTAATATTTTGGCTTAAAACTTCACTCTTTTGTCCGACTACAAGATTTTGGTCAACTTTTCCAGTGTTGTCACCTTAATATATTAATATTAGGTGAGTATAAGAGGAACGTTGTATCACCTGCCGTGGTAGTCCCAGGAGTTGGGGTGAGTGTTGACGAAGGTGAGGAGCGGGTCGAGCTGCTGCAGGAGGAAGACGTAGCCGCTACACCCTGACGACACCCACACTATCTCCAGCAGGTCCTGTGTCTTGTTCACCTTCACCACCTGCCAATATGTACACACTTTATCTGCTGCATGACGTACACTATGATCAATGTTAATCACAAAGGGTATACTGTATATTGGTGCGATGGTAATAAATGTTCATTATCGGGTGGTGATTTGCTTACGTTTATTGGTCAAACCCCTAAGAGTGATTTGCCACTACTCAGGTGTTATAAGGGTGTAGGTATTAAGTGCTAAGATCCTCTTTCTTCGTAGATGGAAGAGGATCTAATTTAACATTGAGTTATGATAGTCCAAATAAGGATGAAGTTTCTGAAAAAGGCCAAATGACTGGTTATCTACGACGTATGGGGTGTGGCGTATCGGGGTAACATCACTATCAAGCAAATATTGGATTCAGATCTGTTGTGGGGAGTAAGCCGTCACCTGCTGTAATACTTCAGTGTTGGGGATGGTGACCCGAGTGCCAGGTGACTAACTGCAGGTGTGTAAATTCCTCCAAGGTCCATGTTGGTGTGAGACGATATAAACACCCCCTGGGTACAGACTCATGCCCCTTGACAGCCAGGTATTTTGTCATTTCTATGTATAGTATTGTTATAAAATTTTTATTAATTGCAAGTGTCTTCTGCTATTCTCTGAAGTCATCAGCATTCCTATACTGATAGCAGCAGCAGTACAGCTGGTTGTTTACAGTCCACGACATAAGCCAGTAACTAACCTGTCGTGCATTAGGCAGCAGCAGCAGGCGGTGCAGTACAGCTGGATGACTGTAGGCAGCATCATAAGCCACCACCACATTACACTCCTCCATCTCCTCCTCAACTACAGCCACCAGCATCCTGCTCAGTGATGCTGCATCTAACATGTCAGCTGACGTCTCTTCCTTCTCATAACGATCGAATAAAACCTTGTTGATGTTTTTAATCTTGTCTCTAACAGTTACGGGAGATGTGTCGCTCTCTAACTTGGCTGACGGCCGCTTGTGCACGAGGTCAGTGCTCGCGGGTGATGTACATGAATGTTGTGAAGCTGCATGTTTGCTTGTCGATGCTGGAGGCTGCTCATGACACTTATTCTCAGCAAGTGACACCAGCTGGTTCCTGACACCGGGTGTCATCCTCTCTACCTGCGACAAGTTGGCTGAGTTGAGCTCCACCAGTGTAGTGTCATGTGCCAGGTGTTCCTGTGAGTTTGTCAGTCCCGCCACACATATTATGCTACATATTATCAGCGTCAGAACCATCCTCGTGCCCCTCATGTCTCCTGCAAGTACAATAAACACACTACACATCTGCTTTACCACACCAATAAACCGACCATTAATACAGGCGTCAAAAAGTTGTAATGTACCATATTTAATGTCCCTAAATGACTAAATGGATATACGACTCTTAGCTGCATTGTCAGCTCTGTGAACGCCTTGCCTGACTGGAAATAATCGCCTCCCCGCCTCTGATCTACTGGTGCCGGAGTCCTTCGCTTCTCCCCAGTCTATATAGATGGTACGAGATCCTCACTGACGTAGTATGTGTCCAGTACTTGGTTATTCAATCATTTCCATATGTAGAGTATATGATCGTATTATATCTCCAGACACTTACCAACACCGTTAGCACATGATCATATACTAAGCTAATATGACCTTAATATTTTACGTGAAAGTTACAAATTATTTGAGTAAAAGCTAATGGGACCTTTGTACTCAATAACCAGCATAACAATAATGAATCTTAGAGTACAGATCTTCACGATGAGGCAGTACTCTATTTATATAGTGGACAGTGGTTGGTTATGTTTTAATTTTTTTTATTGTTTATTCGTCGTCGTTGAAATTTATTCCTGAAAGATACTCGGTTAAGATGCACTGGCAGAGGAACGTTTACACAGTGGTGTTAAGGGCCTCCTACAGTACACAGATCTGCACACCTGAGTAAACTGAGTAAAACAAACTCCCTCTGTTATTGTGTGGAGGATTACCTACAAATAAGTAAGCTACGTGTGTCGATGGCTATGAATGTTCAATTTCAAACACATCATAAAAAGAGGGATATGTTGAACTAAACATCACGATCAATTTCTAGCCTCCCCGTTTTGATATTTTGGGGGTAACTTTCACTGCACTAACTGTTGCCTCACTCTTATGACACACGTTATTAAGAAAAATTTTGGTACAATAAAATCGTTGTGGTTATTCTGGAGAGCCTCACCTGGTTAGCTGCCAAGATGAAGAGTGCGCGAGTGTCTTCCCCGACGGCCCCTTTCATGTCGCCTACCACAGTTGCCATCTCGCATCTTTGAATTCCCTTATGATCCTTTTGACACTTTATATTGTATATAAAGTGTGTACAGAAGATGGCAGTTCTCTGTTGGAAGGGCGCGGCCGTAATGTGTCACCTTTGAGATGCATCAATGAATATGTCCTAGTTTGGGTTAACCTGATCTATTTCTACAACAAAGACACGTGACCACTTTAGAAATCTCACTTGTCACTCACGAGTAGAACAAAGATTTACAAATATATTTCTTAAAACGTTAATGAATCAATGAAGTATATAATATGTTTTTCTTCAGTTGAGTCGATTATTGTGGTTGCGTTGACACCAAAATTGCCATCATGTTTTATACTCGTGCCGTGACAGTTCTCTTGTAAAATGTACTGTGATATTGTGCCAATTTATTCAGTATTTATATGGCAAGAACTGATGTATGTATGTATGGGTCAGATGCGTGGACACTTTCAGCAGACACCAGACAGAGGTTGGAGGCCTTTGAAATGTGTGTTATAGGTGAATGCTAAAAATAAGCTACACTGACAGGAAAACAAATGAAGAAGTACTAAGATTGGCAAAAACTTTATGAGAAATACTTAAAATCTACAGAAAAATAAAAAAAAAGTACTTTGGTCATTTAATAAGGGATGAGGGAATAATGACAAATATTGGTGGGCAAAGTTGAGGGCAGGAGAAGGCAGAGACTGGGATGGATGAATTAAATTACAAACTTGGTCCCCAGAGAGATACAAAACCTTGGAGGGTTGGTAAAAACAGCCAGAGAACGTTTAGAGTGGAGGACTGTGGTCGCCAACCCTCAGATACGAGGACGGTACTGATCCAGTAAATCAGACTAAGCCATACAAGGTGGTGTGGCCCCCACCTGCTGACCGTGTACTGTTTAGGCGAAGGGATCTCCCCGAAATACTCCTTAATGTTTAAAAGACTTAATTCTAACTTAAAAATTATTAGATGAGTTTGGCGATCTATAGGGTATTGAAATTGAAAATAATGCAGTGTATTTAGCCAGAAAATTACAATATACTCTGTAGTTTGTTTAAATTTATTAATAGCTACATCAGGTTTGCTAATAGATGACGCCTCATCCACAGATTGACGACTGAGTCTTTGCATACCAGTCCTGCCATCGGTATTTCCTCCGGTCAAAGTACTTTACTCGCCTCATATACCTCTTGTTTCTACCTTTCAGTGTTGTATTGTTGATTCCTAATTGCACAAATCGCCATTTCTTACAAACTACGCAAAATTCCGAGAAAAGTTGGATAAAAATGTGAATTAACCATCGTTTTGTCTCAAGGGGACCCATCTCTTCCGAAATGGCAGTGATAGGCGCATGCACATTAGTACTGTACATGGACTTGCATATTATTGTGGTATTTCAAGCTTATTAAACGCCCAAAATAGATTTTGGTTTCTTACAACAGACAACTTTTAAACACTCAAGACAACGCATGTGTCAACGTAAATGCTTCTTTTATACATTACATGATACACATTCTCTGGGGTGTACTGAACACTACATTAACAATGTACTTACTGTACAGACCTCAGGATTAATTAGGCTGATATAATTGAATGAAACAGGATTTTCTATTCGGTATTTATGAACATTTTGACCAATATATTTTTTTTTCAAAGTTCGCGGCTAAAAATCATGTATTATGAATCGTGGAAATCAATGGTTCTTGCCGCACTGATAATAGGCTACCTCTAGTGTGATTTCAGTGTAACACAACACGTGAAATGGTAAATTTTTTTGTCATGTTCAACTTTAATCTCACAATTATTTGCTAAGTAAATTAACTATGACTACACAGAACAGTTGTATGATTAAACCAGTGAAAAGTTGTTTCGTCTCAGCTGGGTGGGTGTGGACGTGTCTTGAGCCCTTTTGGCCTTTGGAGTTGCAGCCTTTACGTGTTACTATCCTAAGTATCATTTTGAAGGTTTCGATCGTATCTCACGTATCTTCCTCACCTTCCTCAGACAGTCTTCGTTATTAAAGATTTTAGTCCGGGTACTGGATCAATTTCGGCGCCCTTGGAAATAGCCGTTCATGTCACTAATGTCAGCAAACCATTGAATCTTCATCTTGTCCTCCCACTAATTGATCTCCGTGTTTCAGGTTCTCCTCTCTCTTTGCATTTCTTACTCATTCTCACCGAGCCAGTATAGATGTTTCTTGGTCGTCGCGAAACCTAGTGTCTCCTTAGTAGCAGCGTGAGTAGATGGTATGCAGGTTCAGGTAGTAGGCAGCTATCAAACAGGAAGGTACTACCGCCTGGGAAGATATTGGAAGCATAATATGTTGTCTAATGGTAGACCCTGCTGCCATATGGCATCACAAAAATTGTGACTAAGTCCCAGGTTGCTGATCTGACTCTCTGCCACATTTACACACAATTGCAGGGTCTCGGTTGTTTCTCTTACTTTGACCACACAACATATATGTATTGTTTCTCACTAATGATTTTTTTTTGTATTATTATTATTATTACATTGTATTTTTATTCAATATTTTTTTTACAATTTATATGTTTTTAAATAATAATAATAATAATTTCGCCCCTCGGCCCTGATGTTGGTCATTGACCTGTGCCCTGGTGGGCGAATCCCGTAAAAAAATCATTTTTTTTATTATTATTATTATTATTATATCTTTTATTATTTTTCATTTTATTTATTTATTTATTTATATATTATTATTATTATTATTATTATTATTTATTATTATTATTATTATTATTATTTCGCCCCTCGGCCCTGATGTTGGTCATTGACCTGTGCCCTGGTGGGCGAATCCCGTAAAAAATGGACGTCAATGATGCCAGCATCTTCAGGTCTCGCTTGGACATTCTACATAGTACGCAGGATACAATACTGTTGTTATTAGTATTATAATTACTATTATTATTTGAAATAATTTAGATTTTTAGATTGCCCACGAGGGGGCTAGTTTATTGGGCACCCCCTTACATCCTGTGCAAGGTAAAGCGCAGAAGCGTTTACAGTGCCCATCAGGGAAGCATGCGGAGTTCATGCTTGCCTTTATGACTCGTGCATTAAGGGCGTAAAAGCCTGAAGGGTCATGGGTTTTGTCAGCAAGTTACATAAAGTGACAGAATGATGAGTGTGTGTGGGTGGGGGGGGGATTCCCGGTACAAATTGTCTGTTTATGGCAAAGCGTGGCAGGTCCCTAATAATGTCAAGTGCCAGGCCTGTGACTAGGAGGAGGGATATCTGGTCAGGGAGGGAAGAGGTGTTGGTAACGGCTGGGGACCTGTAGGAGGAGGTCATAGGGCAAGTGAGGATGTAGTGAGAGGGTGTGAGGGTCGGTTGACCACAAAGTTTACAAACAGTGCGGCCAGGCTCAAGGATGCCAATGTACTAGGCGTGGCGAAGTACAGTGGGGGTGGAGGTGATATGGTGTGGTGGGACAGGTACAGTTGGAGTGGGGGGAGGCACATAGGCATTGACAATATTGAGGGACACACCTTTTAGTGTAATTGTGATGGTATGTGCGTCGACATGCCGGTGGGGTACAGGTAGCCGGGGGTGGTGTCCTCAGGTCCAATAGGCAGCCCTGGTGGAGACAGCACAGACACAGGAGCTGGCGCGGCTTGCGGTGGTTGGAGGACAGGTTGAGGCACCACGTGTCGTGAAGATGAGGCAGGACTTCGCTCGGGGGCAGCAGGACACACCAGGGAAGGCCCGGTAGGCACTACACCAGTAGTGAAGGCCGCCGGCGGTGGAATAGGCCGTGAGCAGGGGGGGCTCACAGGGGGACTACCAGCTTGTGTCAAACCAGAAGAGAGGAATGACTGGGTGGCAAGAGTAGGTCGGAGATGGTGGTACAGAGTGTAGCGAAGAGTTGTTCAATACGGTTGGTAAATTCTTGGAAGAGGGATATGATCTGTGTCATGTCACTGGAGGGGGGTTGTGGGGGGGCACCGGTGGGAGCACAAGGCCTGGCAGCTTCAGAGTACAGATGGGGAGGAGGCCTAGTTGTAGTTGAGTTAGGAGACGGCTGGGACTGCCAGGAGAGGCCAGGCAGAGGCAGGTGTTGTTGAAAAAGGCGTTACTGGAGACAGAGGGGACACAGAGGGGTGTGGCCCGGAAGACTGGGTAGACGTGGCCTTCGGGGAGGCTTTTCCCCTGGGACAGACGGGCGATTGGGGCATTGCCGTGAGTCAGCATTGTGCATATACTCGTCCCAGAGGTCATGACTTTGAATGCTAATGACGGATCATATTGATAACTGAACTCATGTGTGATCTCGTTGTGGTATACAGGTATCACTACCAATACACCAGGTTTGTTTACAATGGTTACAACCTACCGAGTGAACAATGTCCAGCTTTGATACGCAATAAACGCCCGCTATGTCTATGGCCACCCCGGTATATCTACGGGATGATGTATGCTGTATTTGTATTTCGAAAACACATGAAAATTAGGCCCCAAGCTTATTTCACGATGAATAAACACCCTAACGCTACTTGGTAGGCTTAGGTTAGCGTTAGGGTGTTTAATCATCTGGTCAAATAAGCTGGAGGAGTAGCCTTCATGTGGTATGTTTTTCGTTGTGGCAAGGATGTGAACTACCTTGTGATCAGCTGAGCCATTACTTGATGTTTACGTTTCATTCAGAGGGTTTGGGTGGAGAAAGTGTTGCCTGACATGTTAATACGAGTTAATTAATTTTATCTTAAGGGTTAAACCATCATCCTCAAAGGGAAATGGACTCATCGTCAAAGGGCTTAGGCCGTCGAATTTCCGAGACATTTATAATGTTAAATGTCGACTGTTGTTTGATCAAGGCTAACACGGAGAAGTTATCTGTGTGTGTGTGTATGGTCAACTTAAAAAAAAGGTCTATTATTGTTTTGGGACGGAATGTTCAAAATAGTGAACAGAGAGAAAATGATGAACAGTGAAGGACAAGGTAGTGTTCCTGAGTTTATACAACGTAACGGACAACAGATCGTTGCACAGAGACTAACGTTGTAAGGTTAATATTATGGTTAAGTTAAGTTTCGTATAGCAACTTATAGGTTTAGTTAAGTTGTATTGAGTAGGTTAGGTTGTGTAGTATTGTTAGGTTAGGTTGAATTAAGTTAGGTTAAGTTAATGATTCCTTAATTTCCTTGTGTGAGAGACGCTGCCGTGTCAATGGTGAAGGTGTGTCGACCGAATTATATGCTGTCGTAGCTACTGAACCATGTCAAATATTGTATTAAAAATGTGTCCGAATTTTTTGTGTCGACAGTGTTGTGTGGCCCACCTGGTTGAGCTGACATTGTTGTGTGGCCCACCTGGTTGAGCTGACATTGTTGTGTGGCCCACCTGGTTGAGCTGACAGTGTTGTGTGGCCCACCTGGTTGAGCTGACAGTGTTGTGTGGCCCACCTGGTTGAGCAGACATTGTTGTGTGGCCCACCTGGTTGAGCTGACAGTGTTGTGTGGCCCACCTGGTTGAGCTGAGTGGCAGGTAGAAGGTAGGAGACTGCACTTGGTGATGATCGCTTCGTCTATGGTGATATACTATACAGTTACCAGCACACAATATTTCCCATAGGCCGGCTGACTGGTGTGACGTCACGGTTTAAACATTCATTCTTGTAAGGTTTTTTTCCGACATTTGATTATGAAAATATTTGGTTCATGAGCTTTCTTTTATTATACAATTATTTTTAAGTGCTTACAAATAAAGAGAAAAACTGTGTGTGTGTGTGTGTGTGTGTACATTTGTTTCAGTAAAATTAAAGACAGTATTTAAGCACGTTGATATATATTTTGGGTTATTACAAAACTCAAATTTCTAATGACCTTTTACAACTCCAACGTTTTCTTCAAGTAATTTATTCTTGATGGGAGTCCTATATCTGCACTCACACCATAATCTTACTCACACCATAATCTTACTCTCACACTATAATCTTACACTCACACCATAATCTTACACTCACACCATAATCTTACACTCACACCATAATCTTACTCTCACACCATAATCTTACACTCACACCATAATCTTACACTCACACCATAATCTTACACTCACACCATAATCTTACACTCACACCATAATCTTACTCTCACACCATAATCTTACTCTCACACCATAATCTTACACTCACACCGTAATCTTACACTCACACCATAATCTTACTCGCACACCATAATCTTACTCACCATAATCTTACACTCACATCATAATCTTACACTCACCATAATCTTACTCACACCATACATCATAATCACACTCACATCTACACTCACCATAATCACACTCACACCATAATCTTACACTCACACCAATCACACCTCCACACCATAATCTTACACTCACACCATAATCACACTCACACCATAATCTTACACTCACACCATAATCACACTCACACCATAATCTTACACTCACACCATAATCACACTCACACCATAATCTTACACTCACACCATAATCACACTCACACCATAATCACACTCACACCGTACATTATTATTATTATTTTTATTATTATTATTATTATTATTATTATTATTATTATTATTATTATTATTATTACAGGTTATTTGTAGTAGTAGTAGTGTTATTATCATTATTACTATTACTCATCAATGGCTCCTGACCGCCTCTCATCAGGTCCTCCTCACTAAGTTACACCGTCAGTTTGGTTCCAACCTTTTCGAAACTTTTGCGGCCACTTGCCGGTGTTGTGACTAACCTTTCGGGTGACATTCTAATATAAGTGAATTAGATTTGTTGAAGATTTTCGAATTTCGGTGATATTTCAAAATGTCTAAATGTCAGCTGTGATCCTTCTTTTGTAGTCGCTTAGTCAAAGAAAAAGTTTTTGTCACTAATTCAAAAAAAAGGTTGTAAATGTGTCAACTTTCCACGCGACGGATATATATATATATATATATATATATATATATATATATATATATATATATATATATATATATATATATATATATATATATATATATATATATACTGTAGATCGATGGTCAGATAGATATTCAGAGCAGTTAGACAGTAGACTTATTGAGGGAGATAGCCATAGATTGATAGATCGATAAATATATAGATAGAAATATTCGTAGAAATGTAAAGAAGCAAATGTATTAACGGATCGATTGATGAAAAGAAAGAATACTGGATTAATAGGACCGAAAAATAGACAGATGAACAGATTATGGATAGAGACGCTAATAAATAAAAGACTATTTAAAGATAGATTAATAAATAATAACTGACAGATATATACTGCAGATGGATGTAACGATAAATATATAAAGTTAACAGATAGATAGATACACAGATAGATAGATATACAGACAACGGGTAGTAGATAGTAGGCAGCTATCAAACGGGGAGGTATTACTGCCCGGAAAGGCATTGGAAGCATAATGGTAGACCTGTTGCCATATGGCATCACAAAAAATTGTGACCAAGTCCCAGGTTGCTGATCTGACTTTCTGCCTCATTTACACATAACTACAGGGTGTAAATTGTTTCTCTTCAACAAAATGCATAGATCATTTCTCACTATTGATATTTTTTATTTATTTTTTATTTATGGTCCTTTATTATTATTATTATTATTATTATTATTATTATTATTATTCTCATTCTCATTCTCATTATCATTATCATTATTTTTATTATATTGTCGCCCCCAGGCCCTGGTGTGGGTCATTGACCTGTGACCTGGCGGGTGGAAGAAAATATAAAAAATAAACAGATTGATGGAAAGGTAGATAGACGGACATACTGTATAGATAGACATATATAGAAAGATTGAAAAGTAAACAGATTTCTCATTGACAGTTGATAGATATGTTAAATTAATTGCAAGATAGAATGAGGGTAGATAAATGGATTGATAGGCAAATAGAAATAAATTAGGTCAGGTTAGGTTAGGTTTACCTTAATTGCCTAATAGCTACCCACTAGTAGTGGCCATGGCGAGGGAAGGCCAGTGGCCTGTGTAGGATCGCTCCATTGTTCTTAATAATTTTATCAAGCTATTTTGAAAGCCAGTACTGTTCTTGATTCCACAGTTTGAGCTGGTAGTTCGAGGTAGGTGTTCAGTCTTTGTTATAATCCGGATTCTCTGTCGGTGACTGAGAGTTGTATAGGACGTCAACAATACCGCTCAGGGTGTCACTCAATAGCTTTGCGATATTCTCTTACAGGTAACAAATTGTTTCCCTCTTGTGTGTTTATTTATTATTTGCTGATTCAGATATTATTAGCTATTACAAGACCATCGTGTAACTGCACATATATGAAGATCAAGAAGCACTGTTGCTGTAAGCGGAAAAGAAGAAGCAAAGACGAAGATGAACTAAGGTACATTGAGGAAATTCATAAACCTGTAATATATTTTGAACATTTTGGTAATATTTTACTATTATTGTGCTATTTTGTACTGTTGTGGAATTAAGATTTGTATTTATTAAAAAATAAATCAAAAGTTGAAGACTGTGCACGCAAACCAGCAACTTTTTTATTGGTTAGGGTCATCTCATACCCAAGACAATTCGTACCCAATTCAAGAGATAATCCATACATATTAGTATATATACCATGCAGTTTAGCTTTATCTGTGATTATAAAAAAAGATGTAAATCTTGTTAGTATACAGTATATAATTCGGGGCTCCTCTCTGGTACTTCTTCCGTTATAACGAACTTGTTCTACAGAGTGGCTGACATCGTGGCATCGCCAGGAATTTCTTCTTCTGACATGTCAACGTCAAGAATGAAATACAGTACCTTACTGTAGTAATAAAGATATAAAAGAACGAAGAGTGGGAATATTGGCCAACACATATACTATTAGTTATGTTACTGTATGTTGATGATACTCTGGATAGATTTGTTTAAAAAGTCACCACCACACGGAAACAAGACCAATATGAGTAATGTTACGATATGTCACCCAATATTCATGCTCTTCCTATTTAGAGAGAGAGAGAGAGAGAGAGCAGACGTAATTACTCTTAATTTGTTAAAGTTAGTCAAGTAAACGCTTTTTAAAAAAACACATTGCTATTCATATATTAAAATCAACCTTGTCCTCATTTCCATTGTGGATCTACATGATATATATATATATATATATATATATATTATATGTATATATATTGGGTATGATTTGCTTGGGTACGAGTTGTCCAATACCTCTTTCTTACTTCAAGAGAAGGTAAAAAAGTTGACAGTATCTACTGTATGACATTTCACCATGAAACATAAATAGTAGTTATTGCTGTTATCCAGTGCAGGATCCTACGGTTCCTCTATACTGGACTCTTACCCTCGGTGTGTATGTTTGGTGCCGCAGAAAATATCGGCTGTGAAGTCATCGTACAACACCTTCCCTTTCCACAGTTTATTCAATCTGTTTTTGAAGGTGTTTATAGTCTCCGATGAGACAACTTCCTCAGTTAGACTGTTCCACACTCACTGTTTTCAGTGTGAATAAGACCTTCCTCCTTATTGTGTTGGCCAACTTTGGGTATGATTTCTGACTGTGTCCTCTTGTTCCTAAGTGTGTTGCAGAATCCTTCCACAGTTGTACTAAGTTGCTGACTTCAGTATCATATTAACTATGTAAAATATTAAAAATCTCGATCATATCCTCCTTTATTTGTCTGTATCTAAGATTAGGCAGCTTCATTTTCCTTAACCTCTCTGGGTGTAGCAGGTTTTGTATGCTGTTAATTAGTTAGTAGCTCTTCATTGGACTGGTTCGATATTTTCAATTAGTTATTTTTTGTGAATGGACTCCATAGGTTTTTCTTGTGTTTTTCACTGTGATCTTAAAGTACCGGTATATTAACTTTATTTTCATTGTTAATGCTTACTTATGGAGATATGACCTCTTTAACACTAGGATGACAATTATTTCTTTCAAAGTGGGCAGGGCTTTGAAGATGAGGGAAAATATGGGGTTAAAACAATAAAAAGGACACCACTAGAACCTTGGAGAAGCTGATCCTAACCTAACCTCTACAGAATTCTAACTTATTTCTACAAAAACCTTACTTTATTTATCCAATGGATGAGCATAGAATTATTTTATTAACCTAGTTTTGTACACAACCAAACAAGTGTACGTCTGTTGGATGTGGTCTGGACAAGAAGGGATACAACAATATATATAAATTTTAAGTTCGCTTAACACGTTTTCAGGATATTATATTTAAATCTTTCATGTGAGCTTCACAATGATCTGCTTTGACCAATCAGAGGTCAGTTCATATCTCTTGGGTGATTTACACATGTGCAAACATTTCATCTACTGTACTGTACGTATATGTATTCATTCGTGTTATGGCTCCCTTGTGACTGAACATCAAAAACATGCAAAAACAAGAAGATTATAACTTTTTCTCAGCTATTCATTAAATGAGACGAGTTTATGTAGTACAGTATAATACAGTATTAGGACTTTTTGCACATTAGGAAAAGAGGTCATGTTTTCAAAGGTTAGTCTGGTGTTTCTAACCTCGTGAAATCGAAAAAAATTGCACGACCAATAACACTGTTTTGCATGAAACAATTTTATGCATTTTATGTCTTGTCTTCGGAGAGGTCTCCAAAATCCACCTGCCCTGTTCTTTGTATAACTTGTTTTTTTTTGTTTTTTTATATAAATACAATGTAACTTGTATTCTAGGTCAGACTATGGTTTGGTTAGGTAGTTCAGATAGATTAATTTTATGAACGATTCCTCGTGGCAACTGCTAACATTCATGAAGTACGTACCTGATACTGCTACTTTCTAACCAAACCAAACTTAACTTTAAATACCATACTACAGTAATACCTAACCAAACCAACTGTCTATTGATGGAACTAATGATACATCCCAAAACCAGCAGATGTAAAAAGAGGAACAATGGTGTTGGAGATCTCGGTAATAGATTATCATTCAGGTTGGAAAATAATTGTAAAAATAATATGAACAACAGTTTTCTTTGTGAACTTTTTGGCCGTCTCATGAGGTAAGCAAAATGTCTACTTGCTGACTGTTGAGTCTTGTTTTACTTCAGAGTGTGTATGGTCAGCAGTATCCAGTAGTAGCTGTTGCTGTTTCCTGTGGAGAGAAAATGTAAAGAACAAAAAGAAATAATTAGAAGAAATCAAGAGTGACATTAAAGGAATATAAAACTTGTGTAGTTACTGGATGAAGAAGAAAGAAGCTGTTCCCATAAGGCAGATAATACAAGCAGCAGATGATCTCCACAAATGAAAATAATAATAACTTATTAAGCATCAGCTATGAGTTACCAAGATTTGTTTCAGGGTTTAAATGATCTGAGTAAACTTGGTGAGTTAGTAACATTGACAATTAGGGTAAATTTACATTTTACAGTACAGTATTGACTCTATAGTACTGTACACTATTTACAAAATGTATCTGCCAAATTTTTGGGTAGACAATATTATGACACAATGGCTGAAGGATTTTAATCCTACAGAGATAACAGGAGTCAGTGTTCATTTTGATATCCATCGGACCCCTTCTTGCAGATACTTTCTGTAGCGAGTGTACATACGTACTGAACAAATTTTTTTTAATTGATCATATGAGAGTAAAGAAGATGATTATTGTATTCATATTTTCTAAATCACCTGAGACATCTTTGTACATGGATATCATTCCTAGGCAGTGTAAATAATATTGTCTGAAACCACTTGAATTACATCTTGTTTCAATAAAAATTCAAGAACTGAGTAAATCCAATTATAAACTACCAAGGGACAATCTGTGGGTGAGTATGACCATTAATGAGCAGTACTGTACAGTATACTAGTGAGGTTAAAAAAAAAATTTAAATGTGAAAGTTGGGTAAAATTAGATAAAATTTAGAGCAGGTGAAAACAAAGATGTGAATAGAATTTACAATTGGAACCAGAAATAATTTACTGGTTAATGTATTCAATGAACAGTTTTAGACAGTGAGAAAAAACTTCTTTGCAAAAATTAGAGTTTAAAGAAAATGGATATGAGAAGAGGCATAGGTAACTGCTAGGTAATACTTATACAGAAATAAAAAGAAAAAATGGAACATACTTGTACTGTAAATGGGATGGACTAAAAATTTAAAGGTAATAAGATCCCACTCTAGATAGAAACAAATGAAAGCTGGTTGGACTATGTCTGACTACAACTGATTCCCACTACAGTATACCAATAGTGAATGATGTTCCTCAAGACAGTGTGGAGTCAATAGGGGATATGTTATTTCAAAGTGCTCGTGTTTGTTGTAATAAAGGGATTTGTAGTACAGGGTATTCAAATTAAACATACAGTACTGGGTCAGCACTTTTTGAAGCTAGATACAGGTACAGTACAGTACAGTACTTTATTATTTTATTTTGACTTAGCTATTATATATATATATATAAATATCCTTTAGGTTCAAAAGGTTGGACATCTTTGGAGAATGTGACAGCAGTTGTGACAACATTGAAAAGATTCTTATGCTGGCACCTGGAAGATAAAGAAACACAAGGTGATGATGTGGCTGCTGTTGTCCTGGCCGACAGTACTGGTGCAAGAACCAGGATCTGTGCATCACTGAACCAGCTTTTGTCATGTGTTGATACAGTCTCCAGACCTGATGTTAGGTAAGTGAAGGGAAATTACATGTAAATATACCTGTTACATGTAACCCAAAGCTAACATGTTTTATCTTGCTTTGTGTTCATTTATATGCTGTATAGAGAATTTCCTAAAAAAGAAGATAATGATGAAAGTCGGTAATGACTTTTTTTTTGGCTCCAGCATAATCCTCTTCTATGTCTTTCAATAGTCTCATTTAATCCCGCATGTTCATGTTATTCTTCTCTTTGCCTTTCAGACTAGAATGTGGGTGTCTTGCAGTTGCTGTCTTGCAGGAAATTTACCATCAGTTGCAGATGGCATCTTCCAAGTCATTGTACAGTGCAGAGCAAACAGAGGAAGAAATTGGTAAAAAGAAACAACGGGAGAACCAAGCTCCTCCACCTTCTCCCAGCCTCATCAGTGTGCAGCAGACCAAGGTTAATGATTCAACAGTGCCCCTTGTGCCCATTATATGTACTTTACCTCTTGGAGTTTACAGGGAACAACAGGTAGTAAGAATTTATGGGATACTTATGTTTAAAAATTTGGCTTTGTCATTAGTGGTTGAATTTTCCAGCTGTCTCTTTGTTATTCATTATCACTTGATCCTTGAAGCTCTGTCTCATTCCAGGTGGCAGAGGATGCCTCACGGGTTGCCATGTATACAACAGTTCTAGGCTGCTTGGATGCTGAAGCTTCTATATATGTGAAGATGACATTAGCCAAATCCAAGTTTTTGTTGGGGACGGACTTGATGGTTGTCCCACATAATTTCCGCCACAAGCTTCTGGCTTCTATAATGAAGATCCTCTTACCTCTCATTCAGGTACTTATTCAACATCACTTTAGTTGAAATAAACTACTGCCAAGTACCTTACAGACAGGATCTGTCATTGCCCATAAGTAACACAAACTTTTGCTCCTACAACAGCACGAGTCATTAGGCATTGGTGTTCGAAGATCCCTTTTCCCAGAGATCTTGAGTGCTACTCTGGAACTTTGTTTTTCTCCCATGGAAGTGAAGACTTTTCCAGAGGATGCAGCTTTTTTCAGAGAGCAGCTTGAGGTTCTCATGAATAAGGTGGACACCACCCTTACACTGCAACATCTCCTACTACTTCAAGGAATTGTACAGGTGACTTTTCCACTCTTGGTTTGAGTTCTCCAAATTTAGATTTACTGTAGGAGATTCTTCCTCTCATAGAACTGGCACATGGGAAGTCTCTTCCTTGAATAAAATTTTTAACCATTAGAGATGCTATTTTACTAATCAGTTTGAGGCTTCATGAATTGACTTTAATTGAAATTGCACGAAATGCATGAGTCACATGCGGTACCATATATTTTTCTTGGCACAGCTTGTGTAGCTAGGTACCCTGGCTATGTAATGCAGGAGCTTGCTTCACCAGGTACCCCACTGAGATTTATGTTATGTTTATGTTATTTATGTTGTATTGATAATGTTCTGTGTGTGGTTTTGGGTTACAGATATAATAATATGAGATAAAAACATTAAAATCCATTTTTATTAAACCAGCAATATTGTCACCGCAAATAACAATGGATGTATAGTATCAAGGGCTCCAGTAATCTTTAAGGAAATATAACTTCAAAGGAAACTACTCTATACCTAACCTAGACCTTCACTTCTAATCAATTTTTCTAAAAAATTAACGGAGGCAGTATCAGGCAAGGAATTAGAAGACTACTGGGGAGACATATGCTGTACTAAAACATAAGACTTATATCAGTGAGGTTTAGAATTAGCCGACATTTTAGCTTTATTATACACTTGACCTGGGTATCCAACTACACAAACTGTTAACTTAAATAACCAGGGTACCGGCTACACAGGCACTCTAATTTTTCTTTATTCTTTACCTTGAAGACATGATCAGACAGTCTGAGGAAATACCCATATAATATACACATACCTCTATACCATATGTTATAGTATTATCTGTCTTAAAGCAGAAAAATTTTTGCAGTTTCAACTTTGTACAGTATAAGATGTGCACTCCTCAGAAAATAACTTTTTCAGGGTGGTGTGTGGCTAGGGAAGGTGTGCAGGTCACTGGTTGTACGCAGGTTCTTGATGAAAGCAGGTGGTGTTAGTGCAGTAGTGGTTGCTGGTCTCACTATCTGTGACAAACAGGACTGGCGGCGATGTGAGGCTGTTGCTACGCTCATTGCCCAGGCTAAATTTAAAGATATGGACCTCTTTTTTAGCACACTGGGACCTCAGGTGTGTATTTTACTATATTCATCAGATTTAATATTCAACTTCGCATTTACTGTATGTGCTGTTTACTAATTAAAAAATGAGAATATTCTGCAGATCCATAGGTTTTAGATATTTTACTTACCAATTTAGTCATTTTATACTGCATTTGTAAACCTAAAGAATGTGTTTGTTTGTGTATCACCCTCTAATTATTTTTGTCAGGACTTTTCATGATATTAGTGTCAATGTAACTATGCACAGTGGTCCCTCGGTTAACGAGTGCCTCGGTTAACGAGATTTCGGTTAACGAGATTTCGGTTAACGAGTTACCTTCCATAAGATTGTTAACTTCGGTTAACGAGCAATCCCTCGATTAACGAGTTTCTTACGAGCCGACCTGAACATGTTTTCGCTTGCATTTGGCGGTCCACCAGCTGTAGTATTAGTCCGCCAATACAGTAATCGGTTCTAGGGCTTAAATTCCTTACCATTTTAGCAAATATCAAGAAGTTTATACTATTCAATAATTTTAAAAGTTTAATAATAAATTTTTTGTCATTTTAACAATTATTGAACATAATTGAAGGTAATGAAACTAGTTTTATGCGCGCCATCCAGTCTCTCAACACACCATACAGGCGTCAGTCTTTGTGTCTTTTCAGTGGAGGTAACATCTTGCTTGAGACTCTCTTCAACTAAATGCTTTTTTTCTGTGTTTGCAAGCAAATTATTGGTCATTTTGAAATTTATTTTACATATTGACAATATATAATGCAATGCAGTGTTGATTTAAAGAAAATAATCTTGAATTACACCAAGAGAACTAAAATTTTATGGGTGAAATGGCGCCATGGGGTGACTTCTCTTCCACCCCAATGCCTTCTCTTCTCCCTTCTCCTCCACCCCCATTCTAATTCCCATCATCATCATCATCATCCAGGAGCCTTCTACATACACACCTCAAAGTAAGTGTATTTTTCTACCGTTTTTGTTGAATTTAGGCAATTTTCGGTGAGCTGGAACCAATTACCCAAAAACCCATTGAAACAATGGTTTCGGTTAACGAGTTTTTCGATTAACGAGCAACCTTCTAGAACGGATTGTGCTCATCAACCGAGGGACCACTGTACTGTATTGAACTCTTAGGAAGCTTGACAAGCAGTACCAAGACTTACCCTTGGTGTAGGAGGTTGTCAGCTCTCAACAAAACAATATTAATTCCAAGGGTTGAAATTTGAGATCTATAATGGACCAAACAGAAATCACCATAATTTATATGTACTGTACTATGGATCCTCACAAACTATATTGATAAGGGGTATACCCTCTTTTAGATGTTTTGTTACTTTGTATCCTAGGTTTTCCTAGCATACTTCTGTGACATACCGTATATAAGGCTTGGTTTTAAGCCAACAGTTAACACATTTACTGAGATTTTCCTTAATCACCGTTTTATCTTAACTGGATTCATTCATACATATTTCTCTTATACAAGGTACAATTCTTGCCTTTGAATTATTCTCAAGATAAAACACAGAAATAACACTTGACTTGTGTGATAAGTCTAGAGAATTAATAAGAAAACAGAAAAAAATTACAAATAAGTGCTTACCATTGTTGTAAAAGGGAAGTGTTATCTACAAGAGCTGTATCAAATCTGCCTTAGCTTGCTAAAAACTTTCCTTATAAAATGCATCTAACACATTTTACCTTCGTCAGTCAGTCAAAGGACACAAATGGCACCCCAAGAGTTATGAATGTTTGTCTTATTCATTATGATCTGCTTGTGATGCAATACATTACAGTCACTAGGCTGTATGTAAGAGAGGAAGCCAATATTTTGCTCAATATGATTATTAGGGCGTTACTTTTCAACAGTTAGGTCGTTTGGATGTGCACCACAAGCACACCACCACCAAATCCTTCAGGCCACCTCACCATGATCACTATTTCACCTTGACTGACACCATCACCTTCAACACCACCAGCTCACTTATGGAGCACAGCAACACCTCACTTAGTAGCTTGGAAATACATGCAGCACTACTTAATTTTATTGTGGTCCTCATCTCACTTGTCACTTCAAGTGGTCCAAGCCTTAGTCTATGTGGTAATATTTACAGTGGGCATCTCATGCTCAGCACCCACCCATCATAGTGCCAGTACATGCTCACCACCTGCCCAGGCCAGACTGCCCAAGTGCTCCTGCACTTGCTCTTACTACTACTCTCACTTTGGGTTGCCCCTCTTCCTTGGTGCTTTCCCTATCACTCCTGCTCATGGCTCTTTTCACTATTACTGTACTTCACAGTCCCACTCATTCTCACTCAATGCTGTGCATAGTTCTCAGCCTTCTGTTGTCCTTTGCAGTGCCTCCCGCTATACTGTAGTAGAAATACTGGAAAATATAATTTTTTTATGAAATTTCCTTAATGCAACCAATAGCTAAGTAAAGATTTGCAGTTTGTCAGGTTTTTACTTTAATTGGGTAATGAGTTTATGGCTTATAACACTTTTTATTGTAATTAATCTTTTTAATCTACGATATTATTTGCAGCTGTCGGAACTGATCAATAAGGACAACCTTCAGCCAGAGGTGTTTCGTGTAATAACACTTATTGTAGCACAGATGGTTCAGCGCTCTGCCACGTTGACAGCACTTCATGTAACCAACACATTGATGCAACCCCTGAAAAACACCACCCAACCAGATGCACCGAGGTATTACATTTTCTGAAATTGAATTTGTTAGTGTATATTTAGTGTAACTGCTACAGAATGCTCAGTGTGTTCCTGCACTTGTAGAGCAATACAGTAAAGCCTCTGATAACAACAGTTTGACCAACAACTTTTCATATTTAAGACCCGAGTTAATCTAGGACCCAATTCAATTTATGTCCATATTTCATTCATATTTACGACCAAATTATAATAAAAATAAAGTAAAATTACATTTTCATATAAATAATAACTAAATCCCGATATGTATTATAAAAAAAAGTTACTGTAAAAAAAAAAAGAAGAGCACCTTGCGCAAAGAAACTGCCTGGCTAATGAGTGGTAATGCGCATCGCCAGTAAACAACAGTCAGAGCTTGGCGGTCCATTTGTTTTCACGCATCTGAACAGGAACAGGAGAAAAACTTTCTCAGGTTTCTTACAGCATTTTTGCATCCCTATTCAACATGAGCAAGAGAGCAAGTGTTTCAAAAACTAATAGAAAGTGTATAAGCTTAGCCGAGAAACTAGATGTGTTAAAATGATATGAAAAAGGTGAGAGGTCTGTGGATATTATATGGAGCAAGCAGTGAACATATTTTATGATGTGGATCCATTAACAGAACAAAGCATTAAAATTTATATAAATGCAAATGACCTCTACATAAAGATGTATAATGAGAAAAGAAAGCAGCTGTGCAAGGTTATTTCGACAGCTTTATTATTCGAAGGCCTAAATATCAACTTCAGCTACACCATCAAATTCAGCATCATAAGCAGCTTCAACAACAACTTCAGGTTCAGTAACAGTTTCAGCAACAGCTTTATGGAAAGCTACAGCTTCAGCCAGAGTTGAACCTACAGCTTCAGCCAGAGTTGAACCTACAGCTTCAGTCAGAGTTGAACCTGATGACTTCGTCATCTGAGTAAAAGCTCGCACAATATTCATTGGCTGTCCTTATGTTTTAGATTTACCACCATTGGCGAGTAGAATTTTTGTTTTACATTCGTAAATATTATTTAAAACATATTTGAACACTAAATAAGTGTTGCCTTCATATTCTTATGTAGAGAAATGACGATATGTTTCCACATGTACGCACTTACTGTACATACGTTGGCGTTCCCAATCATCTTGCTTTATTTACTTACCATTTGTGGTTAACTACTTCCAGTGTTCCATTTATTAACATTAAATAACATTACTTAAAACATACATACAGGTGTTAAATTTTTTTAAATTAAGTTCACTACAGCTACAACTAGGGTTTTATTTTCTTCAGTTTCTTATGTAGAACCATCGTCACTCACGAAAACAGTACCGTCTTGTCTCCTCATGTGTGTTTTAATATTCTACTTATTATTAATGAATTGCATTGTTCATTTCACATTATATAAACATTAATTCAATCAAATACATAGTCGGTAATAAACAATAATGAATCTTTTGTCCATATTCTTAAGATAAATGACTGTGGTATCCTTAAATGTTCACGTATATGTTGGCGTTCTCAGTCCATCTCACTTTTTTTTCTTTACCATTAGTGGTTAGCTACTTCTATTGTTTCATTTATTAGCATTAAATAACATTACTTAAAACATATACACCTAGACCCCGACTTACGACTACGTGGACTTACGACCGTCGGGACTTACGACCGCCTCAGATATAGATAAAAAAAAAAAAAAAAAAAAAAAAAAAAAAAAAAAAAAAAAAAAAAAAAATTTAAATGACACACGCATTTTCTATACCGAAACGTTTCCAGTTAATGTAGTCTCCATGTATAATTAGAAAATTATGGGGGCCCCATGTGCATTCAGCTGACTACATTAAAGGTTAAGTGCTCAGTCACACTGTATCCATTCCTTATTATTTATTACTTCACTGTACTGTATCCATTCATCATTATTCATTACTTTTACTGTACTGTATTTCATTGTAGATTTTTTATTAAAAAAAAAAAATTTTTTTTTTACCTATGTCGGACTTACGACCTGGATTTGGGTCCCTAACCCCGTCGTAAGTCGGGGTCTAGGTCTGTATAATCATTTTTTTACATTAATTTTACTACAGCTACAACCAGGGTCTTATTTTCTTCATTTTGTCGTGTAGAACCATCGTCCCAGACTCCCGGCTGTAAATACAAACGAAAACAATGGCGTCCCATCTCCTCTCGTGTGACCATATTATTATTCATTTATATTGTATAAGGTGCATTCAGAAACATTATTTAAAGAATAGAGTTTGCAATTTTCATTAATTGTATTGTTTTTGGGGTATAAGAGGGTAAAAACCACACAAAAGATATGGAAAGGTCACTCTTGGGAACGCATCTCATTATTATTGCTTATTTTAATGGTAATTAATGATTCACCTTACACTGCAATATTGGAGGACACATTACCGTTGTTATTCGAGGCTTTACTGTATTAATTTTAGGGCCAATTCTGATTAGTTCATACATATGATATAAGGCAACATATTTTTTGTAACTTTTATTGACAATTGTCTGTTAGCTGGAATAATTGGTGTGAAGCCTGACTGGTTGATAGAAAATTCCAATTACTCATTAGAGTTCATTCAACTGGACAAATTGTCCCTTAAACTAAACCAGTTACTTCTTGCTTATTTGTGTAGTTTGCTGCTCTTTTAGCAAGTGTTTGGCTGTACAGTGCTGGACCTTTTGTTTTCAGCTGGCTCTATTATGAAAGCCATCTGGCTTTAGGAAAATTTGCAGAAATTGAGGATAGACCCTGATCTCCCCCTTTTCTAGTAGGTTCTGAAGCCAGATGACTCTGATCTCTCCAATCTCCCTTAGTTTGTACTTAACTGGCAAATTCTTACAGGGAAGTGGCATTGGTAATGATGTGTGAATATAGAATTGGGCAGTTCATGGCTCTAATATGACCTACTGCCCTGTCCAAGGACTCACGGACCCCTTAGTCAGTAGCCTGGTGTTATGAGTAACCTGGCTTCAGTCTCCTTCAGAATAAAAAAGATTTCAGAAAGATTTCTTCATTTTCACAAGTAGAAATTTAAATCTGGTGAACATTTCTGGGGAAAAATAGGCATCTCTCTCAAATCTGATGATTGGTTAGTGGAGAAGACACTATACATTCCTTACTTGCCTCATAATTATGCCACAGATTCCTATAGTTGATGGGATCCTTGTGTTTCTTGCCATCACATTTTTTATTTACTTATTTTTGTGAAGCTTAATTAATGACTGTCCCCCAATGTACAAACAGAAAAAAGGAATTATTAGATGAAGACAAAGATTTCTTTATATTTTTTGAAACTCTTCAGTACCTAGGTAATGGATCTTAAAGTGCATAGCGCCCTTTTTTATTGTACATTTTGTGGCTGTTTTTCCCATCATCAAGAGGGAGACAAGGCATTGTACAATATTTTAAATTTTTTTTTTAACACGAGTATGGGGAAAATATATCCAAAAGTTTTATTTATTTTTGTTGTTGTTTGCTTTAGGATGTAGGAAAAGACAGCAATTGTTCTTGTAAGAAATGGTAGTAGGTGTACTGTAAACAGTTTCTCCTCGACTTACGACATATTCGACTTCCGACGACCCGGACATACGACGGCCATGGTCGTATAAAATATTTATTCACATTACGTATTTTCGAGTCCCAATGTTAGTGATCGTGCTGTGTACTGACAAAAGTTTTTTTTTTTAATTCCCTTTAAAATGGCTGGCAAGCATAAAAGTGAGAGTTCGCATGGTGCTGAGAAGAAAAAGAGACCCCCATTTTAGAATTATTTTCGACTTTTCGACTTACGACCTGGTAGTCGGGACTGAACCCCGTTGTAAGTCGAGGAGAGACTGTATGTAATCTAATGTCATTCATATTTATTTATAATATCAGATGTAGATTATAGAACATGAAGTATTCTATTGCAGTTTGTGTGCTAACTTCAACCTCACAATGTGTGTTGGGAGAATTCACAAGTTGTTTGTGGAAATTCCACCTCCCAGTTCAGCCTTGACTAACCTTCTCCGTCCGGTCCTCAACCCTTTGATGATGATTGCTGCGCTGGCTACTACTCGCCTTCGTACCCTGGCACGACAAATCATCATTAGGTGAGTGAGCTCTGCAGTATATCGAATTAACAGAAAACACTTAATTTCCAGTTAGGTGTCCATGAAATTGATAATGCAAGCCAAGATATCAGAAAAGTATTATCAAACACTTCAAATGTGTTAGAGGTCATTGAGATACTGTATGTTTTTTAATGTAATCAAGGAATTAAATATAAACAAGTGTGGTTCATGGAAAATTTTATTACAGGTATATCAAGTAAGTCAACATAACTTCTACCTTGAGATAAAACTATTCAGACTTAGAGCCAGATTTCAGCATAATATCACAACCATAAGTCATCTTAGCATATATTGTAGTGGGGTCTGTCTTTTCAAATAAATATGAACATTTGTAAGTAAGTAAAAGAGAATAATTACCAGCTTTTTCAATGTAACTAACCACATAACATATAATCTCAAATTCCAAATACTGTACAGTATTAATACAGTACAGTACTTTTTTACTTTTAGTATATGTACAGTATTATATGATTTTTATTAGTGTAAGCATGGTCAAGGCCTCTCCAATGTTTACCAGGGAAATACCATATAGAGTTACCAGTAAGATATGAGAGATAGAAAATTGGGATAAAAATTTTATGATTAGGTTTTAGATAAAGGAAAGGCGGAGAATGTTGTGAGTATAATCAAGTGAACAGAAGAGTGTATAAAGAGGGAAGAAATGGAAGCATGAGTGAGTATAGTACAGTTACGGAGGAGAGGGAGTAAATTGTTAGTACAGTAGAGATTAAATGTTTGGCATAAAGATTCAGTAACAAAATACAGCACAATAAAATATAATTACTGTATTTGTATCACTTTGTTTATACTGTATTATTAGTTTCTGTAAATACCCCTTCACATTAACTTAATTAATTATTCTCTAACACTCAATGTTAATATGACTCATTTAGACAGGGGAGTGTGGTAGCAAAAGTGGACATTGGGAATTTTTCTCTGAGCATGTGTATAGACTTTATAGTCTCCCTCAGAAGAGCAGATGACAGTGAGATTACCTGCCATTCACTGTGTCATTAACTTTTCTGAGGAAGACTGTAAGGTCAAAACACATGTCAAGAGTAAAATACTCAACATCTAGTTGTTGGGTACAGTATAAGTCTACAAATAATCTTTCAATATGTCATCGTTCAACTACAATCACCATGCAAACTCATGTGAAGACAAGTAGATTTATCACTCACACCTTCATGCACAGTCACTGAACTAGTTGCTTGATTGTCCAATTTCTCTTCAGTTACTCACATGTAATATGTGGAATATTATTAAAAATGTTCTGTACAGTATTCTTATATTTTTATATTTTTATGTTTGTAATGTTTTTCAGGTATTTATCTCAACTATCACCAGAGGATGTTGTTGAAACACTCCTTGTTCTATCCAGCCTCACGACTTGTGTTCAGTCACCACCAGTAAACTCAGCTTTAAGGTTTTCTGTTGATGATGATGGTGGAGTTAAAATGGATGTTATTGTAGAGTCACACAAGAGGAATGTTTTGGAAGAAGATGAAAACCTTTCTATTTGTCTTATTTCTATTTTGGAGCAGCTGAAAAATTATAGAGTTGTTTTATTGTTTTATGAGAGATTGGCTCTGTATATAGACTTTACATCTCTAAATGAGAAAGAAATACCCTCAACAATGCTTATCACTGATGAAGAAGTTGAAGCAAACCAGGTTGAAGCAATGAGAAGTATTGTTCTTTGCTGTAGTCTTTTAACACAGTTATCTGAAAATGATCAAGTGACAAGTGATCTATTCACGGATCTGTCGGCTGCAGTACCAGTTGTTCATACACTTATAAGAGTAGGCTGTCAAAAGTGTGAAGATGAACAGTTACATAAAATACAAGTGTCACTCATTATGAATGTCATAATGCTTGTTTCTTGCTATGTAAGTGATCGCACATTAAGAAAGAAAATGGCAAGTGAAGACTGGAATGGGTTAAAATCTCTCTTGCCATCCTTGACAGAAATTGTGCAGAATATCAGTGATGAAACAGTTCTCTTATTTGTTGAGCAACTGAAGAATCTTGTTCTAACCCATGGGGTTGTTAACAGTCAACCTGAAACTGTGGCAAGCACTAAGAAAGCCAACAAAAACACTTCTTCTGGAAGTGTAGATGTTAAAAATCATGATGGGGTAAACTCTACCCCACAATATATGAAAGGCAACAAACAGTATATGAAAACAGAGGAAGAGCCAGATGTTGATACTCAAACTGATGGTGTGGTGAAAAGTGGCCTTCAGGCAAAAGAAAGTAAAACAAGTGCTTCCATAAAGATGGAGGTTGATTCTAACAATAAAATTGAAGAAAATTCAAATGCACCTGTTAGGAAAGCCGAGAAAAAAAAATTGACAAATGAAAAGCAAAGCAGTTTTTCTTACAAACAGGCCATGGAGGACTTGTTCAGCCCACTGTTACCAATACGTGGACATGCCCTTCTAGATTTAGGCAAATTGATTGGGAAACGTGATGAAGAAACAATGACTCACAAGGAGCATCTTTTATCAATATTCCAACATAATCTGAAAGAAGAAGATTCATATCTGTACCTCATGGCTGTTGAGGGGTTAGCTGTGCTGTGTGATGCTTTTCCAGACAAGGTAAATTACACATGCTATGATTCTTTCCTATTTGATTAATAATTTGATAAACATAATATACTGTAATATAATTTTTTAGCATGAACCATTCATCTCTAGATTTATTAGTAGGTATTGAAATATAACAGGAACACCAAGAAAATTTGCCTTAGATTACTATGTATTACTTTAGCTTATGTTAGATGAGAGATAAGAGAATGTAGAGAGTTTTATGGTATACAGTATTCTGCTCACTAAGGAAACTTGACATTAGTGATTAGTGTCATCCCTACTACAACCAATGCCCTTAAAGGGAGAGTAAAGGGGTCCTAAGAATGTTTGACATCTCATCAGGTTGTGTGCACTTTTCATTTTCTTCTCAAATTGACCATGATGGTTTTTGGGCGACAATACCAAATTGATCCCAGGTTTGCCAGCCACTAAATAGGTAGTCTCATTGTTTGCTCACCCAACAGTGGAGATAAGTACTTCTGTCAAGCCACACACATCAGTGCTAGTATTTATAATCCATTTTTTTTAAGATGCTTCCAAACAAGGGTTAGGTTTCCATTTATGTTAACTTTAAGCAATTTTGAGTGGTTCTCATTATCATAATAGTCTTAGGAAACAAGATTTAGGGGAGGAGTCTCTGGTTTTTATTGACACCTCTAAGAAAGCAATATTCCTCTTGGTCCATTCTGCAGTGGAAGTAAGGTTTTGATTGCTATATTACTGTATATTAAAATTAGTAAGAATAATTTAATTCTCTGTGGCACCAATAAACATGATAACACAGAATATGCCATTGGTAGTTGCATATGAGAGTGAGCTTGGAGTTAAGAATATGAGGCCAAATAAGAGAACCATCAAAGAGAGTACCTGACACTTCTCCCTCAGTATAGTCAGAAGATTACTGAGGTCAACCAATAAGCTGTCATCTTCAATGAAAGGAAATATTTATTGTGAACTAAAGGGTTGGAATGATGTTGAGCATTACACAAACTGAGGGCTGAATGAGAGTGTCTTTTTACACTGCTCTTCAATTTTTGTGGTTATGAGAAGATATAACTTTAGGTATAACTAACTATTGTTTTGCAGGTTGTGGAAATACTCTGCCAGGAGTTCAGTGTGGGAAATCGTAGCGTAGAAGACCGAACAAAGTTAGCAGAGGCATTGACTCGGGCCACAAGGCGCCTGGGACCGTTGTTGCCTCACTACAAAAACCATTTTATTAATGCTTTTCTAACTGGTGAGTGTTTTTGTAAGTCTTTCTAGAATGGAAGCCTCAAAAAAACAGATTGAAAGCCATCTGGTTCTTACCAGGTTTCCCTTATTTCTGGTTACTTTCTGTCTTGCACACTGATAATGTGGATTTTGTTGCAGTTTGATTGTTGCCAATAACCCAAGAGGGTACAGCTCAGTGCTGAATGGTCAGTCAGAAACCTGAGATGTTGTGTTTGGTTTCACTTGTGCAGTATCCCACTAGTCTCTCTTTTGCTGTTGTGATACAAACCTATGTTATGGTGTGATTTTACCCTAACTTCATGACCTACCTCAGGATTGAGCAACTGCATATAAACAGCAAGTTTACTGTAGGTATCATCATTCAAGATGCCAAGACCTTAACTTATTATTTGGATCTAAAACCAAGTAAGTTGTGATATTTAGATTATCCTCACCTTTATATCAGGATCATGATATACTGTAGTGTGGGGGCAGACTGAAAAAAAAAGGCCCTAAATTTTGAGTTTGTTTTACAGGAGAGAGTAAAAGCAGCTACCATGCTAGGCTGTAATATCATGTATAATACCTCTCCCATCACTCCCAGGGTGATGGTCACTTCATCTAGTGGGGTATGGCTTTCACATGGGTCAGTAAATACAAAATATGCTAATGTGCCACTGAATCCCTTAAAAATCTTTGTCTGATATTTTCTCTTTATAGATTTTACTACTGTAATCAGGGTTTGGAAACTCCTTAAATAAATCATGTACAGGAAGCACACAATTAGGATAATTAGTTTTCTTAACAAAAAGTTAATGCTAACTTACTCGAAGCAAATTAAAGTGCTCATCATTCTGATTTATTGTCATCCTGGAGAGTGAAAGGGTTGAAGAATGATCTACCACCACATTTACATGCAGGAATGCATATCAGTTCATTTCATGCACAGTTGCAAGTTGCTCTTTGGTAATGTGTCGCACATTGCAGTGTTCAAGATATTTCAAAGTCTTTGTTATAGATAACTGATTCATCAGCACTGATTTCAGTAGTCCAGTCTCCATTACTTTTCATCCAAAGTTCACAGGAAATGAGACCTCTAGCCTTGGCTCTGTAATTGTACCATATCATTGCTTAATAGTGCATGTGATGAATATGCTGTACCAGAGCATCATGTGGTGGAGGTAGTGATTCGGGGGGCTTGGACCTGAACAGCTGTGCTTGAAGTGCATCCACAGAGGTGAGACTTGAAGAGCTGGAGTACAAACTCTTGCTAATGTTTCCTCGCACAGGTTTTCATGTCTTAGACCATCGAACAGGGTGGATTTCTAAAGTATATTTTCTGAGCAGTCTTCCTTCCATGTCCTGCAAACTGGCTAGTGGTATCATAGCCAGTTAAGGAGTGAAAGCCAGGTAAAAACTTGTAAATTTATCTCGATGCATAGATGGCATGGAGAGGAATGTAATTAGATCTCTTTTTGGTCCCTGCACACATCCATACTTCAGTTGCAGTCAGGCCTTTGAAGAAATGAATCAAAAGAATCAGTATATCTGTGTTGCTGCACTGGATGAGCTGCCTCCATAGCCCTTTTTTCCTGCATCCAAAGCATACAGTATGGTGTCTTCATGGTTTGACTTTAAGAAATCTGGTGCTTCACCATAAGATGACTCCAACATCTGAGAAACTACCTGCTGTGATGAAGACCTTGTTTGCTGATGGGCTGGACTTTGTTTTAGCCAACAACTGCTGGGACAAAAAGTCTACAAGGGCAGTCTTGTTTTTTTGTGAAATCAATGAATGTTCTCCTCTGCTTTGGAAGAGGGTTATGTGGATTGCCAATTTTCCGTCTGATTGGTTTGCGATGGGTGGCTGACTTTCGCACCTTTGTAACAGCTTTAAAGGAGTCTGACTTTTAGTGATTGAACACAACGTCAACCCTTGTGCAGTCTTCAGTAAAGGAACAAGCACTGAATTTGCAAACACATCAGCCAGGTCACCAAAAGTGTTCATTCCATGTGGTTTTCCTATACTCTGAACAAGTGCTATTCTACTGTATCTAATAAACAACAAGTTTTTATTCCATCTGGCTCTTGAAGCTGTATTTCAGTTTGACCATCACCAAGAATGTGGCCAAATGTTGCTTTATCTGTGGCATGAAGGGTTCCATCTGGATTAGCAAGTGATAGAGGGACTGATGTGAGCATATGCATGCATTTCACTAGTTTTCAAAGTCAATCTTTCTACCACTTTCAGCAGAAACCACAAATCTTAGAAAGAGATCTCTATCTTCATTAATGTTAGAATGCTTCAATGAGAACTTGGACACCACAGCAGATTTAGCTCTCATGGCTGAAAATGTCCTTGAGTTGCTCTTTTTGATTTTATCAAAGAACTTCCTGCCACTATTTTCTGATAGCACTGTTTAACAAACTTTTGTGTTTTCCATGTGTCTCTGCATTCAGCAGGTATTGCTTCACTTCCTCTGGTGCAACATCTTTTGTTAATATGCACAATAGTTCAGGTCCTGGGTGGGTAAACACATGAAAATTCTCAAATTGCCCTGCAATGGAATCGATATTCTCCATGTCTCGTAGCAATTGCTCTGGTGCCATTTCAATATGCTCACCATTATCCTTGGATTCAATGCCCATCATCTGTCTGGTTGCAGCTGCTAACCAAGCCCTGTCATAGTAAGTGAGACACCACCTTTCTCATGCTATTTCTGTTCTTGTGATGCCCACCTCAGGTACATTCTCCTCTAGCTGGTGAATGTCAGTCAGATACATACATCCCCATCGAAAGTGATTGTTATGGAATCAGTTTGGAAAGAGAAGAAAGATGAAAGGACCAGGATCCCTCTCATTCAGCCCTAATGAAGTCCAGTCGAGTCTGAACCATTTTCATGTTCTGTAACCAATACAGTATACTCTGATGTTGGACTGAACAAAACCTTTGCTGTAAAATCGGAAGAATGTAGAGTTACAGTCTGCAATTTAAGGTCTAGTTCATTCACAGTATTTCTCACTGTCTGGTTTTCCCTTTGAAAGCCATTGACTATGGTTTCTGGTGTCATTTGCTCTCATTGACCCCTGGAAGGCTCCTGCTCCATTTGTTATTGTGACCAGCACCCTGGAAGTGAAGAGGAAGGTATACTGTATATAGAATCATCTTAACATTGTAGTTGCTTTTTTCTCTTGTGTAAAACAAAAGTTAAAATGTCCGGTCTCTGACCCCTACTATGAAGGATATCCTTTTGGTATGAAAGTTCATAAAATGGGAAAACTATTTTGAGAGATTTAATGTGAGTATAACATCAGATGCCTGTCCATTCATTTGTTGATATTGGTCACAAAGTCCTCTTTCCTTACAGCCCAGTTTCAGATCTCAGTAACCCAGTACAGGTTGGCTATAACGTGGAATTTTAGGATCAGTCCATCATTTTTGAACAGTTTAAGGGTTGATTATTTTATAAATTATGCCCAGATAGAACTTGGTGTAATGTGTCCTCTGAGAGATATAACTTTTTATTGGTATAGCTTTATGTGGTCACTGTTGTAAATTGCAGGATTTATTTGACATATTGTACATGTTTCGATATACAGGATCTTTATTAAATTTTTTAGTGTTTTTTATTTTTTATTTCAGGAGTTAGAGATAAAGAGGCTATTGTGCGGGCAGCAAGTCTTTCTGGACTGGGTGATGTGTGCAAAGTGCTACGCTTAAGTCTAGGACCTATTGTCCATGAGGTGAGACAACTTATCCTTTATTGTTGTTAGTAAAAAGGTTCTTTCCCATGAACTTGCTGACGTGTGTAGATTTTCCATGTAGCTAAATCATGGCTATCCAGGAAGTAATGGTGTGTGTGAATGATAGGGAGTTTGGCAGTGAGTGGTTTATGGAGATGGACGTGTTCCTGATGGGGGATGTTAAGATGTTTGAAGCAATACTGATGAACCTTACTCATATATCTGGTGAAAGGGGAGCACTATAAGAGCACACAATTGTTACAGTAAGAAAAAACCATAAATAACAGCAATTGAAATGAGGTTTGGTTGGATCTTAGCATCAGCCACCCTGCAGTACTCTAGTAGCAGGAAAAGGCTTGCAAGTGTGAAAGAAAAAAATATTGTAATGTATTTATCTGAACTTCATGGATGGAAATAGATAACATGACCTAACAAGAATCTTGTTGGTCATTATTTGTAAATCATAAATAAATATGAAAAAAAAAAGATTCGGATATCCCTTGGGGTACTGCGAGTTAAAAAAAATCATCATTGTAAAACATCAAGCAGCTTATCATGTCTGGGATGTTCTAGGTTTGTGTATTTGAATAATGCTAAGAAAGCTGTGACCTATAATGAAACTTTTCTGGCAGGTTTTTGGTGTCTTGTATGATGTGGTGAAGAATGAGGATGCTGTGGAAGTGCGGCGTGCTGCAGTACTTGTGGTGACACTCCTTCTTCAGGGCCTAGGACATGATGCCTTTACAGTATGTATAATGATTGTGATATCTTTTTCTCATGAGTTTTTTTGTGTCTTTAACTTCTCTCTAGGTACCAGCATTATAATTACACTTCCCCACCTTCACAGCAGGTCAGTATATACAGTACAGTATATACCTGTATATATGTTCTTCTTCAAACACTTTGGTTGTTAACAAGCTAAGGTGTTAAATTCCCTATTAACTGAAGATCCCTGCCTGTTGGCTTAGCTTAAAAGATTGAGCTACAAAGAATTAGACACCAGTAACTCATGTTGTTAAAAGAGACCAATAGGATTGTCTGAAGCCAGAAACTCCTTCACTGTTAAATACAGTCTCTAATTAGGGTACATTTATCCTTAGATATAGGTTGTGGGAGACTCACAAAGAATACATAAAGCATTTACAAAAGGTTAACATTTAGGGAGAATATCTTTGTGAAGATTAACTCTCAAGGTCCCAGTCGCTCACTGCGCAGCTAGTTACTCACACTACCTGGCTTAGCAGAGTGCATCACACTTCCTGCAGCCTGGTGTACAATGTGAAATGCAAATGAAAAGCCTGAGAGAGTTGGGTTATATTAGATAAGGATGGTATATTGTCTGTAATGGAGGAATAAAGTATTAGGTAAGGGAGAGAATATTTCCAGATGAAGGAAAGTAAAGAAGGAAGAAGTATTGGCATAGGCACACTGATCTCCCCCTTACATTTGTTCACCTCCTTCAGAAAACCTTTCTGTTTTGTTCTAAATTTTCATTCATATTTGTTTTAATGATTTACACATACTTTTAAGGTTGCAAAGGAAAAAATTATTCCAAGGAATACCTCACTATTCACAACCCCTTATCCACAATTGATATTCGATATTCGCAAAGCATGCCCCACTTATTCTCAAAGAAAAATTACGATACCCTATAGTAATACTTCAAACTGTAGCTCTCATATTCCATTGCAAGGCCCACACGAGCATTTTTTCTTGTTTTGTCTTTTTACTGTGTGTGAGGACCAGTGCGGTTTAGAAATAATGAATTTCAGTGACACTGTTCACACAGAGCACGCAAGGTAGATGCTCACCCCATGCCTGTACCTGTACTTTCAAACCACGGCATGAAAAACATGCTGAGAGCTATAGAATTCTTCATATAGCAATGAAGTGTAGTACTTCAGACGAGCATGCTTTTCCCGCATGCCAATCGTGGTGTACTATATCTCTGATCTCTGGTAGGGGCTGGAAGTGCTTGTGATTATTTTTGTCAGATGTAGGTGAACTGAAGTGTGAAAAACATGCCCATGTTTAAATGTTTACACTCATTTACAAATGTTGAACAGTACACACACACTCTGTTCTTTTGTACTACTCAGTATTGTTTTTATGGTATTGTAGATGTTTTATTGCATTATATGGGGTGTACCTGTATTTTGAAAAATATGTTGCATTAAAATAAGAAATACAAAGAACATAAATGTGTGTGTGAAGTGAACTTGGCAGGTCACCAAGTTAGACTGTCCCTGTAGCTACATCCCCCTACTTCTCCCCTACCAGGCCAAGCTGTGTTTTTATTTTTCAACTCGTAATTTTGGGGAGATATACATAATTTTATTATTATTTATTTATTTTTTATTCTGTTACATGCACACACACACAATCGTTCATACAGAATGTGGAAGAAATTAAAAGAAATGATTATCATTGCCCGATATTTGCAATAACTTTTAGGAACGCATCCTTTGCGATAACCGGGGTATTCCTGTACCAAAATTTCAAGTTTCTTACCCCAAATCTTTGTGAAATTGTCAAGGGACTTTTTTTCCCTTGTTTCTCGTGCATTGTTTATGGATAATCTAATGTGCCTTATCTTAGAATTCACCTACTGTATAGTCTATCCAATTCCTTGCTGGTGTTCCACTTACTGATGTAAATCATTTTGGTCATTAGTCAGTCTTGTACTTATCACGTGGTCTTTATGCTTATACCATCTCTTTGTGCTTTCCACCATTCAACACTAAGGGACTTTGATCTTACACATTCTTCATAGGTCGTCTGTTTTCTATGAATTCTAGGAACTCGCATCTTCTCATATTAACCAACCCCACCACTTTGTCATATGTCACTACTTCATCCATTAACCATGTTTGCTTATGGATAATGTGGATAACTTTGCCTTTTAATAAGATATAAATAAGCCTGTTTGTATAATTAGACTGAAGTTGTTAGTCATATAATTTACTATTGTAAAATATATTTATTAAGAAATGGAACTTTATTGGTAGTACATAACTGTACATTTGTTATATATTAAATAATTTTGTATTTGTTAGGTATTACAGGAGGTAATACGAGACCTCTACAGAGTTCTTCGGCTCATCCATGCTACAGATCCAGATGATGTGGTGAGGCTCCATGCACAACTTGCTATGGGAGAGATTGATACTATCACAAGACAATTTTTGCTCCCAAAACTCAATCTTACCAAAAGAATATATGTGACTGATGTACCACCCAACTCCTTTTAAGAAATGTTAAGTTTTATTAGATATCTGAATTATTCAAAGTGAATTTAACTACCAACTGTTTCCAGTCTTCCAAGAGGTGTAATATTATTGTTGTGAATGTAAAAGTACTGTACTCTTGTCAAGTGTCCATATATTTCTTGATAAAGTACAGTATATATAAAACTGATAATTATGATATTTAGTTTTTATTTATATGTACAGTACTCATAATACACATAGTTAAACTTTACGACAACCAGACCAAACCTGAAGGTGATGTATGCCACTGGCCAAATTTCCAATTTATACAGGTACAGGGTAATTAGTTTAAAAATCTTTTATCAAATTGATGAAGCTGCTTTCTGCCAAGTGACCTTTTGTTTCCTGCAAAGTAATTCTGGACTGGAATCCCCTTGACTTTCTAATTTTGAAGTCTTTTAGGGACAGAAATAAAAGTTTTATGTGTTCCAAAACGGGGGTCACTTCCTTTAGGGGCTTATAGTTGATATTAGATAGGTTAATGATTCACCAATTTGGTCTAGACTATTTTCTGTTGCATCCTATAAGTACCAAAAACCTGAAAAAGTTGTGGGTTTCTCTTGACCTGAGGGAGTGTTTTGCTTTTATCATGAAGTTGAAGTCTGATTGAATATAGTTTAAGCAGGTAAATCTTAACCAAGCCTTTGGGTGTTCTCTGTAGGCAAGGTGTAGATGACTTTGCTTTTAGCCAATACCCTTCCAGTCTGGGCTCATAAAATGGGATTTCAGGATCATCTCTCCCACTTAGTCATTATTAAAAATCAGTTAATATTGTGACTTTAATCCAAACTTACTTTCAGATGTAATACCATTAACTACTACCTTAGATATACTATACTGTATCTGTTTTGAACTTTGGATAACTCGGGTAGAGTTCCCTTAGTGCTTATAACACTCCTTACACTGTTGGTGATAAATCCATGGTATCAGTATTTTAATGTTGCCATTACAGTAAACCCTCAAGTTTCGGTGGTTTAACTTTCATGGGTTTGATTATTCATGGGTACACCTGTTGTATACCTGCTCATTATTCCTGGGCTTGAGATTTGGTTATCCACGGTTTATGGTTGCGTTTTCCTGTACAGTTCCGTGGGACCCTTGTGTATTTTGTTTACTGTACACGACTGTACCACGTGGGACGCTGCACATCACAGCATGCTTTCTCAGTCTCCAGCTTCCATCATGGCTATTATTGCTCTTTTCTGTGACTTGTTCTTCTTAGTGATGCCTTCCAAGCATACAATGAGTAGGATGAGTGGATCAAGTGCATAGAGGCAAAAGAAAGTGATGAAAAAATAAAAAACTACAGTTGCTAGATCACCTTGCTACGGTGATAGTGCAGCAGCTGTGGGATGCCATTATGGTGTTAACGAGTCAACTATGCGCTCAATCAGGTAAATGAGGCAAATATTCATGCAAGTGGCTCTTCAAGTGCCCCAAAATGTGCTGCTGTAACTTTTCAAACCTGTGACATTAACATCGAAAAAATGGAGCACAACTCCACATCCACCTAATATCACGATCATCATCAACATCATTTTCATTGGTGAGTACAGTACATTACTATGTTTTTACATATATTTTATTCATTGTATTTAACATGTACAGTCGGGGACAAAAGTCTTGAACACTTGACAGTATTTGGCATGTAAGTACCCGAAGATCTTGGGTATTAAGGAGAGTTTTATCCCATTTTGTGGTTCAGGCATATGTGATGACAAGTAGTGTTATTACTATATCCCAATCATATATGTATAACTCAGAACTAGATACCAGATATTGCTAAGTGTTCAAGACTTTTGAGCCCAACTACAATATTACTCATAAAAGGTAACTCTTCAAGGGTATGGCTCCCCTAACCCCATTTTCTCATAAGGTCTTAAGTTTAACATTTGCAGATTTGACATTAATGCTGCTTTTGAGGAATCTAACCCCTGCGAATGTTGAGGGTATACTGTACTTAACTCTTACACCTTCCTCATATTTTCTTTCACCAACCTCCACATACATAAGATAAAGGTCAGCTGAAAATTACCCCCCCTCCCTCCCCCCTCCCTTTTTTTTTATTAAGGAATTTAAAATCAATAAGAATTTCTTTTTCTCACATATACTTACATTTTTATTACATAAGAGATTTATTTCTCACACATATTTAAACTTTTATTAAAAATATCTACAAATTCAATAAACAAATTCCAGAAGAGGCAACAAGAAACTTCAATAAAGTTACAGTACATAAATTCAACACAGATACTTTATAGAATAAGCCCTTCTCAATTGGTGCATCTGAGCTATTGTAGGCAGGCTAGTCTTAACCTACCACACAATGTGACATTAACCATCCAGCATCTGTACTGGTGCTCTGATTATAAATTTACTAGTTTGTAACTGAGCAAGAGGAGCATAACCTCATCCCATCCATGCAGTATTTGCTGTAAAGGAGTGCAAAGTGACACTGATACACTACACTCAACATTTATGCTCACAAAGTAACAAAAATATAAACTTGAGAATTTACCACAAAATAATTAGCCTTGGGCTTTGAGGTACCTTTGGGAAGAACTACATAATGTGCATAGTGACATAACATCTTGACACCTGCAGATATCATATCTTACTCCAATAGCATTCAAAGTATTCACTGTACATCTTAACACTTCTTAAATTTGTCCTCAAACCTTCCCTCACTTACGGGACCTATAAGACAACAAACGCCCAGTTCAGTATTGGATGTACAACTGCAGCATACGGTAAAAAGTAGGAGAGGGCCAACACTATTAATAATAGGCAACACACATACACACTGACATTTTATAGCATGCTGCCACCAAATGACATACTAATGATCTTAAGAAGCTAAAGGAAGAAGAGGAGCATGTACAGTCACTCAAAAAACTATCTGTACTTGGGAGGGTCGATGAATTACAGAATGAACACTGCGACTCATGTTGTCTTGGTAGGGTTGTTAAAATCCTTCGTCTATTGTGTCATATTTTCTCAACACAATTTTGTATATGACAATTTTTTTTAGTGACTATACATTACAGTACATGTATTTGTAATAATGCTGAGTTTTGAGGCACCACAAAGGTAGACACACACACACACCACAGTGGGCCTAGAAATTTTAAGAAAGTTACTGTACAGGTATTTCAAAACTTCTAGGAAATTACTACTTACGGTAGTCCAGATTGACCAAAAACACTAGGTATTGACATTGTTACCAACACCATTAGACAAGGTTGCAAATTAACTATTAGAATATTTCTTTCAACCTCTACACACATCCATGTCACCACAAGCACAACTATTTGGAAAATTTATAGTACTAAATGCAAAATTTGTAAATGTTCCACAGCAGAAAAAAAAGTTTTTTCATTGAATAATTAAAGACGAGTTAAATTATAGATTTTAAAACAAGTAGGCTCAATTGACAATACTGTATTATTGGATGTCCTTATTATTGAAGTCCTATACACAGGATGAAGTTGCAAGGGTTAGTTTGTATGATTAATATTATATGTGAATGTGTTCCATATTATTCATTTATAAAAACTTTTTATTGAACCTAGGAAACTAAATAAAAAACTTTGCTCATGTAGCATGTTATGATAATTTTCATCTGATTGAAGTTGGTCTACTTCCTCCAGTTACTATGTTTTTGTTATATTTTATAAAATACTGAGTGCCATTCTTGCCAGTCAGTGAAAATGGTTTTATTACTTGACCCATTAACTACCCTGTAAGCTCTGCCCACTTTTAAGTTTCCATATCAACCAAGTCTGCTCAGAGCAACTTATTGCCAAGTGTATCTTATTGCTTCAGATGGATTTATCACAAAGTCTCCAAATTTTTTTTAAAATGAAATCCAAAGTCTATACAGTGGTTGAGTTAAAGGTAAAATCTTGAAGTCTTGCTTCAGATATACAATAGAACCTCTCAAGTTTACATATCCTTGGGACAAGCAATGTGGCAAGCTTAAGGGTATTGTGAGCAGACCAGTGATTTATGAAATGGGCACGGTGAACCTTGGAACCATGAACAAAATATCAGGTATGTTTAATACTTATATAATAAATATGCCTGTACAGTATATAGAATCAAAGAGGCCTTATCACAAATTCTTATACAGCACATGAAACTTTTCATATGAACAAGATGCCTCACACTCTAAGAACTCACAATAAGCATACACAAACATCCTTCGCCTAGGCCTCACACTTTTCATTTTTTATTTTGTTACGCAACTAAAAAAATCTTTGGGACCTTTTACACAGACACGCAACCAAAAAGCGCGACATTGACCAAACACTTATACTTTCAAAATGTGACACAAAAATATGCCCAGCATTTTAGAATTCTTCATGTGGCAATGGAGGATTTCAGATGAAAATATGTTTTGTTGCACAATAGTTGAGTTTCAGCTCTGATTGAGTGAATGCTTCTGCAAGTACAGTATCTCTTTTTTCTGGTATGTATTTTTAATTAATTGTGTATCTGAGGATGCATTGAAGATATCTATAACTAGATGTATACCGGTATAGTATATGTTTTATGTTCTTAATACAGGAAGTCCCCGAGTTATGAACACACCAACTTACGAACATACGAATGAAACTCCATTAAATATTTAATATTTATGAATATACGAACATATGACCCGCAACCCACACATACGAACCAAATGCCGCTTCTCGGAACTAGTTTGTGTGGCGGAATACACCCTCTGCCTCGGATGTACGACATTGACAGAGCATCACTTTTCTGTTTACTGACAAAGATGGATAACCACACGGCCTGTGTGTAAATTATTTTTACCTTAAAGCTGACCCTAATCAAAGCAGACAATACAATGTTATTTATCTATTGTATTTACAGCAGTTATTGTTCACTCCATAGCCTATAAATTATTATGAATACCGACTGAGAAATATACTGTAAAAATTTTCAGGAAAACATCAAGTGGATGGACCCACCATTTATGCTTCCTTTTTCGATTGTTTAATCTTATTCATATGAATCATTAGTTTACACTAAAGCAATCCTCATTTACATCCTCCACCATGAACAAATGCACGACAGAAAAAAATCTGCATGAAGCAAAGTTTTTTTTTTGCACACTAGAAGTGTGTGTATTTTGTCGTACGATAAAAAGACACTCGTGTGGAAGAGGCCTTAATGTAGCTTCACTTTACATAGTTTCAGTATAATGTACAGCAGTTAATAAATTAGGGAACATATTCATATAATGTAGCTCTTGATTAGCTATTACATTACATTATTTGGAAAACTCAGTTTTAAAAAAAGATTCTTAGTGCTATGTAAACAAATCATGGCTCTGCAGCTAGCCTATAGCCCAGTAGACTTGCTTGCAGTCTGTTTTGATAAGTTTCCTTTTGTTTATCAAAAGTATTTATGAAGAGTATGAGTGTTGAGTTTTATATGTGGCTTTTACGTTGCTGTTGTCTGGTGAGTGAGTCTTATGTTGGAAAAATGTTGTGTCCAGGAATTCCAAGTACCTGTAAATCTATATGGATTAGACTTTGGTAAGTTTGGAGGCTACTGCAAATTCCTTTGTGTATAACAGAATTATTGTACAGGTATGGGACTATTTATCCGGTGTCCCGGTATTTGGAACTCTTAAAAACCGGCAATGTTCTGGAGCGAATTGCTTAAAATAAGCGGAGTAATTCCTGGAGTAATCGTGGATGTTTCCAACCATTCCCCACTTGTGAGCTGTATGTTACATTATTTGCTATTTTTTAACTCTTAATTTTGGGTGGGTATGTGTGTTTTGTTTTTTTCAGTTACATGCACACACATTTCTACTTACAGAAAGTACCCCCAAAAATAAAAGTAATAATTATTATAAGGTATAAAGTCTTAAATATCTATAGTTTGCACACTGTTACTAGAGACACTGCTGCTTTGCTAAAGTGAACATCAGAAGTGACTGATGCAGTTTGTCCACTACTTTACATTATTGTTTTATGCTTTCATTATTGTTTTATGCTTTTATTATTGCTGTTATATGCCTAAAATTTTAAGTTTTAATTTTAAGGTGTACAGCCAGTTACAGGCAATGGCCATTATACAATGGGGTTAGGGACCTAAAAAAACCCTTCTATACGTGATCGGTCACATATTGATATTAATAACTCATGGGAAAAAATAAGGTTCAGTTTCTGAGCCCCTGAACAGCCCTAACAAATTTTAACACCTGCTGCTGTAATGATTAAATTATGTCTAAATTACTAAAAATAATCTATGAATAGACAAAATCGATAAATTTATAAAAAATATAGAAAAAATAAATAAAAAATAGACAAAAACTAAAAATTTATACCAAATATAGATTTATTTTCATTTCATGATATGTAAGTGTACAGTAGTAAGTTGTGATCCCCAGCTGTCATTACAAATATTTTCAGGTAGATATATGTATTTTTTTTAACTTTGTTACAGGCACACAATTATTTATAACAAGGAAAAAAAATAGAGAATAAATACTTCTGATGTCCCTTAAGTTAGTGTGCATCGTGGAAGAGAAAAGGGGGGGGGGGGGTCGGTATTGGGATCTTAGAGTCTCCCTACTAGGCCAAGCTGTGAGCTGTGTTATTTTTCAACTTGCAATTCCAGGTAGATACTGCACATTTTTTTTTTACATGCTCACACAGTCATTCATACAGAATGTGCAAATAATAATAATCATAAGGCAAAAAAACGTAAGAGAATAAAAAAATTTTATGCACCCCGGGAAGTGTGGGAGGGGTAGCACCGTGGGGGTGTGCAGTACCAGTATCTCAGCCTCCAGCCAAGCTGAGAGCTGCGTTATTGTTATTTTTCAACTGGAGACGGGCAAAACCTCTCATGCATCCCGCTTGTTCGTACTTGTTACTCCATTCCGAGATTGCATCATCATAACTTGGAATATTGCGAGTTATTGTACATCACTTTTTCAAAGCAACAACAATGCAGGAAACGCAATCGGATAGTGACCATCGTAAAACTGATATTTAGCCATCGCATAGCGGTAAATGGTGTTAATCTATTAACATCGTAAAACTGATTGAGCGTACGTACATTATATAGATCCATCGTATAATGGTTATTGCCTGAACAGAAGATTTACTGTACATTTTGGCCTGGTGATCCAAATTCTGGAAAAAACCTTATCCGGCAACCTCCAGGTCCCAAGCATGCCGGAAAAATGATCCTTTACTGTACCTGCATTTAGTAAGGTGGAGATATGTTATGGAGGAACAAGTTGAAAAGGGTAGGAAAGAGAATGGAACCTTGTGGAATTAATTATGTAAAATTTTTGATACTGGATGTATGGTAAATGTATCTTACAGTTTTGACCTCTGACTGACAACCCGAGAGCAAGTTCAAAGCTATAACTAGTGGTTTTGTGCATTGTGGTTTTTAAGAGTTGATTAAGAATGTGGATGGGCCTATATAGTATACAGTAATGTACTGTATATATTTGAACTCTGGGTTAAGTAGTTTACATGCAGTACAATTTTAAGAACTACTGTACTGTATATCCAATTTTTTTACTGTCCATGCAAAATAAAAATATAGATTCAGTTGTACTAAAATGTAAACTACAATTACTATACAGTAAGTTTGTGGTATACCTGTACATTAGTTTGCCTTATGTATAGGAGTTACTCTCTGCATCATAAACTGGGTCTCCAAAGAAGATGTACAGAATCTCATTCACGATGAGGGAACTACCTCTATTAACAACATGCCACTTGGTCATTTTACTTCTCAAGTCTGGAAAAGGAAATTTGAGATTTTAGAGCATGACAGCAGAAGACCAGAAATGGAGAAAGCAGAAAACTAAGAGAATATGTGTGGTAAATACCTTTTATAAGGTCATGAGTAACCCTTTCTTTATGTTGAACCAATCAGGGATGAAACTTCTAAAATGGTAACATTTGTCCATTTGCTTAATTTAGATTACCTTTCATTGCTTTATTTCAGTTTAACTGCTGCAGAGTCTTGTTTTAAGAGCATCTCAAATGTTGTATAGGTAGCTTTGGTATTACCTACAGTACAGTATTTCCATATTCATTTTTCTAGTTACAAAAATTAACATAAATAGAAAACTTGACCAACCACAACTAATGAAGAAAATGAGGCAGAATTAATCGCTCTTTCCTTGATTTGACATATATAATGTAGAATATAATCTTGAAAGAATCAGAAGCAACAAGAAATCAGGACATGATGTGAAGATGGTAATCTTGTAAAGTCATATATATATATATACATATATATTCATTTGCAAATATTATGACATCTTGTTATCCCTGAAACTCACACAGTGGCAGCATGGACAAAATGCACATTATGTATGACCATTTACAAAACGACCAAGCAAAAACACGTCAGAGACCTTCATATAACCTAATTAAAAAACATGTCAAGTTCCACTGCCGACTCTTTGCATCATTTAGGTAGACTGAACAAATGCTAATGCTAGACAGATAAACTATTATGCTCAATATTTTAGCTTCACTATTTGAGAGAAAAATATACCACTGAAATTATTTCTTTTTTCGACCACGTTTCTTCTTTTCTGGTGGAGCACCACGCTGTTTGTGTTGAGATAAGCAGCGTGGACAGTACCAGTTCACGTCATCATTGGGGGGAACTTGAATGCCGACACACACCCTGAAAAATTAAATCGGAGCTACTGACCTGGAAAGGTGTTAATGTACATTCCAGTAATAAATATTTCTGCAGAAGCCTTAAATTTTTGTTTTCTTACTTTATTGACCATAAGCTTCCACAGTACCATAAGCTGACATTTTTACCTGTAGCCCCATATCTTTAAATGACATGACTAAATTCAGATCGATACAGTACTGTATTTGGATTTTTCAGTTAGTCATCACAAGTAAAATGTCATGCCATGTATCTGAACTAAGTAACTGTATTCTAAATCTATGAAGCAACAAGAAAGCTATAAAGTTGGAAATGACAATTAACAACATTAAATTAAGGTTGACTGACCAGTGGTACCAGTCATCACACGTATCGCAGCCAATCATGGGAGAACCATCATCTTGTTTACCACAGGTAGGGCAGATCCATACTTCATTTCCCTGGTCATCCTGAAGATGAAATAAATAATCATGAACAAAGTTCACTTCACCTTATACATCTACTAGGTGCAGTACTTTATGAAAATGTTACTGTGGCTAAGAGCAAGATGTCCTAGTATAGAAATATGTTTGAAGGAGAGAAGTTTGAAGATCAAAATGGTATAATAAAACACATCTCGAGTCACTTTGTTGCATGCCTCATATACCACCTTAAATATATAATGTACTGTACTGTACACACAAACTCTTGGAATAACTAAATAAAATAAGCAATAAAATATGCTGCAGTAAAATGGAAATTTTAGTAAAATCCAACATGAAATCAAATGTAATGAGTAGAAATACTTATACTGGATGTAAATTATGTGAAATATAGCATGACTTATTTACAGGGCACTTGTAAAACAGTGGCCATGTAGTTCTTCAATCTCGCCCTCACTCCGAGTCCCATAATATTTTACTTATTTTTCTGGGTCTCAAAGCAAACATTACTGTGGTTTCTTTACAATGACTCCAGTTTTGTCTAAAATGAAGCTTTCTGTCTAAGTACAGACTTTAACTCTTCACTCTAATTGATTGCAAATAATTCCATCCAATTGAAATGAGAATTAAAATTTTCTGTAAAGACAGCATGAAGAACAATAAATGAAAAATATACAATAAACTAGCATATACACTGTACCTTCGTTAATTCAGACGTTATAATTCGGATTTTGGCTTAATTTGTAGGTTTTAAAAAATTAATTAAATGACTAATTCGGAATGAATCCAAAATACTGTAACTGAGCGGTTCTGAAAAGTTGCGCAGCGACGGCCTAAAAATCTCAGTCTTGTCAATTTAACTGTGATCTCGTGGCAACCCCAAACAGGCTTGGGTCAGATGTAATCCCACTAGGATGGTCGATCATCTTTTCTGTTCAGGTTTTGCCATGACACTTGCTCGATTCCCACATGGACGATTATAGCTAAAAATCATCCATACATCACAAATTCTATTAGAAATACTGTGTTTATTATAGGAATATATTACAAGATATATTAAGATGAATGAATTATAGGAATAAAATTGGTAATTTAGTTAGGTCAGGAGTTTGGTAGGAAACAGTCAGTAATCTTTATAATAAAACATTCCTAATTTAATTTGTTGTACAGTACTGCATTTTGTTATTCTTAATACTGGATAGCTAACTTATATTATATTCCTATAATTCATTCACCCTAATAAAATTCATAATATATCTCTTTATTAAACACAGTACATATTTCTAATAGAATTTATAATGTATGGAAGACTCAGCTATAATTGTCCATATGGGAAAAAATCGTCAATTTGGGAATCGTTTTAGTGGCATGTACGTAATCTTGGGTATGTTGCTAACATGTGAGAGCAGGTCACCAGCGCAGGCGCGAAGTTATGCGGCACTGCCACTATTTCAGTTGAGATGTTTAGCTCCTTAAAGCAGAAGTTTTTTTAGTAGATTTGTGAGATAATAATGATAATTATGTTGATGAAAATATAAAGCTGAAAGATTTGTCAAGATTTTGAGTAAGTAAAATTAACCAATTTGTGACAAAACTATACATACACTATTATTGCTTCATAGATGCCCGTACAACTGACAACACCCTGTAGTTTACTACCCGTGCGGCATGTGTTGTGGACACAGTGTTCTTCCAGGATTTACTGTATATCATCTACATATTATCAGCTCACCTTGCAATGTAAGTATTACATTTATTTATTACTGTATTATTTACTTTATTATTACTGTATGTACAAAATTATTAATGTTTGCACAGTAATTATAAATACAGTAGCTAGATTATTTTATGTGGCAACCAAGGCATAGTATCTCAGTATGTTTGTTGGTTAGAACGATGATGAACAATCTTCAGAACGATCCTAATATGGTGCAATAACTGAAAAGAAAAACAAACGAATAATCAAATGAAAAAATTTGAAATTGTTGAATAATGGAAAAATACTCTGATCTCAGTTAAATTGTATTTTTTGGTAATTCGAGTAACTCAGAGCCTCCGTTTTGCTGAATTAACGAGGGTATAGTGTACAGTCTCGTTCAAGATTCTTCGAACACTGCTGGAGACAGCTGGCAACTCGAAGCCGTTTGTTTACTATAGTACTGAACGCAGTAAAAATTATGAATAAACATAAAAGTGATTGGTGATTGGTTACTTAGTTCCCTGTTGCTTAATTTAATGGTTGGGCTTTGTTGTTTCGTATTACATTATTCTTTGTACTATAATAAACAAACGGCCTGAGTTGCCAGCTGTCTCCAGCAGTGTTTGAAGAATCTTGAACGAGATTGTACATGAAATTATATGAACTAAAACACAAGTGTGTACAGTACTGACCACAAAGTGACCAATAGGACCAACTGTCTCTGTGAGAAGACCTGTGCCCTTCTGTTCTTGTTTCTTGCTAGTCTTGGGGGTGTCTGGTGGTGGCGAAACTATAGGCACAGAAGTGGGTACAGGTTGAGATGGGAAGGATTGGTCTGTGCCACCTGCACTGCTTGTTGCTGGGATGCTGAGGCTTGGTGCTGCAGGGGTGGGGGTTGGGGGTGGTGCCTGGTCTTTTGGCTTCTTCTCTTTCTTCTCCTTTTTTTCACGAATTTTTTTACTTCCTAGAAAGCAAAATTTAAGGAGAGGATTTTATAACTCTTAATTAATGCCTAAGTTGAATAATAAAAGCACACTAGCTGTCAGCTAGTGGTTAGCTACTTCCAGTGTTCCATTTATTAACATTAAATAATGTTACTTAAAACATATATATTCATTTTTTAAATTAATTTTACTACAGCTACAACCAGGGTCTGTAAACACAAACGAAAACAATGGCGTCCCATCTCCTCTTGTGACCATATTATTATTCATTTATATTGTATAAGGTGCATTCATTAACATTATTTAAAGAATATAGTTTGCAATTTTCATTAATTGTATTGTTTGGGGGGAAGAGGGTAAAAAGCCACACAAAAGATATGAAAGGGTCACACTTGGGAACGCATCTCATTATTATTGCTTATTTTAATGGTAATTAATGATTCGCGATATGATGAATCATCTTACACTGCAATATTGGAGGACAAATTAACATCGTTATTCAAGGCTCTACTGTGTGTGTGTGTGTGTGTATATGTATATGTATATATATGTGTGTGTCATCCATTACAAATGAAAATACGATGAGTACCATTTTAATTAAGGCACACTAAACACCCATCACAAACCAAGAGTGAGGGAAGTGGTGAGTACGTGTATGATCAGAGGGATGAGTACATTATGTAGACTATTATTACACTGTTTCTTCATTAACATATTTACAGATTGCTTAAATTGTCTAAAACAGTTTAAAAATTAATGAAAAATAAATAGATATATAAGAACAAAAAAAACAGGATTTGAGGTTGGCTGTTTATGGGGTGGAAAGAAGGTTGATCAGTTAAGATAATAATTAACAGATCAACCCTGGAACCAAGTACAAAGAGTTCAAGAGACCTGTAGTAAGTCACCCTCATTACATGAGGTCAAAGGAAGAAGAATTAGGACCAGAAGATTTCTGTCAGACATGATCCTCTTAATAAATCAGTAGAATGTGGGTTCAAAGAGAGAGGGATGTACAATAAGAATCTACAGATGATAAAATGGCAACTGGATTACACAGAAAGTATTACCTGGAGACTTCTTATCCTCAGCAAGCTTGGTCATGGGCGGAGGCTTGGGCACACTCAGTGGTTTGGGCGTGGTGGGCAGCTTGGGCGTGGATGGCTGTTTGGGTGTGCTCGGAGGTTTAGTTACAGATGGAAGTTTTGGCATGGCTGGTGTCTTAGTTGTGGTTGTTGATGGGGTTTTAATCTTAAGAGGTGGCACCTCCTTGGTATCTTTAGCTTTGGTCTGAGAATGGCTGGTATCCTTGCCCTCCTTTTGCTTGGATACTGGATTCTGGAAATCTTTAATTTTCAAAACGGGCACCACTGGTGGTGATTCTCCCTTTTTCTGCTGGCTACGTGGAGGTCTCGTTATAAGGGCAGAGAACTTGGCAATTTCAGGCGAGCCTGGTTGGTCATCATGGGTACCTGATGGGACGGATGTGGGCTTTGTCGGTGGCATATCTTCTTCGCGTTTCACCACGGGCTTGATCACTCTGCGGGGAAAAAGTCAGTCAAGATTACAGGGAATAAATTGTATAAATTACAACTTCTGAGGAATAACAAGCAATTACAATATGTGTAAACATGCTGACATAATCTTAGTGAAAATGTCTCTTAAAAGAGTCAATAAGTAAGAAAAATACTGTTTAAAGTTTATACCATACTTTAGGCTCATAAAGCTTTAACTTGATTGCAAATATCTGCATGAGAAATTACTTATTATTAGCTGTTATAGCTTAATTTTTAGCAAAGTTTTTTTTATTTAAACAGCTTAACAAAGAACATTATCACAGTAAATAAAGCTATGATACTGTCATGTTAAAATATCAGATAATTAAGAAGTCTGATGCAAGCTATATTTTACTGAACACAATAATATACACGTTCAGAACAATGTATAACATCCATAATGGAGAGGAAATAGAGAAAAATATATTGTTAAAGAATAACTAGATTATTCTATAAATAAGTTATAAGCTTAAACTTGCCCAAATAAAAATTAATAATACCATAAGAGAATCAAGAAAGTGCATTTTGAAGAACATCATGCTAATCCAATGAAATCTACCAAATATATACAGGTATAAATTAAATATGTAAAGTACTGTACATTTAGCACAAAAATGAACACATATGACAAGGGCAAGAGAGAAGTCAAATGTGGGTATGGTGAAGACAAAAGCCTGTATCAAAAAAATATCAATTAAATGGCAAAACTTCCAGGGGCATTCCTCAGAAACTACAGTAGAAGCTTCTTACCACCATTACAAGATGAACTAGTCAAGTTCATGCCTGATGCCAGCTACTACACTACAAGGAAATTGCTGCATGTCCAGGGGAAACCTCAAGAGAAGCTACGGGAGTATGTTATCAGCAGCACTATAAGGAACATTTGCACGTCCAGGGGATGCCTCACAAGAAGCTCAGACAGTATATTATCAGCAGCATTACAAGGAATATTTGCATGTCCAGGTGATGTTTCACAAGAAGCTAAAAAAAGTACGTTATCAGCAGCACTATGAGGAACACTTGCACGTCCAGGGGATGCCTCACAAGAAGCTAAGACAGGAAAAGCTCCCACATGAAAGATTTATACATACTTTAAAAAATGAGAAGCTCCTACTACTGGTAATATTCCAATACCAGTTGATGTGTGACTTGGGATATAAAGCAAGAAAATAATTTATGATAATACATTATTGAATCAAAAGCTCAAGAAAGCAAGAAAGCTCAATGGCACGGATAGAACACTAAGACTAACAGGTACACACCGATCCTGAACCTGTAAGGCTAAGACCTAACCTGTTCTGGATATTTCCTCTATTACACCATAAGTGTTCACATGCCTTACTAGCAAACACTGGTTCTTGCAGAATTCACTTGATCGACAATTTCATAAATGCGCAAAGAAAAGTTATCACTACTTACAGGTAAACCTAAATTTCATTAGCAGCCGACTGTTATCCCATAGAATAAACAAAGATTTATCGAGTCAGATGGAAGGTAAGATGATGTGAATGTCAACATAGAGGGGAAAAATCCTGAGAGCTGGAAGTGAGATAGATGAATGAATGAACAACACGTAAAGGAAGAATGGGAGAGAGAATTTCTGCAAGGACTGAGTAATGTCAGACATTCGCTTTGGGATAAAAAAAGCAAGGGTACGAAAACTGATCTATGAATCACGTTGTTGTATCAATTTCAACATAGAAGATTTAGGCATGAGGGTGGTAAGGCTTTGTGCAATGTAACCCAGTGTGCAAAGGAAGTCTAAAGTATCTTTGGTTTTTCTGAGCAACGAAGACAATTTCAGGAGATACGTACTGTACTGTATTTTGTGAAATTCAAGGTACTGTACAGTACTTTGATTAAACAGTCCTTGAACCCCACTCTTCTTCTGACCCATCTATGTTCCTGACCTCACTGTTCCTGACCTCACTGTTCCTGGCCCATCTCTGTTCCTGACCTCACTGTTCCTGGCCCATCTCTGTTCCTGACCTCACTGTTCCTGGCCCATCTCTGTTCCTGACCTCACTGTTCCTGGCCCATCTCTGTTCTTGACCTCACTGTTTGTGGCCCATCTCTGTTCCTGACCTCACTGTTCCTGGCCCATCTCTGTTCCTGACCTCACTGTTCCTGGCCCATCTCTGTTACTGACCTCACTGTTGGCCTCTCTCTGTTTGTGGCCCATCTCTGTTCCTGACCTCTCTGTTCCTGACCTCACTGTTCCTGGCCCATCTCTGTTCCTGACCTCACTGTTCCTGGCCCATCTCTGTTACTGACCTCACTGTTCCTGGCCCATCTCTGTTACTGACCTCACTGTTCCTGGTCCCACTTAGTTTCTAATTATATCTGTGATATCCTATTTGTATATATCAAGAACAGCGAATGAATTTGCTAGCACACTGCAGTAAATCTTTGCAATTCTTCAAACTGTCCTCGACAAAACAACACTTTTTGTACCTTTCACTACCAAACTGGGTATATCTCTTGCTGCATTTACCTACACAGGCTGAATCATCTTAAGAGAACTTAAATAATAAATAATTAATATGTGTAGCATTGTAAGTTTGTGAAAATCCTCTATAATGAACTATCATATATCTACACACTCAACAGATTCTTTCATCAAGACATACATTTCATGCAGAAAGTCTCTATAACCAATTTAGGGTATAACTGTTTGCTACCAAGTACACTTTACTTCGTGTCTATTCTTTCCAAATATTGTACCCATATACACATACCATTTTTATACTCCCTTTGTTATTACTCCATATTCTTTCATCTTACTACCTCACTCACCTCATTTAATTATTTCTTTGTTTGTCTCTCCAGTGGCTCCTTACCTATGTCATTAACATTATTTAAACATATATCTCTTCTCATACTTCATGGTTTCTTACAGAGCTGTTGTAGAATGCTATTCCCTTCTTGTATTAAACTTCCCCACCCTATCAGAAAACACGACATCCCAGTATTCTGAAGCACCTTTTCAAAATCTCACACACCACAGTTAAGTCGTATCATTTTCTACCCGCCTGCCATCCATAAATATTCTACCATTCTTGTCATGATCTTAAACAGTTAATTTCATCAGTTCTACAACAATGTAAACAAGAATCTACTATTTTATAATATCTTTGTCATAATACCTATACTGTACTGTGCTGTACTCAACAAAAACTGAAGCAGGGAGACAACGTTACAAATGGCACCATGTACTGATGGACAAGAGGATTACCGGGTAACTTAATATCATCAAAAGGTTCAAAGTTATCATTCATTATCAATACTGTTATCATTATTCCTACCATCAATTATATGGTTATCATCATTATTATTATTATTATTGTTGTCAATAGTGTAGGTGTGTAAGTTAGTCAGTCAGTCCGAAATAGAAGACTCCAAATACAAAACACTGTTTTTGTTGTTTTCATTTGTTCTTTACTTTACTGTCCCTTCAGGGTCACGGCTCCCTGAATATTAGTTCAGTAACCTAAGCCAGTTAAATTTAGTTATCAGTTATGTCTAAGAGCATTAATTTGCAAAGTACCAATACTCATATAAGAGCAATTATTGTTTCTTTCCATTATTCTGATTATGACATCATTACTAACTTTCTTTAAAGACATAAATTAAGAGACTACAGTTCTAGTTTTACTAATATAACTTAATTTCAGTTTATTACTACTTTTCATTAATCAATCTACTGTACTAGTGGAAAGGCAGACAGGATAGATAGAGATAAGATATTTATACCATCACGCAGTGAGAATGTATATGCCGTTCAGTATTATACATAACGAACCCCCATCACTGTTCGTGAAATTTAGCAATCAAGTAGTCATGATTTTTATATACAGTATTTCTTTTCATGACCTTTCAAGACCAACACAATCAACAAAGATACCCACTGTGGCTGTCACTACCTCCCATCACTCTTCTTACCACCTCTTAACAACTAGTATAATATTGATAAACTCCAGCCTACACTTCAACACTACATAAAATACTCTGGACCATTTTTCCAGTTTCATGTTTTAATATCCTGTCAATAAAGTTCACGAGCTGCTAGAGTACGATATATATATAACAAAAATTATCCTCCTGATGACTTAATTCTGGTAGTACAGGATCTGTATTACACACATGGTGCGGTGTGGTGCATCCAACACGCAAGAGAACAAACAAAATCAACAGACTAATATTAAAACCCATTACACTCAATTACTTAACAAAAGGTGTACTACTTGAAGGTGTTATGTGTACTGTGCTGTACAGTGATAATATTGCCTACACCAAGCTGGTGGTAATTGTGATATTCACTGGAAACTACTTATAGCTATGCTATATACCACACACTCAGTCATTCTACCTTCTACTCTAAACAAGATGACCATGTACAGGATGAATATAGTCTCATACACAATCAATTCTATCAATCTTTGTGTCAAACACAATGAAACTATTCTTAAATCTTATTTTCACAAATGTGCAATAAATGCTTCTGAACATTCAGACTGGTTATGTCACCATCATCAATAAAGAACCCTACAAAAATTCTTCAGACCTCACTGAGAAAAGAAAGAATATAAGAGATAAATAAAAAAGGAAGTGAGAAGGATGGAGACACACATAAGTGAGTCAGGCACGCTGGTTCTCCTCACTAGTATCCAGAATCACTAATACATGATGTGTACGTCACTCCCCAATAAGTGGAAAAAGAAATGAAAAGGTAGTTGTACAAGTTGATAAAACCCGAGGCAAAACCCCTGGAGCGCGAGGCATATGTAACTACTAGTTTAAAAAATCAAGTGCAAAACGTAAATTAATATTGTTACCAATGTGTCTAGTGGCAATCCCAGGTCCTGTAGGGTTTACTCTGCCAGAGTATTATCCTGAAGTTTTGTCAGTTGCCTCTCCTGCTATCGCTTTAACTGCCAGCTACAGCAGCTTCTCTCTCACTCTCCCTTTCACTCAACTCTGACGGACACTTGTTCCCTCCCATGTGGGATGGGGTTTCCTTGACAATGAGTCCTGTGCTATGGCTCTTGGCACTTTTTTATGTAGTTAAATGAGTTATACATGTACTGAAAATCCGTTTTCCATGGGGACTGCACATAATGGTCCTGAGTACAGTGAGATCAGGTACAGATAACTACAGTAATTACAACAGCATTTGCACCACACATTTTCAGCATAAAATTATCACTTTCACATACGAGATCTTTCTTGTCCATAGAGATACACTCTCCATTTGTCTCGTGCTTCACTACTTGACAGCTGAACGTGTTTTTCTGTTCTTACATGCCAAGACACTGGAACAAGATGGTGTATGAAGGTGAGAAGAAGTTGTGATCAAAAGGATACAGTGAAAGTACTGGTGCCATTTATTCCTTCTGTATATCATACTCTACAAATGGCACCAGTCTACACCCACTCATTGAACACCAAATATAAACCTGCTCAAGCATATAACAAACAAAAAATACTTGCACACATTATTATAAACTGTGATTTGGAATGTGAGAAGTTCATAATCATGCACCACAACCTGTACAGTATGGTAAGTAATAATCACATCAAAACAACACAACTGTGAAGCCAATTTGTGTTTACTGCAACAATGCCAGAGGGTTATTGTAGTTAAGGCAGATTTACAAGCCTTGGAACTGTTGTAATTTACTCAAATATAGCTCAACATTACAACAAATTTTGTCAAACATTTAAATAAAAATTCTGACACAAAAAATGTGATCAACTCCAACATACATCTATGAGGCCAACCTCTTATCTCAAGTTGTATGAGATGGCTCCTCTTATAAAACCAGCAATAAAGTGATTATGAAAATAAACTATTAAACTTAAGCTGAAAAATAATGTCACTGACTTAGGAGATACATTAATTAATCGACTTATGTAATATGTGTACAGTACAAGCAACACAAGCCAGGTGGTGGTGGTGATGTTGCAGTACTAAAAAGTTGGGAAATGTTTAACAGGACTGTGACTTGATTATATGACTATATTAAATAATGACTACATAAATTATATAACTACCTGTATTTTAAACAATCACAAGAAAAAAAGTAATTTGGTGACAAGGATTGTAACATATATACTGTAGTATATACAGTCATGCAGATGAAAATGT